AATAAAAATTTCCAAATTTTTCTCACAATTTCCGTAATTTTTATTCAATTTTTATTGATATCGATATTTCCTCGATATTTCCATCGATATATCCGTGTTTTTGGACCACCGATATTTCTGAAACTCTCGATATTTTAGACCTTACTTATGAGAGATTCATTGTATACACCAAAATGTGCTACACAATGTTTTTTTTTATTTTTAAAATCACTTTTATTAATAAATAATAATAATTCAAGTGACTCATTTGAAGAACAACTACATGCTATATAAGGATGTTGTATGTGTCAACTAGAATCTGAGCCAATATGTATGCACGAGTCAGTTTTCCCTTAGAAACTTGTTATCACTTCCTCTGTGAAGGGAAAGGGGTAAGGCAAGCATACCAGCAACCCCAATAACAAAACTAATACGCCAAGGCCAACATACTTATCGTCAGGATCTGTGATCTCCTCATAGAGGGGAGCAATCGGACCCCTCTGTAAGAAGAATATCAGAGCTACCCAATAAAATGCCACATCACTAATTAGTGATGATAATCCGAGCAGCGCAATTGAGGCACCTGTGATGCGAGTTGCAGCCTGTCATATGAAAAGACCCATCATCAGTATTATTTTACATCAGATTTCCAACTTCAAGCTTCCAGTTTAAGTTGTAATGAACTTGAAATGGCTGCATACCTTTCTTCCCCATATGGCAAAAGAAATTCTCCCCCCATCAAGCTCTCCTGCAGGAATGCTGTTAATGGCATTGATAACGAGTCCGGCCCATGCCCATAGCAGCAGAGGGTTAAGAGATATGGGAGTGCCTTCCTTGAGCGCATCGCCAAGAAGAAGCTTTGCTATAAAAGAAAAAAAAATGTCTGAGTCAATATCTTCTCTTAAGGAAACAAAGCCCTGATTTTGATTGCTGAAATAAAGTCAACTCCCTACATAATCAGATTTGGTGATTGAAATGAAAAGTTAAAATAATCCACTATTCTAAGAGCTGTGGAAGATTCAGCCACACTTGAACATGCAAGCACATTATTTATCACATAAAGCATCCACGTGCCATTTATCTCTAAAATAAAGTGCTTACCAATACCCCCCACAAGAAAGCACTCGTGAAAAACAGAAGCATCGACAACAACACCGATACCATCGCTAGGCGGTAAGAAGAACCCTAAATTCAAAAGAACAAAACCCAAGGAAAATCCAGCCAATGGTCCTGCTGCTGCAACTTTCAGAAGATCTTCACGCTTGGGTACAATATTTATAATTCTTGTAATTGTACCAAAAGAGCCTATCTGCCAGCAAAAAGCTCATTAGAAAAGAAAATTGAAATCGATCAGTACGCACACCTAAAAGCAAGAATGTCTGCCTCGTGATACACCATACATTTTGTACATTAAATTATCATTTCTATACTTCTCCCAGCAGCTTTTTCAACTTATGACAAGACTAGCATTCCAAAAGTAACATCATTCTCCAAGAACAGGTAGATGATTCCAGATGGTAATCAGCCTTACATGCACACATACAAACAGATATTTACATCTATGTAACTTGTCTTATAAAGAAAGGGGGGGGGGGGGGGGGCGGGCGGCGGCGGCACTTCTTATGAAATTCACCTGCCAACTAGGGACAAAGTATGGCACTCCAAGCACGACTCCAGTGCTTTTTGCAACTAAAACATGGCCGAGCTCGTGTATCCCCAACACAGATGCAGTTACAAGGGCTCCAGGTAGACCATTCTTTAACAGTTCAAGATTATCATAAGCTGACCTGGGACATTAAAAAAAACGACGTCAAATAGCAAAAAGAAACAATTAATGTTCTCCCAGGTAGTCTTCTCAAAATTTAAAATAAACGCTTAAAAAACCAACGTATTAGAAACCATAACTTAAAATTTAGGGAAAGAAAACTAAATTAGCAATTTTCTTAAGTAAACTTTATCGACAAGGACAAAAGTGAGATCGAGGAGGCTTGTGGAAGAGGACAAGGGAAAAGGGGGGCATAACTGCTGAATTACTTGTCCTTGCACAAGAAAAGTTGGCTCAAAGTAAAGTAATCACATATAAAATGGCAAATGACATCATGCAGACGTCAGTTTCAAACAAATTAGCGAGAGAAAAATCTCCTAAAGTATTTCAGATCATGAGCGTGCTCTATATTCAAAAGTATATATATCTAAGGGTATAGATAAATAAGAAGATAACATTGTGAGGATAAAAGATCATAGAAAAATAATAATTTATATTTACTTAGCATAATGAGGATACAAGAAAAGAAAATTGCATACAGTAAATTGGATTGCAATTCAGGAACATTTCGAAGAAGTAGAGTGAACAATGTGACCAATCCAAAAGCACCAGCTGCAAACCATTCTGGGACCGCTGCAAGATTGACACCAAATCCATCATCGTAACAAATTGTAAGCTTTAGAAAATGAAATTCTGCCTACAATTTCCATGGAAATCCCGTATCAGGGCAGTAGCTAAATAATCACCAGTTGACTCTGGCTGTAATGTCCTTCGTGGAACTACAACTGCCACTGGTTGATCATCCTCAGGATTGACTAGAAGGAAAAGCTTATATTCATCCCCAAACTTATCCTGCGAACAGATTGTGCAGATGTTAACAAGGAATCGATCATAAATTTGAACAGTGAAACTAAAGAAGTATAGAAATATACCTGCATTCTCCTTGATATCTTTTCGTAACTTTTGGCAGCCACTCCTCGCAGGTTTCCTTTAAATAGTACTCCAGCCTGGCAGAAGTAACACAACAATCGGAGATGTGCAACCACACAGGCTAGAAAACATATCTTAAGATTTCAAACGCTTGCTATATTATCAGCATTTTTTCAATTCCTTTCTGTAGGATAGTTTAAGTCCACGGATAAGCATGTAAAAGTTCCTACCACCCATCCATATTGTCATTACCCAAGTTTTCTTTTCCACTTCTTTCCAGTAGAGAAATGATATAGACATAAAAAGGTAAAATGAAATTTAACCAGTCAACTTACCTCATATGGATCCTGGGCTGTCACAAAAAAAGTATCAAAGCCAAAAACTTGGTTCTTAAGAATATCAAGTGTTTCCTTTGGAATCCGGATTGATTCACCCTGCTGTGGCTGTTTAGGAAATTATTAAGAAGATGTTAAAAGAAGAGATGAAAGGAAGAAGTATCTTCTCATATAGGAAAATTAAAGAACTTCATAATCACCTTCACACCTGGCAGAGGTGATCCACTAGAAACTTCTACATTATTATCAACATCCTGTTTCAAACACAACCTTAGCGCATTAAGTATCAACAGAGCTAATTTGAATACCCTGCTCATCAAAATAAATTATTTATCGTCAATGTCTGTAGTAGAGAAAGATTGAATAATTTATGAGAGAACAACTTTCAGGCAGGTGGCCTCTTCTGTTGGGAGACCGATATCTGAAGGACAATTTTATGACAGGATTTCATGCAGGACCACCAAAGGTCAATATTTTCATGTATAACCAGTGAATGGGAGTCAATAAGTAATTATGATTAAGAAGTGAATCTAGAAACTCCAAGATGTAAAGGGAAGATGAGTTTTTCAATGACAGACAGTACCTGCACACCAAATTCGGCCTTAGTTTCAGCATCATTGTTTATTTGGTCTACAACTATTGGCTGAGAATCAAGATGGGGTTCCTCAGAATCTCCACCTTCATTTTCATTTACTTCTTTTTCCTACAATATCAAGATGAATGAGAAACATACTAATGCTGAGAAATCAACACTAACAATAATAAAATTGAAATTGCACCTCATCATTATTGCTATCTGGTTCGGTCTGCGTCTCACTCAATCTACAAACAACCTCTTGCTTCCTCAAATTTCTAAATTTCGCACTATAATCAGATTCCAAATAAGAAGAAGAAAACAAAATAATTATTTGATGAGCTCATACAAAGAACCTTACCTCGAAACCTGGTAGAGCTTCAAACTGCTTCTACGACGGTGCCGTTTTCGCCAAGAACCCGTTGAAGCAGCCAAATAAGGTTGAATACGAAGATCGCAGCAAGAGCTGCACTGCGATAAGGGAACGAAATTCCCGCGAAAAGTTGCCGACAAGTTCATTTCAATTGAAAGATAGTCAGCGAGAAGCTCTAATTCAGTTGAAATCCTAGCGCCATTGAAACTGAGATAACGAGGGTTTATAGTCTGAGAAGCTTTCGTTTGAAACTTTGAAGCTTCGGAGTGTCGATGAGGCGAAGGGGTCTTATCCTCACAGAAGCATACAAACGCAGAGGAAATATCTGTTTTCCGTTTCGTTGGGATAAATACGCGCGTAATGATATCTTTTATTTCTTTTTGTTTATTTATTGAAATTTGAAACCCGGATTACGAATCAGGATCATTCGAGCATAATAATAAAGTCCCTAAATAAATTATTTGATTTCGCCAAAAAATGAAGTTTCAAAGGAAAATACTTTCCTCCTTATCAATTTTATCTTTATATGATTTTTTTTTTTTTTTTTTTTTTTTTACTCAATATTGGGGAAGGGGGTTTGCTCACACACATTGTCAAAGTGTCGTGAGGTTTTTAATCAAACTTGAAGGAAACATAGCACAGAAGTGTTTCAATAGTTGTCTTCTTAAGCAGTGTGACAATTTTTCTCTTCTTTTCCTTGATCTTCTTGTAAATCAAAATTGAACGAAAGTCTGAATTTTAAGATGGAAAAATAAGTGCAACGACAAAATATAGAACATAAAAAGCACCAATCAGATCATTTACATAAGCACCAACAAACTGATTGACAAAAGCACCCACAATCTTTCACTATCTTCTTGTGAATGTAATTTGGGTTCCAATGGCTTTCCAAAATGTGCATTCTCTTCTCTAGAGTTGCACTGGTTAGCATCGAATATCGGCATGATATCTATGACTGCCACAACACCATATTTGAATAATCTAGTATCAGTGTCTCCAAAATATGTGATTTCTAGACAAGACTCCTATTTATACATATTATAACTACGACATCAAAGCGAAAGAGCTTTGCACATCTTCAGGTCTCACATCCCACCCTGACTTGCGCTTCCTCTTCTCAGCTGGCCTGATAAGTAATTTACCTGACTCTGCCGATGGACCCGATTGTAGTTCCACAGGACCTTCCCCATCATTGCTAAAAGCCCAGCCATAGCAAGGTTTACACCTCCGCAGTGCAAGAGTATCTACTGGGAGACACTCCTTGGCACCTGCAAAACAAGTGCACATTCATAAAGGAGTGGAACTGAAATGATAAGAGTATGAATGAAAACTGCCCATGGCTGAAGCTGTAACATCTATAAATATTTAGGAATAATTAGACAATCATTTACCTGTAATCTTAATCAGTGATGCATGAATAAGTCCATTAGTCTGTGATGTAGAGTCACAAGCATCCTGAGTCTGCAATTTGCTGTCCACAGCCCCTGAGAAAGTAGGTAGAATAACAATGCTTGAGGGCCCTACTGCTGCTGATGCATCATCATGCAGAGCAGCATCATCATGCAGAGCAGCATCAACATGCGAAGCAGCATCATCATGCGGAGCAGCATCATCATGCGGAGCAGCATCAACATGCGAAGCAGCATCATCATGCGGAGCAGCATCAACATGCGAAGCAGCATCATCATGCTGAGCAGCATCATCATACGGAGCAGCATCATCTGATGGAGCTGCATCATCTAGTGGAGCAGCATCGTCTGGTGGAACAGCATCGTCTGGTGGAGCTGCATCGGCTTGTGGAGCAGCATCCTTCAAAGAGTTCAAACCAGTATTATGACTAATTTTATACAATTAAGAGCAACACAAGTCAAGGTGAAAACCAAAATAACACCGGGGAATGCTGTTCGAAGGCATATAAATAGTGCAATCTCACTAAAACATCAAGTAGAAACGAAGAGAGAAAACTAGGATAGAAAACTCAGAGCTTTTGATTTTTCTGTGAAATGAATCTTATAGTAGATTGAAAGGACTGAGTAGGAGACTGCCATGGTGATGCAGTAGGGCATATAGTAGATGAACCAAGAATTCTAGGGCCAGAATGTGGAGGGACATAATATTGACTATGAGGTACACTGTGATGGGCCAAAAAAGAACCAGGGTGTTGAAAACCAGAACCACCTGAATTACCATAATGACCACCAGGTAACCAGGTTGATAGAAAAATTGGCCTGAACCGTAAGTGGAATTACCATATGAACTGCTACCATGTCTACTCTTATTATATCTGTTTCTGAAGTTATTCCAGCCTCTGTAATACGAGTTTCCCTGAGAACCACCTCTGGAATTCCATTGTCTATTAGAAGACGAACCATTATAACCTGAAGTACTATTAGAATAACTGTGATCTGGAGTCGGATGCTGATAACTCTGATCCTGAGAATATGGAGAACCTTGGGTTTGATGAACAGGGGTTAACTTGGTCTTTGCCATCATAGCAGTAAGGAGTGGTGTGTTCATGATAGATGCAGCTCTATTCAGATCACTTCCTTCAGCAATAAGTAAAGTACGAAGCTCAGAAATAGTAACAGGTACAGGTCTTGCTCGAATGTGAGATTCAAAAATGTTATATTCACCAGGCAACCAAATTAATGTGATTAAGATAACGTCTTTGTCTGAAGCCACAAACCCAATAAGAACGCCAAATCGAAGAGAAAGAATAAATTTCAAAGCAGCAAGAAGCCCCAATTTTCCCCCAACACATTGTACAACAAACGAAGCAACTTTAGCACACAACAATAACAAGCAATCAACTTACCCTATTTTCAGCACCATCTTGTTGTTTTTCAAGAAGCTGCTCAATTAGGAGTTTATAAGAAAACTCTTCGATAAAGGGCCATCCTTGCTCTGGAGATCCTCGCACTCCATAAACCTGAAAGCAAAACCTTTTGATACGCCAAACAAAACCCAGAACCCAAAACTCTCTGAAAACAATGAAACCACCTTCAGTAACTCTTTTACTGTGGCACGAACTAGTCTCTCGTCAAAACCCATTTCACGGGTCATGGCATCAATGGCTGCATCCATGCGGGAATCCCTCTGCAAATATGAAGTGGAGTAGAAAATAAAACAAAAAACGTGTGAGAAATCAGCTGAACAAAAACTTGACTTTTCTAAAAAAAGGTTTAAAAAAAACATAAGAAGAAAATGTGAGAGCATGGCCAAACAAATGCAGGTCGGACTGAACCATCCGAAAAGGAATTAGGAAAGACAAACATAAACTTGAGAGAGAAAAGGGATGATGGGGTAGTAGGACGAAGAGGGTGCGCGCTTGACTAGTGAGAAAGTGTGAGAAAATTAAAAAAGGCCAAACCTTTCTGGGTCGTCCTCTAGCCATTGTCACTCTCAGTCGAACAGAGTCTGAAGGCCCAAATCAGCTACTATTTGCTTTTACTCGAAATGGAAACCAGCAAAGGAACTTGGAGAGATAGGTAAGCTGCGAACCGAGTACCTTGAAAATTCCTCCAAAATACACTTCAATCAAGGGGAGAGTATGATCATTGCATATCAAGTGTTTTAGAAACCCATTTGAAATAAATTTTTAGCATCCTAAAGCTAAATCCAAGCTCAATTGTATTGGGCTTCCGGTTGTGTTATGTTCCTATGCTGGGCTAGCCCAACTTCTTATATGTTTGGGCTTAAGCTCGGTTATCTATTTCTTTTATCCTTTTCGCAATGAGGATATAAATTATAATAATTGCTTAACATAAAACTTCATAGATGTCTAGAGTTAAATCTTCACCTAAAAAGAAAGAAAAAGCAAAGTCCCCATTATTAACACACTCTTCACCTTGGTTATTTACTTCTTTAAGTTGGCTTCAATTCCGCAATTCACCACACTCAAAGTTTTATAATGGAATGCATAAGAGTATCTCTGACCGATATGTTAAAAATGCTACATAAACTTTCAACGGTAAAAAAATAATTGTTCATTTCAATCCAACTTGTATGTTTCTACTCTTTACTGTTTATAAAAAAGGAAAACGTTATTTTGTGTTTTTGGTGCTCGTTTGACCACTCTATGAAATTAGTCATGTCATTTTTCACCTTCTGATTATGTCTTAAATTGTGTGATAGGATTGACCAATACTTGACAAGACATGACCCGCCAATGAACAATTAGTGTCAAATATAATAACTCAGTTTTGAAGACACTGACTCATTTTCATTATCATCTAAAAAAGTCTTTTTTCCAACAGTCTGCGCAGTCGGCAATGCAAATATTAATGTTACAATTAAATGCATTTGCAAATGGCACCAATTCATAATAAACAAGAGATCGACTGCGATGTGCTAATTACTAATTACCAAAAACAAAATGCAATGATGATTTTATAATCCAAATGGTGCGTGGAAACGATACAGCTGTGGGAAGAAAATAAAAATGAGTGAAACATAAAAGACAGGCAAGTTAGGAACTGGTTCCAATCACAAAATCACATCAAAACCAAACCTTATCGAAGCTTTAGTCTTTCTAAAACATGTTCTGCACCTTATGAACAACCCATCAAGTTGGAGGTCGCTTCATCTCAAGATTAGAGTCCGAGCTTAGAGGAGATTTGGGTTTTGGTTTCACAGTTGGATTATGAACTTCGATAATGGAGTTTGATTTTGTTGTTACCCAAAAATGGTTCAACAAGAATTAAATTATAGATGCGCAACCCCATCAAGTATGTGACATTTTAGAGGATGAGAATAGAGAAAATCTCGAGTAAAGTAGAGCTAACTCATGCGGCAACTCTGAGTCTCATATCCAAACTCACTTCTTTGTGAGTGATGAAACGCCGTATGAGACAGCCCTACTCAAGACTTTGGACATATGTAACAGATTTGGAGTTGACCCTCAAACATGTCCAAGTCACTGCTGAGTTGCACTCCATTCCACATCATCAAAGTAGACCCCACCATTGATGTTTGACCAGTCAAACCTATATCATACGCAACAAAATTAGGCGGCAAAATGACAAGCGTGAATTGGGTTCATGTGATTGAGGAAAAAAAGAAAAAAATGGAGGTAGTGAAAGGAGATTAATTTCAGATTCTTCATCATCACAATACATAATACGTTTTGGGTTCATGTGGGCTAGCATGGAAAGGTGTTTGATGATAAACAGAAGTGAATGTGGTAGCCATGTGAGTCACATCATCAGATGCCCGGATTGGGTTCTCTCTTATAATCAAGGGTAGTCTTTTGAAAATTTGTAGGCACCATGTTTATATTAAAATCAGCAATGGCCTTTGATAATTGATTGCACTGGCATAGTTGATTAGATAGATACACTTATAAAAACAAAGGAGGAAACACAAAAGAAAACACCTCCAACTCCAATTCACCATTCACAATAATGTACTGATATTTATAGAGGCTACACAGAATGACAAGGCTGATACAGCACAACCATTTGTGGGGGAGAGATGCTGATGCCTCCCTGAGAATGATACAAAAGAGAACTTAGTGATGTACTGGTGGGGAGGCTGAGACTTTGGGAGGGCACTGGTAGCACTTGGCGAACAACCCAAAAGTGTCAACTTGCTTGATGAAGTTGGTCATGCTAGCCCACCCTCCAAATCCGAAGCCGACTATGAACACCCACACCACTATAAATGCGTTCACCACATACATCCCCGTCCAGCTCGGGAGGAAGAATGGAAGCTTCTCTGCCGCGTTCTGCACACATTAAAATTACCCGATCGCAGTTTAGTAATGTAATTTTCTGCAAAGCTGTATGATTAAATGAGTTGCAGACATAATGTGTTGGATCAGATCACATGCCTCATTGTGAGCTAGTTAGGACTAAAGACTATGACCAATAATGTGGGTACGTAGGGCCAACTTAATCAAAGAGGTGAGTTTGGCCTAATTTATTACAAGATCAGAATAAGTGTGAAAGGTACCACATACTGCAAGAAAAGGAAATTTCACCAACCTTATCCAGGTCACACAAACATTTAAATCCCAACCATTAATAAAACTTGTGGTGGAAAAAACCAGCCTGTTGCATTGGAAGTCACTTTCAACTTCCAAGGATTACCATAGAAGTAAAACTGTATATTCCATGAAACAAGACTCAGAGTGCCCTGTTCTCTAATGAGGCTAGATTGGAGCATTACCTGACGAGCAGTTGCGGATCTGAAAGTGAGCATATGGGCTAAGGCGGGGATGATGTAGACAGTGAAGCTGACCAAAAGAGACCCAACAGCTGAGTTAATGGGACCAAAGAAGGGGAATATGATGGCCAAGAACCAAATTGGTATCACCACAGGCAACCTGGCAAGAGCCCTCAAACATATGCTCTTGGTGTCATGCATTCCTATGACTTTCTCCCACACAAAATACAAAGGCGTACAAGCAAACCCAAATGTGATAAACTGTAACATGCCAACCACATGAGAAAAAATTACATCAGCACCTTCAAAATGTTCTCAATCAATCCCATGCTTGACAATTATGCCTATGAATTGAAAGCAGCAAACCATTATAAGCTTAGGCAATAACAACTTTCTACATGTTCTATTAGCGAAGTGGCAAAATGGCCAGGAAACAACATGTACAAACAATTAGAGTCTTGAGAAGGATCATCACCTGGTGAATAAGCATCAAGGTGACCCCGGCATCGCGCCATTTATTCCGGGGAAGGAGGGCGAAGGCGTTTGAGTGAGTGAGGAGTTGGTCCCCAAAGGCCCAGTACACAGCAGTTGCAGATGGAAGGGTGAGAGTGAATACATAGAGGGTAGCAAAGAGATAGACATACTTAAACTTCTGAGGCTTCCACATTGCATGCATAATTTCCCTGCAAACAATAACATGATCCTGCAGTAAAAATCTAATCTGGATACAGAGCTTGCCCACCACAATTGCACTAAAGTGCTTTTAGAACAGAGAGTTCTGTTTTTGTTTTTTGTTTTTCCCTATCTACCTAAAAGCTTTATAATAAAGAAATTATAATTTATGATTAAGAATATATAGCAGAAAGATTATTTTTCTTAATTCAATGGTAAGGTGTATTAAATAGATTTGTCAGTGACACAAAGTCAAGATTATCTATAACGTAAATGAGAATATATTTTTTTAATATACACCACAAGGTGCACAATCACCATCTTATTCGAGTTTTATTCTGTCATTTTCATTTTCCTGTCATGATATTCTCTTCTCTCACCAACCCATTAATGGCAAGCAAAAGCTGCATAATGAATACGGCCACTGTGTAAAAAAGAAAACCATTCTGGAAAAAAAAATGAAAAAAAGAGGGAACATCATGATTATATTATTTCAAATAAAACAATAAAATAGAATGAAACTAAATACTCACACAGTGACGGCGTGGCCGCCGAAAGTGTAGAGTATGTTGGTGGCGCCAGTGAAATACAAGACCATTTTATTTGGTCCTGAGTGTGTTACACCCTCAACCTGTAAAGCATGTTTTAAATATTATGAAGAAGAAACAGAGTCGAAATCAACGGAGGATAAAGAACAGAGATATGACTCTGGAACAATCAGGACCGTTGATGAAACTAATTACCTGGCCATGAACTATGGCTGCAATGGTCATATACCAAGCAGTGTAGGTGGTCATGCCAAGCCCAAGAAAAGACCAGATTCTGTAGTTGTGGAAAGAGGGTATGAACACAGTGGTGGCACAGCAAGCTCCGAATATGTACGTCCATGTCCTCTTGTCCAGATTGTCATTTATATAGTATATGTTGCTGCATAATCACCCATTAAAAAACCCAAATCAGTAATTAATTATGTATTAAACAGAACAAAACCCATGTTTTAATCTTGTCTACAAAAATTAGTCATAAAATAAAAAAGAGAAGTTGTATTTAAACGACAGACCTTGCACAACCTATGAGTTGGATAACAGATCCAAAGAGAAGGAAAGTGCAGTTGAAGGCCAATCCAACGGCTTTCCAGTATGGACCCAGTAAACCATCTAACACTTCAAACCACTGCTCAAATTTTTTAAAGAAAGAGGTTACTTTTTTAACTTCTCAAGTGGAAATGGTTTTGCATTGTGAGAAATGTTGGAAGCTAATTAGTTTACTTTACCTGGATGACATGGTTCTTGAAGCTGACATTTTCTTTTTCTTTTCGACTTCGGTACTCAACGTAGAGAATACTGATCAGATAAGCAGTCCAGCTTCCCAAAATACCATAAAAAATTTGGAATATGATGCCTGAAAGCATGCCCAGTTGGGAGAAAGAGTATGGCAGAGTGAGCAGAACCTGAGCAACCTGTTTTTTGTTTTTCATCAAAACCCATCAGAACAGAAGAATGTTCAATTATCAGAGAGATAACTCAAAGATAGTACTTTAATATTCGAATTGTGACTTGGGTTTTTGTTAAATTTACCTGATTTGATGCACAGCTGAACCAGGCATCATAGACGGAGCCACCATGCCAGAGAAAGCTTGTGAGGCTAAAAGCAGACTGATGATCTGGTCCTTCTTCTTCCTCTCTGTCATCATGATGATCAGTTTGGTTGAAGCTTGAGACTATGGCCTCCTCTGCCTGTTTCTGAGGTTGCATTGTTGACAGGTGAAATAGATCTGCAACATGTAGCAGACAGATTAATCACTCCAACAAGTAAAACCAAAAAAGGCAAAAACAGAGGGCTCAACTCAAAACAAAATAAAAATTTATGTGGATGAAAATTTGTGAAAAGAAATAAAGGAAAAGCAAACAAAAAGAAAAGTCATTTTCCTGTAACCAAGTAGAGAGAAAGGTACCCAAGTCTGAGAGGTTTCAGTTACCTTGTTGGGAAAAGAGAGTTTGTTTGAGATTTATAATGAGGAAGCAGGAGGAAAGGCTGAGAAGCTTTTTATGGAAATTGGACAAATGTCAGGCTCTTCGCAAATCGTTTACTTTCTTCAACTCCTCAGTCGGGAGAGAGAGTGCTTTATCTCGTTTTCCCTTTCAACGAAAGAAACCAGAGAAGCATGCAGAAGCAGTGCCACTGCCACTTGTATTAGCCGTTTCACAAAGATTGTCAGTTTGGCAGTTGCCTTAAATACTGAAACTTGAAGAAGACTTAACTCAGACGCAGCCAAATTCGATAGGTAAATGCCCTCTCCTCTGTCAATGGGCACAGTCTGTGTGGCAGAGTCAAAGAGAAGCACAACAAGTAAAAGGGGGTGTCTGCCTCTTTTAAAGAAAAGAACAAGAAAACTTTGAGTTGCTGTTGTCTCTTGGGGATTGATTTCTGGGCTTTGAGAATAGGAGATCTGACAAAAAGGAGCACCTGAGGCTAAGGGAAGAAGAGTGGCAGAAAAGTGCACTGCTTAATGTTATTTAAGGAGCAATGCTAGTTACCTACCATCTTAATTTTCCTTTATTACTTTTCTCATTCACTTTATACCACATGTATTTTACTCGCACATAACTTAATATATTTAGTGTGTTCAATGTATACACATTGAGGTCCCATTTTGTTCATATAATAAATTTGAGGAAAAATAATTTCTCATAGGAAAGTAACCGGGAGATATCAACTTTATTTCATTTCATTTCCCATGTTTATTTTGAATAGAAATGGAAAATAAAGTTTGTATAAATTTTCAATTATACACATATTAAATTAAATAAAAAAAAGAATGTATTTAATATATATTGTAATTCTAAATTGTTAAAAAGGACAAAATGTTCATGAAAATTGTTTATTTAATATTGGCTCATTTTCTCAAACTTTCTCATAAGAAGGGAAAACAAAACCCAAGTTGGGAGGATGACTTCACTTTCCCCCTACTTTCCCATGGGCCAGACAACGATTTCTCATGCATTGACTTACCAAACATAGGAAAGTAATTAATTTCTCATCCCCAAGTCTCATTTTCCATGAACCAAACGGGGCCTAAGTGAAGGGAGAAAGCAAGAAAGGAAAGGCAAGAAAAAAAGTAGTTAGCATTCCTCTTATTTAAGAAACAAATCTATGTACCTTTCCGCTTATTTATGCCACGTGAATTTCACTCATACACAAATTTATAACTTAATTTTTTCAAAATCTCTTTATTATCTTTACAATGCATAGATTTATGTGTGAGTGGAATACACATGGCATAAAGTGAATGGAAAATACAATAAGGGAAAAGTAAGAGAAAAGATAGCTCGCATTCCTCTTATTTAAAAAATAGAGAAGACAATTTAATTACCACAACACCATATTTATACTCTCGATGTCTCTATGTTTCTATTAACTGTTGCATAAATCTTAGCTTCAATCAATGTACTTACTGAGATTCATTTTTAGGGTTCACATGTTGCAAGCAAAATATTTTTACCATGAACCGACAAATGTGCTGGTAATAAGTCTCTAATTAAATTCAAATGCAAGGTGATTACAATCATTTGAGGGTTTGCTTAATCTCTTAAGAAAGCTCTAAGGGGCCCTCTGCAAGTCACTTGCTCAAGAGTAAAGAAGACTGAAAATTGTACTTATTTCTATTAAATTACACCTAATATTATTTAGTACGCAATCGTCCATCTCAGCGTTTCGTTTACTGTATATAACGTACCCTAATAACAAACTTCAACAAACTTTTGCAGATTGGTATCCATAATTTTCTTTTTTGAAATTGGTTTGAAGAGATTTGATTTCGATGATTGAAATATTTTGTCGAGAAAGTCTCGTTCTTTGAGAATTTGGTGAACTACTCTTTTAACATGCAGTCAAAAAGTTGGCAGAATCCAACCTTTTGTTAGAGACTTTCATCTTCCTCTATCAATATCACAATTCATTAACGTCTTTTTTTCTTCTTCCTTTGTTTTTTTCTCCCTTCCTTATCATGAGATTAAATAATAAGCATGCTTAGTGGGTGGAGGGGCCTCCTCCTCACTTGGTTCCTCATCTTTACTTAGCTTTTCCATAATATGCTCCCTGTCTCCCTTTTCTCATCTGACTGATCTGACTCATAATTCATGTTAATTTACTTGCATGGCTCATTAATTTATTTTTTTAGCAACATTATCCTACCCTAATCCAATAGTGCCTATCAAATCAATTGCATGACCAAACTCACATATATCTTTGCCATCTTATAGACTAAAAAGAGAATCATGAGGAGCTAATCCAGCTCCTGTTAACTTGTTGTTATCAAAGTAACCCTACCTTGTGTAGCTTTGCGAATACTAAAGCATATATATTGCACATCACGCGTGCCCAACAGTTCGAAAAGAAAAAAATAAAGTATTAATTTTGGGATTAGGGGGAGAATTAAGTTAATGATTAAAAAGGAGAGTTTAGTACACATCTGGTACAGTAAAGACAATTTTCAAAACAATGCCAGCTAGGACTTTATATATACTCACACTCGGCTCAGTGGGTATTTCATTCATTATTTGGTTGACTAGCATCCACACATGGAGAATATATACACTATTATTCCACGAATCTAGCACTGAATGTATAACAACAAGATGGTGAATTGAAAAAGAAACCATTTTATCTCAAATCCATGACAAATATCTAGATTCAACTTACCCTTTTGTTTAGTAATAGTTGTCTCGATTTGGTTAGATAATGCCAGACAGGTTCAATTCACTAGTCATCCTGTTAAAATGGTGAAGCTTTGTTGTGAATGAGTTGACCCGTCGAAAAAAAAGGATCAACACTAACGCAAAAAGGAATCTTTTTTTTATCTTCTCGCATAATTCAAAATAAAAATATTAGGTCCAGCACTTATACAATCTTTGCAAATTGCACCCACCACTACATCTCTAATCATATCAGCATGACAATTTCGGGGGATGAAGTGGATGTTATTTGCCAAACTCATACGTAAGAGAAAGGGTCCGACCATACCATAATGATCAGAAGGAATTTATGGGGTTACCCCACAATAAAAGAATACTACTTGAAATAAGACTGAAAAGGAAGAGATTGGATTTATTTGGCTTTTTTCCATATCAGCAAAAGCTTCTATTAGGATTTATTTCAGAATATAAAAATATTTAAGCTCCAAGCTTTGCTCTTTATATCTTATTATTTTTGGTATTTTCCGTCACTTCTTTTTCCCTTCAGAATCTGTCTTATAGTTACAAAGCATCCTAGGACATAATTCTTTATAAATAAAAAATTGTACAAGATCCATTGCATTTTACATGTATATATATATATATATGTCACGCCAACCTTTTTAATACAATTACATCAATGGGAATTAATTATTAATTATTAATGTAGGACCGAAAACTATTAATGCTGACTAAAACTTTCATCATTTCTAAACACATTTTAGAGTGCCTCACCGGGCCACACCACAAATCCATTGGTTTTATTTAAGAGTGCAGTACACAACATTTTAATACAAAATCAATCATTGGTTTGGAATAATGCTAGATGTTTAATATTTCATTCTGTTTAAGCTGCTACTCACACATTATGATATTCTATAATAACAATTCCTGGAGGGAAAAGACATAGACGTTATAAGAAAAGCTTTGGCTCATCTCATTCATGTAATATGTTTGGAAGTGCTTTTAGAATGGTTAAAAACGTTTCTGACAACATTTAATATAAACATTTAGAAGTGTTTATGGGTCATAAAAGCGTTTTCTGATTAACAAGTGCTTTTTCACTAAGTACTTCGATTTCTTATGAAAATTTCAACGTATTTATAATAAAAGCGATTATAAGCATAAGTACTTGCTAGATAAGTAGTCACAAACTATCATTTATTAGAAGCAGCGTGAAAATCTAGTAATCTTTGTTCTAATTTTCAGGTTAATTTGGATGAATAAATATTAATTATTAGGCCGACAATTTGTGCAAATAATTAGTGATGTTGGAACATTATTATACTTAATTACACATGTTTTTGTTAGATCATGATGATAATCATACACACTTACATACACACTAATCTTCTGCTCTGCGTAAACTTTGATTATGCTTATTTTATACTTGATTATTTCGTTTACCAACAAAAAGAAGATGATTAGTGAGCCTTTGGAAGCATATACTTTAATACCTATATAAAAGTTCCATACGAAACCGAACAATCCCATCTCAGTTGTGCAACAAAATCAAGGAAAGATTTACATCAAACTAGGTTGGGGAAATCAAAGCAGACAAAGACATCAAAATGATTCCAAAAACTTCAAATCATAGTCAATAAGACCATCATGTCCTCTGCACTACAAGCAAAATCGATATTTTTCAGCCCTGAATATTTTTTTTCTTTTTTGCACCACACTTGACACTACCATATTATGTATATTGTGTAGGGTTTATCTCTATATGTCTGCCATGAATGAGCCTATTGCTGTTGTAGGCAGCTAGGCAATTAGGTCTACGAGTGTCAAATTCCACTGTTCATGTGTTAGTTTTTGCATGAGTCTTTTCAATGGGCACCTTCCACCACCTACCAAATCTCAATATATCGCGCCTTGCAGACTTGACGACTTGATTGTTGGACTTGTGTCTGCCATTAATGGCTCCGTTGGTTTTGCATCTAACGCTCGCCGAAAATGCGCAGCAACAACTCACTTACCTCTGTCCTTTTTCTAGTTTTCTCTCTCTTCATTTGTTAGGCTGTAACTTCTGTTACTGTTCTTACTTCAGAAAAAAAAACGCAATCAAAGTCTCAAAAAGAAGCAAAGGATCTACTAGTGTAATGGTTTAGAGCAATTGTTTCTTCGAAAAGGTTATGGGTTCGAGTTCTAACTTCATGTAATGTGTGTGAATTTAGTATTATATCGCATCTCTCAATAAGAAAGGTCTTCAAAAAAAAATATTCTCAAAGAAAAGTTCTTGTAATATAGTATTGAAAAAAAAGAGGAAGAATCATTTCATTAGAACAACATTCAATTAAAAAGAGACGGATAGATGCATTAAACCTTCGGAAATGTAACCGTTCATTGAGATATACGTTACTATAATAGAGTTTTATAAGTGATTTGTAGTTCAAGTGATTAAAATCGTTCATAAATTGTTAAAAGGACCCAACTTTCAATTCTAATAGTTAACAGGTTAAGATTCAAATCGGGTAAACCCGTGAGTTTGCTAGGTGGGGAGGACTTGACTTGGACGAAAGCTAGACCATTGCTGAAGGTCATCGCTTCGCAGTGCAGCTAGTACCTAGCCTTGAACCCTTTTGACTATTGGGGAGTTGAAGTTGCACATCCAACACCAAATTTTCAAGGATTTGGTAGAGAAGGGGCTATCAGTACAGCGAGTTCATCAATCTTAGTCGCATGTCAAAGGTTAGGTTGGTGGGCCAAAGTTAAGATTTAACCAATTCTTAATTTTGGTCCATTTTTCTTCTTTCCGATCTTCTTAGTTTAATCACACTCGCAAAGTTCAAATCACTTGTGCTTGTATATGCGCGTGTATTCCGGGCCAATTGTGGGGAAAGCAGAGCAAAGAAGACAACCAGAGCTTCATATCAATTTATCACGCAGGCAAAAATACGTATGCTATAAAGAATGCTAATACTTGAGAATTGAAAAATGGGCATGCCCATTAAATATACAGAACAAAAAACCCTTTCCTACTTTCAAAGATCAGCTTTGGGGAGGAAGAAGCCTGAATACACCATGCAGCAAGAATTCTACTGCTGGGTTTTCGATACCAAAATTTAAGCCACAAAGAAGATGAAGACAATCAGGAAAAATACCAAAATGGCAAATATCTTGATTATAAGCCACCTATTTGATGATATTCGGTTGAGATTCCTTAGTAAAGCGTTGTGTGCTCCCTCAACATTTGCCAGTGATTCTTCCATGTTGTCATCAATCCTGCTCACGACAACCAGCTTAGTAAAAGTGCATCCAGTATTCTATGATCCAACTTTCATCACACTAAGAGACTGAAAATAAAACATCACAAATTTACAAGCAGCAAAAAGAGAAAACCTGATAGCCAGTTCCCCTTGCTGTGCAACCATTGTAGCCAAATGTGTAAAGATGCCACTCAATTCGGAAATTGTAGATTCTACATTGTGTAGAGCAACAGCCCGGCTTTGTGTATAATTTTCTTGCCTTGGAACTACCTGCTGTAACATGGACATTTCCATTTGCTGCGATGGAGGGTTATCCACAGCTAACCTTCGTCTGTCTTGGCAATGTTTAAAACAAGCAGTTATTTTCCATCAACATACATCTATAAACAGATATCAGAAAACCAAATCATTTAACACCTTATTTCTGGCAACTAAATAAAATAATCATCAATACCAGAAATTCAGAATGGAGAAAATTGACAAGTGCATCCTAGTTTTTGTTGAGGCATGACAATATGAAATATGAGTTCAATTGTAATAGCTGCATTCCAGATAATCATCCAAGTTGATGAAGGCCCTATGCGGCCTTCTTAGATGCTTTCCGGAAGTAAAGCAGACAGTGGTGCACTTCTAATTAAAAGGAGGGTGGTTGAAATTATTTGTTATAGACTATGTAGCAGATACAAGCATTTCAGGCACGAATAAAAGATGAATAAAACTAATACTGAAATAACGTGTGCTTGTCATATTTATGATTGGAAGTACATGCACATATGCATGCATAGTGTATGCAGCAGGTATTTGTAGGGAAATGACAAAAGGAGATGAATAAGAAATTTCCATTTTCTTTCGGAGCTAACATACCTCAGTTGGCTGCCAGCTTGAACTTCATTTGATGGCAATCTGGTGAGAGAGAGAGAGAGAGATGAAACGATAAATAAATTACTGGTACATGAACAGTGGAAGACCTAGTATACTACTAATTGACAAACATCAGAACATAAACATACTTAGTAGATCTCTTTAATACAAAATACTCACGGTGATGGTTGCAAATTTCCAGGTGCACTAGTTGTAGTTGACCAGGGAGCAGGTTCGGTCACACTTTTTGCAGGTTGACGGAAAGGGTTATCTCTTGATGCATTTGTAGAAAATATCTGTTTCCTATTCTCATGAGCCTTGATATTCTGAGGGGACAAAAAACGTAGAGTTGTAAGGAAACAACCAGAGACATGGCCAAAAAAGACGCTTACCAAGTGTACAAATCAAAACAAGCACTGACCTCTGTTCTAGTGGTTAATACATCTTGAAGCTGTTTGGTAGCCCTCATAAGTTTGCTTTTCAAGTCATCACAGACGGCTGTTGAATGAACAACTTTGTCCTGGGAATAACTTCCATCAGCTATTTCCATGCTTTGAATGGTTTGCAAATCGGTAAGAGCCACATTCAGTGCTGTAATGTCATTCTTCACTAAAACAGTTAATTCCTGAATTTCCATTATCGGATCATCAAACATAGACGACCTCTTTGCCACTGCAGATTAACACATGGCAAGCACAAGCTTTAGGTCGACATAACCTCACCGACCCAATAAAATTCTGAGGAGAATTCGAACTCAGTAGGAAAAGTGAACTCACAAATTACAATACTACGTTTTTAGTTTTTTTGAGAAGAAACGAAATTTATTAAACAAAAAGAACACGAAAGTGGATAAGGCAACCACAAACCGAAGAACAAAAACAACACAGAAAGAAAGAAAGAAAGAAACAAACAACACCCTCCCCTCCCAAACTAACAGGGCGGAGCTGAACAACCCACCCCCCAATCCTCAGATAACCGCAGCTGCCATATCCCTCATAATTACAATACTACGTTTTGTGAGCAAAATTTTAGGCCATGCAATACAATCAGTTGGAAACGTAAGTAATAATCTGAACACAAGTATAAGAAATCATATGTGACGCTTATTTTCTCCAATCATCATCAATTATCAACAACAACAAAAATCAGTAAATCAATCAGTATTTCAGAACTCTAAAACAGCTCCTTAGCAATATCAAGGATTTAGCTTTCATATGGCTCTCGTACTGAAGTGCTTGAACAAAGCTTAGCTGAACTGTTAACAGTTTAAAGTAAACAAATGCATCACATTCGAACTTCAATTTTGTAATTTTCCTACATTTTCGCAGCCACCAAACAGCTAGGCATAAATACACAAATACAAGCACATACGTATATAGAACACGGAAGATTCAATTTTGGAAATGAAAAGGAGAGGAGCAAATGCAAAATACACTGGGTAAGCCTTGAGATCTTCTGAGAGGTTTCCTGTATCCCCAACCCGATTCGGGAAGCCTTCTTGTTGAATTCGGATCCAGAAGAGGCGGGTCCCGGAGGTTTGGACGGAGATGAGACATTCTGAGGTTGATGAACGGCTGTGATTCCTCCGATTTTCTGGAGGGTCTCGGAGAGTGATCGGAACTCCGAGGTCCGATCACGGTACGTGAAGGCCATTGGAAACGACAAGCCTCAGATGGAAAATGGTCGAGAGAGAGAGAGGGAGATATAGGTATTGGTCGTTTGTCGGTGGATGCATCACCTGCAAACCGGAGGTCAGCAGCTACAGATTGCTTGCTTCCTAGAGCTTGGAGTTGGGTCCCCTGACGCTCTAGGCCCAATCAACTTCCGCCGTGACAGCCACAAATGCGTGAAATTGTGGCAATAATTTTAATATTGAAAATGAAATTGGTTTTTATATTTTCCTCTTTTGCATCTTCACGTTTTCAAATTTCATACATGAATTTGAGTAGAAAATTTATAATCCCTTTTGATTGTCAAATAATTATATGAATTTCATACATGAATGAGACATGATCACTAGATGTGATGAAAATATATTCGTCTTAATTAATGATTTAAAATTTGTAGTAGAGGTGGGTATTTTAGTTGGATAAACCTACTAATCCAAGTTCAATCTCCATCTTAGATGGGACTAAGATCTCTTAGTTCAAACCCGATAATTTGCACAAAGATGAAGAAATCTTCAACTCGAATAGCAACCTAAAGAGTTTAAGGGGAATGAACGCGCATGTAAATAAGATGGGCACTCTATTTTAGCCAATTAATCTAACTCACATATGCAAAGAATTTATATGTTTAATCGCTTAACATTATATCTTATGAAAATCATATCCTTTACAATTGTTTCAATCCCTCAAAAAGCTATTGGGTTAAATTTTTGAGTTTCCAACCAACCCATGCTCATTCGACCTAAAATGAAAAAGAAAAACCAGCCCATGCTCATACCTCCTCTTGGGTCAAGCCTAATTTGTTTTCACAAATGCATTATCCTTTGGGCCTGTGCAGCCCAGTTTCACAAGAGTCTCGCTTAGATCACAGCCATCCGATCCAGAAACAACAAGAAAGGAAACCGTCAGATCTAGGTTTTCACAAACCCCAACTTTCTCTCCCTCTCCTCCACCCTACTACATAAATCTCACCATCAGCCATTTTCATCTTCTACACCGATGATTCCCGAGCCCTTATGTGTAAAGATGCTCACTTAATGCTCTTAGGGCTAGTTTGGCATTGCTGTGTTGTGAATAAGCAATGCCAAACGGGCATTTAAACTTAGTCATATTTTTTTTTACTTGTTCTCGTCTTGAATAAAATTTTATCACTTCTCATAAATAAATAAGAGGGAGTTTCACTAAAACACCAAAAATGGGGGCTGAAATTATAAAAAAATCCAACACCCAAAACACTTTATAAACACACCAAAAACTCATCATTACACACACTCAAAACCCATTTATAAACACACCCAAAAAATATACAATTGTTGATTTTGGGGTTGATTTTGGGTGTGTTTTTATGTTTAAATATTGTTTGGGTTTTTTTATAAATATATGTCTAGAATTGGGTTTATTTATAAATTTGTATAAATTAAAAATAAAAATATCCATAACATACGAGCATACTCTGAAACATGTTGACCTTAAAATAGTTCGAAACAGCATGCTCTTATTTTATATCCAAAGTGGCTCTATAAGTAAAACCAAGCTCATGCATCCCATGTTGTCCTTAACAAATAAAACCACACCGCACAAACATATCATTTCACATTCATATTCATGTCCGAAACAAACATAATCTGATAAAAACTCAGCTCCTTTCATGCCTCAATATTTCCCACGATTTGGTCCCCCTGGTTCCCTTGGGCCCGGACTTAACAAGATTTCTTGAGTATTTTAATGTCCTTTTGACTTGCAAAAGAGAGGCAAAACGGTGGCAAGCCTTTGAGTCGTCGCACGTAATGTCTATCCACTAATACATCAAACTATATTCAGGGGAGGCACGCTGGTCTTCGTTTTTGTTTAATTTAATGTTTCTGAGTGTATTAAAAGAGCCATTAACCTTAATTAGTGCTAATATTTTATAAACTTTCCAAACTTGTGGTGGGGTAGGTACGTACGTTTTGGTTTCTTAAGCTATCTCTCACAACAACTGATGCGCATGTCTAATTAGGTTTGTTCATAAGTCATGGGTCATGACGCAAGAATGGCCGACGAAATTATGTTGAGGCAACAAAACTCATTCTTAACCAAATCATGTTTGTTCTCTTAATCTCGGATTTGAGTGATTGATTACGTTGGCCTCCCATTTCTCTAACCTCAAATGAGTTTGAGTAGTGCACGTACGGTGTACAAATTATAATGTTGTTCTCTTGTTTTTTTATTTTATATTTTTCGGGGATTTTTTTGTGGTTGCTTCTAGTGCGGTGCACTATCTGTGATGATTGATGGATAAGAGAAGCACCTGGAGAGGAAAATGAAATGGCTTGTGACTAGGGTTTGGAATAAATTATTATTCGCAGGAAATATCATCCAAACACGGCAAGAACAGAACAAACATACATTTTTGTTTTGGAATTGGGGGGCGGGAGATGCTTTGATTGGTTTTCAGCCATCAGTTTCAGATAATGATGTCGTATGGTAATTCCAATATTGATTTCAAAGCAAATATTCTTCTCCATCCCGATGATCAAAATGGCTGCACGATCGGCTAAAAAAATGGCACGTAATTGAATGGTGGTCCGTTCTTCTTTTTGAGTTGATTTCTAACAGTGCTAACTATATAATGGTATGGGTAAAATTCAAGTCACAAAACGAGGACTTGGCCAAAATCACAGAACATTGGTGGACCTAATCTTATATTCCCGTTACGTTTGGTAATCTAATCACTTGTTAAAAGAAGATCAGCACAAAAACACTAGAATGGAGTTGATCGACAATATTTTATAAGTGGTTCATAGCCATTCATATTTTGTAACACTCATTTATATTAAGAATTGACAGTAATCCATTTGCGAATGAGAATAGAGACTCAATAGCATATATCTGAAAAGATACCGATTCAATCCTATCAACAAGTGGATAAAATCGTGGAAGAAAAGGCGAGAACAAGTTGGGGCCAATCTATGGCATCCGGTGCATGATAGCCAATAATGCCCCACTTTCTGCGTCAAAACATGCTTCCTTGCTAGGAAACCACTCGTAGCCCACAATTGACTTTTCTCCAAAGTCAAATAAAGCAACAGACGGCCTTTCTCCCCCAGTCAAGTTTAATAAAAATCCTTCAAACAACGAAAGAAATAGGGTTACATGCGTCATGACTATAACCAATCAATCAGTTTATACCTGGTTTTTGTTCATCCCCGTCTACCTATTTTCCTCATTAAAAACGATTTAAAAATAAGTTGAGTGCAAAATAAAAAGTACCCAATTTTACTTTCTCAAAAAGAAAAGAAAATAAAAAATAAAGCACCAAACTTTTTTATTTGGATTGCTTTTGCTTTGATGAGTCGGCATACGAATATATCCATACTACCATACACCTGCACGATGATTTACGGCTAAGCCAACTAACTGTTACCATCCCAACTGTCTCTAACTCTCTGTTTGTGAAACATGGCAGCATCGTGGTGGCTTGTTAGGCACCACCGGCGGAACAGTGATAAGCCCACGTGTAAACGGGGACATGTGAAGTAGATGGCGCACGTGATGCGCACGCCACGTGTTGGCATGTCACATGGTACCCCGCGTGGTTCGTTGGCCAGAAAAGGGACGCCGTGTTGGAGGGCACTTAGATCGAGTCCCTTGCTTCGATCGGCCAATGGAGGGAAGACACGCGTGGCAGTTAAAGGCGGTGGGATTGGCGGATGTTTGCTGCGGTAAACGCGGGAGTGGATTGAGTCCAATCCTCCTCCAACAACAAAAACGAGTTTTTTGGTTTGGGATTCGAATTTGGCCGACGCCAACGACGTCGTTTGGAAAGAAGGCGAGTGAGTTGAGTGGGTGACAAGGACTTAAAAAGTTAAAAGAAGAGGCTTCTTCTTATCCAAAGCCAACGGAACCTGTACAGCGAGCAGTGCTGTGCCCATAATTTGAATTGAATGGAACGATGAAATGGCCACTTGTGTTTGGTTCGATTAAATTATTGTTGTTATTGTCTGTCCGTCTGTCCGTCTGTCATATGGATAATGTAAATGCAAATGTAAAAGTCCGCCCCCATTTTGCTGCTTTTGTGCAAATCTTGGAAGGCAACAATGTATGAAATAACAACTTTTATTGCAAAGATCTAGCATATAATAACAAATTGGTTTTGAATGTTTCGCTAAAAGATAAAGCTCCGAAAAATCACCTTTCTCGTAAATAACATTCCTAGCCTTTTGAATATATATATATATATATATATATATAGTATGGCTGAGTGAAACAAAACACATTAAGAACCAACGCCCTTTGTCCAAACCATACAGAGGTTGGGTCTTTATCTAGGTGCGACAGTACGAGAGCTTTCTCCACATTTACGGCTTCACTTTGACTATAGTCAAATTAATGAAAGACGAAAGGGCGAATACCTATCGTTATAATTATTTATTTCTAAAGAGTATATGTTCTGATTATCCTCTACAATATTCGATTTAAATAACAACAAACTTGTTCAATTTATTCATCAAAAACATAATTAGCACCCCAACAAACAATACGTTCAAAAATGGGGCATTCGTTTTGCCCTCGTATATTTGGAAAAGAGAATCGTGGCCTTTTGGACTTGAGCAGCAAGTAATTATAAAAGCGAACCTAAAAACCCAATCAAGTTGCCTTATTTTATCCGTTGTATATCCAATATAAATGAGCCTTCGATGGCTCAAACACAAGATGAAACATTTGCAAGCTGTACAACAATCCTATCCAAATAACAATACCCAGTTGGCATTTACTTGTTTTTTTCTGTTTGAGAGTAGCTAGTTTGGCTTCAATCAAATCTATGAGCTGATTATGAGTTGAGTATTGTTTTCCCGTGATGGATAATCGTAGAAAATTAATTGTATTTTTGTATCTTTCCATGTACTAAAAGGCCATGTTTCGGTCGTTTTCCTGGCCTAAATGCCTGGACAGATTTTTGAGTCACCTAATTCTATCCCCAGTTTAACGACAATGCCATGCTTCATAACTCATGTCACCTTCTTTAGATTTTGACCGATTGAGAATTATACACAAACCGTTAACTTCTTTAAATAAAGAAACACAAAATTATAAAAATGAATAAGAACGGATTTGAGAAGGGACAACGTGGAAAACCCAAGAAGCAGCCTAGGCAAGCACACCAATAATTTGTCATTAAAAATCAACTACGACAACTATTGACCGCTCAAATTATAATAAAATTAAAATTTTATGATTTTTCGATATTTTGAATGTTTCATTATTTTCTATATTTTGTTTTATATATGTATATATAGATGCATGGTCTTATCGAAAAGGTTTAAAATTATAAGATTAGGAGAAACTTCTTCTCTCCTCCTTTGAGAAAGTAAAATTCTATCATGCAACATAAAAATATACGTAATTTTATTGTCGTCATCCCTACAATGCATGACAATTCTATTTTGATTTACCGGTTGATAAATCCGTGTGAGCTGTTTAACTGATATTTAATTGCAAGACATATCCAAATTCTGCCGACTTTTTAGGATACACATCCAAAGTATCAATCAGAGAAAGAGAAAGAAGATAAATGTCGCCGTAAATTAAGAATGTAATTATAATCATTGATAGATTAGGAAGCAGATTTCCTTTAACGTTTTATTTCCATAGAAAAAAGGAAAAAAGGAAAAAAGGAAAAGTCAGATGGAATGGAAGGCGGTATAGAAGATAGTAGATGGATGTGCTTGGTTGACCGTGGTCAAACTTCAATGTCTCTACTATTTAAGATTCCATTTCAAACAAAGGCAGTTTCCTACTTACGAAGCTACGTACAGTACACATACGACACGCCGTATTGATAACAGGCTAGTCGTTAGGTGATATGGATAAGCTTTGTGTGTCCATAAATTTCTATTATATAAAAATGAAAAGAAATGGAATATAAGCTTTATATAAAAAATTAATTATTTTCAAAACCACGACTTTCAAATTCCTCGCTCTTCATGCCTATATTCCACACGCCTTTTCTTCTGTTTGAAATTTCCGTTGCCCTATAAATACCCCTCGCTCTCTTCCTTCCTTTGTTCAAAATATAAACAAAATCCAATTCACAAAGAAAACAGCCCTTATTCAAATTCAGTCATCATTTCATTTCTCTGCTAAAAACATGGTTGATTTAGATTGGAAAGCCAAGATGATCTCCTCTGACATACCCAGTAAATCCCCAAAGCTCTCCAACAAGCTCCACGTTTCGATACCCGGTTCGTTTCGCGCCGCACAAGTCCAAACTGATATTTCGGAGGCTTCCGAAATGGCTTGCTCCACTTACGAGCACTACCTTCGCCTCCCGGAGCTCCGAAACCTCTGGAACTCCAACGACTTCCCGTGCTGGAGAAACGAGTCCGTTCTAAAACCGGCCTTGCAAGCTCTCGAAATTTCGTTCCGGTTCATCTCCACCGTTTTGTCCGACCCGAGACCGTACTCGAACCGGCGCGAATGGAAGCGCCGGCTGGAGTCGCTCACCACCAGCCAGATACAACTCATCGCGATGCTGATCGAGGACGACGAAGAAGACAGCGAGACACGTGGAGCCGCTCCCATCGTCGATCTGAGCACGTCGTACGGCGAGCTCGCTCGGAACGGGAGCTTAGCCGAGGTGTGGAGTTCGGGTGAGACGACGCTGGTGAGCCGCACCAGCGAGGCCAGCTTGCTTCCGCGGCTCGCCACGTGGCAGAAATCCGAAGGCATGGCGCAGAAGATCTTGTACTCGATCGAATGCGAGATGAGGAGCTGTCCGTACACGCTAGGTTTGGGAGAGCCGAACCTAGCCGGAAAGCCGAACCTGGATTACGACGCCGTTTGCAGGCCGAGCGAGCTGCATTCGCTGAAGAAGAGCCCGTACGACAACATCGACAACTACGAGAACCAGACGGTGTACACCACGCACCAGGTCCTCGAGTCGTGGGTGTTCGTCTGCCAGGAGCTTCTCAAGCGCGTCACGAGCCGAATCGAGGTGAGAGACTTCGAAAAAGCCGCCAGTGACTGTTACCTGATCGAACGGATATGGAAGCTTCTGGCGGAGATCGAAGATCTCCACCTTCTGATGGACCCGGACGATTTTCTGAGGCTGAAGAACCAGCTCAGCATCAAGACGGTGGACGATACGGAGTCGTTTTGCTTCAGATCGAAGGGGCTGGTGGACGTGACGAAGCTTTGTAAGGAGTTGAGGCACAGGGTGCCGTACATCTTGGATGTTGAGGTGGACCCCAAGGGTGGGCCCAGGATTCAGGAGGCGGCGATGAGGTTGTATTCGGAGAAGAAGATCGGGTCGGATTCGGACTCGGAGAAGATCCACGTGCTGCAGGCGCTTCAGGCGATTGAGTCGGCGCTGAAGCGGTTCTACTACGCGTACAAACAGGTGCTGGTGGTTTTGATGGGTAGCTTGGAAGCGAAGGGGAACCGAGTCGTGGTGAGTACGGAGATATGTGACTCACTGAGTCAGATATTCTTGGAGCCGACTTATTTTCCGAGTTTGGACGCGGCAAAGACGTTTTTGGGCGACAGTTTGAATCACGAACATGGAGGAGGAGGAGTCAGACGGAGTCGGAGGAAGCAGTGAGTACTGTTTGGCGCGTTGACTGGTTGGGTTAGGAGGTTGACTGGGTCTCCTCTTCCTAAATTGTGTGCGACGGAGACTTATAATCAAGAGAGAAATTTTTTTGTACTTTGTTATTTTGAATGTTTCCCTGGTGGATTTTTGTTATATGTTTGTAGGTCTTCATGTATGATTAAATCCTGTAAAATATTACCATTCTTATAAAATATTTAATTTGTTATTTATCCAAGGAGAATTGGAACAGCAGCACATGATTCTTTTCTCTTCCTCCTATGCTACATAACTGGGCTTGATTGGTTCTCATGGTTTAACTTGTGGTCTGATTACGAAGAAAGGAATGCTTCTACAGAGGAACTGGTTCAAGGGAAACTTGAGTGCTCATATGCAAGTTCCAAGCCTGATATCCGAGAAGCACTTGTGTGAAACGAGAATATCACTGTTTTGTTAGTGGCGCATGAGTCTCCCGCATATAAGGGCCAATGTGCTGTGTTGGGCTATGGCCTGATATCCGAGAAGCACTTGTGTGAAATGAGAATACCACTGTTTTGTTAGTGGCGCATGAGTCTCCTACAAATAAGGGCCAATGTGCTGTGTTGGGCTATGTTACCCTCACATGGGTTCGGGTTCAGGCTTTTATCTCACCATTGTTTGTGAATTGGGCTCTCAAAAAAGAAAATGGAACTTTCTAAACTAATGGGAGGAGAGAGAGAGAGAGAGAGAGAGAGTTCTCCTCAACAACATTCCACCTGCACAGTTACACGTGTCGATAGAAATAGACGACAGGTGTGTGAGCGATTCTGTATTATTTCGCCAAGTGTCAACTTCAATAGTAATAGGAGAAAAAGGCGGTTCTTAGTCATCGTAGTTCGCATGTGACTCGGTACTACAACGACGTGGCAGTCCCACGTTTTCAGAAACCTTATTCGTTGCGAACAAAATCTGATTTTATTTACCAAGCGAAAGAGAATTTGATTTTCTGCGTAATTAATACAAATGGGGGTCTAGTGGACAGACGGTCCAATGGTGTGAAGTAGGAAGGCAAATTCATACACGGAAAGAACTATAATTAGCGGAAGAAATGCTAATCGTCGCAGTGGATCGGTAGCATTTCTCCACGTGTGCTGCAAGTATCTCACCTGAAAATACCAAACCGAAAATTTCTACCTTTCTACGGCCTAGAAACAAGCAAAGACCCTGAAAGGTTCTTATTCTTAACTTGCGACGTATCTTTTTGCTCTGTCTCATTACAGTTTTCAAATTCGGGTCTCTCTCTCAATTTCCGGAGAAAGAGAATAACTCCAAATTTCAGCTGAATATTCTCTCCTTCGTGGTAAAGGACTTTGTCACGTAAAATGGTGAGGGTGGGTACCCATTCAAGCCATAGTCATCATCAATGCAGATCATTTCATGATTTCAGACTTGTTCTTTCTCTAGTCACTCTCCTCTCTTTTTAGAAAAAAGGGTTTTGTTTTGCAATGATTTGAGGCGGTGGGTTGGGTGAGATATTGTCATATATATATATATATATATATTTATATGTATGGATTGGGGATTATGAATTTTTGACTGATTAAACGTGTTTGCCTTTTTACCCATTTCAGGTTGGATTAAAAGGGACTTCTAGAACCCAGTTAGACTTTTGCTGCATCCAAAATCCAAAAACTTTGCAGTCCTTGTATGAATATGATATGACACCCTTCTAGACTTTTTAGGCGCACGGGATTCGTGGGAGTGACCGCTTTTTCTCCATTCTAATCTTTATATTCTTCAATTGTCAGTTGCTGCATCTGTGCCTCTGTTTTTGGGTTTTCTCTGTTTCTCATCGTGTAGCTTTTTTAGGGTTGATTATTAGATATGGGATCCGGGGTCGTTCATTGTTCTAAGAGTTTGGAAAGCATACTTCAGGTTTCAGTACCGCATCCACTTTCTTCTTCTTCTTCGAAATCATCGCATTCAATTTCTTTTCCTTCGCTGACAAAACCCAGTGGAAGCAGTGGAGCTTTGGCTGATGGGTTCGTTCATCGTTTGGTCTCTTCTGGGTCGAGTAGTTTGAAAGGTCGTAACTCGAAGCAACGTTGTAGGGCCAATTTTGATGATTTCTCCTACGAAGAATTATCGAAGCAGATTGAAGATTTGGCACAAAATTTCAACCTTTCTGAAGAAGATGATGAGGAAAGTGAAGAGGAACCGCCTTTGGTTGTATCGAAAATCTCGAAAACGTCTCCGGTTTCCATGTTCCCAGAAGGTGAAAACAGCAAATCTAATGGCTTTTCATTGCAATCTTCGAGCTTGAAGCTCAATGCTTTAGAACCTTCTCTTCTTGGTATTCATCCAGAGCCACCAGACTGGCCAGAAAGAAATGAAATTGTCAGAGCCACCATTGAAAGAAAGGCCAACAGCCTTGAGTTTCCTATGTCCCTTAGGTTAATAAAGAAGAAGCATCGCCAATGGGAAGGGAGCCCCAGAGGAGAAGCAGGGGAGTTTACTTCTTGCTCTTTGAACAAGGCATTCTCTTCCATGGTGTTCATCGTACGCGAACTTCATAGCAGCGCTTTAAGTATAAGGGAAAGTCTTTACTCTGAAGACTTGCAAGAGATCGTAGCTAAGGTGCAGAAGAGAGAAATGAACATGTCATTTGTGTGGTTGTTTCAGCAGGTTTTCTCGAAATCACCGACTCTCATGGTCTATGTGATGGTCTTGCTAGCAAATTTCACAGTGTACTCGATGAATAATAATGCTGCTGTTGCAGCTATACCTTTGCCAGTTATCACCGAGATTTTGACTGTGACTGAGAAAAAGGAACAGCCCAATTCAAAATCCGATGATGCTTCCGAAGCTGACATATTTTCTGTGACTGATTCTAATGGAGTTGTGAAAAGGACCTCGAATGAAGGCGTAAATGGTGATGGTGGTGACAAAGTGAGCCCAACAAGTTCAATCAAGAATGCCATTGTTGATCCTGAAAAGATGTATGGTATTTCGTTGTTCAATCATGAGGAGTTCACAACCGAGGAGGAGGTGAAATTGTGGAACTCTGTGGTGGAGGAAGCTTCAAGGATGCAAGCAGAATTGAGGGATGAGGCCCTTGATCATGAAACCCTGCAACAATTTGTGTCGCCGGTGACGGTGAATGTCGAACCAGATTATTATGACGAATACTTTAGAACTGATGTTTTGTACCAGATAGGTTTAGCTAAGGAGCCCGATAATGCACTCCTACTCTCCAACTATGCACAGTTCCTCTATGTCGTGATGCGTGATCATGATAGGTGAGTATCATATTATCTTCTCCAATATGCTTACTGTCTACAATAATTCATATTTGTTTGTTGCCTTGTTTGCTTGTCTGAATCTAACTTTTACCAAGGAAATAAACCTAGCCCATCATTTCGGTGAAGATGAGTAAGACTAGCCAGCCATATATGTTTAGGAATAATACATGTCCTCGTGTTTTTCGATGTGAAAGCTACGGCAAGTGTCCGATGAGAGGACTTAATTATGCGGTCCAGTGTGTGATCTGTGTTTTTTGGGTTTGCAGGGCTGAGCAGTGCTTCAGGCGCGCCGTGCAAGGGGAGAAACCAGATGCCGAGGCCGTGAGTCGATATGCAGACTTCTTGTGGATAGTAAGGAAAGACCTCTGGGGTGCAGAAGAGAGATACCAGCAAGCAATGGCAACTGAACCCTGCAACCCCTACTATGCCTCCAAGTATGCCAACTTCCTCTGGAGCACTGGCGGCGAAGACACCTGCTTCCCCCTCGATACATCCTATGATAACTACAACCAAGTTTTGTAATTTGATAAATAAGTAGGAGCTACCATTACCATCCGGCAGTGCCAGGGACGTGTTACTGCTCCAATTAAATTAAGTATCTATAGGAAAGAATTTGACCGAGAATGTAAATAAAAACCTGTCATTCTCATTCTAGACCAGATTGACTGCAGAGTTATAGCATATACCTAGTTTTGTACTCCAGTTTGATCGCAATAAGAAATGAGTTTGACATTTGAGTTTTGACCAAGTTTCTGTTGTCTTTTTTTGCTTCTCTCTTTTATTTTTCCAAGGAAATCAATTCAATTCCAAAAGATTGATGTACTTTATAGTGTCTAGTCCAAATTGAAATTCAAAAATATTACCATTAATTATCTGTTACCTCCCAACATACACGATCATCTAAAAAAAAAATAAAAAAAAAAAAAAAAAAAAAAAAAAAAAAACATAAATCAAATATAAAGAGAAGATTCAAGAATAGAATCAAAATCCGGACATGGAGGTATAATTTCTAGAATGTGGTAAATTCCTTGAGTGTCATTTAACCAAAGATGCCAAAAACACAAAAACACCGTATGTTTCTACAACCACCTGAGACTAGATTTGGAAAAGACCTATCTCATTACTCATATAGCAACTGCCTGCCTCGTGTTACAAGGTCAGAAAACAAGAAAATAAATCTATATATGGGCGTGCTAAATTAGCTGCTGTCACAAAATGGCATACATTTCCTAGAATCCAATATTATACAACTCAGGAACAAAGAAGTACCAGAATAACTCTAACAGGACTGAAGCAATTTGATTGATGGAAATGTAAGCTCCGGAATCACCAAAACCAGATGTTGCGACTGTCAACAGCCTTCACAGACGTCGGTACCAATGGCATTCGTCCAAACTCGGCAACAAATCTGTCGATGCAGTGGGTTCTTTTTTCACTGTGACCTCCTAAGCTACTGATTCCAGTTGAACCAATCTCAAATATCTTACCTGAAGAAAAGCACAGCAATACATAAGTACCAGAAAAGAAAATAACTGAGATAGAATAATGCGGTAGTGTACTGCAAAATCACAAGAGTTAGCCTTCCTCCCCAAAATCACAAGAGAAATTTATGGCATTTCCATCATTGTTATATTACTATTGGTGAAAGCTGTAGTTCACATATAAATGTTTATATTGGACTCAATTTAGCTGGGGTGTCCTTGACCAAGGCACTTAGAAGTTATAACAGGTATCATCTCAACATTTAAATGCTCTGAACCGTCATTCTAAGTTTCATCATGCCTGCTGCATTATTCGATTAAAACTTTATTTATGATCCAGAACTCATTATGGCTTGTCCGCAACTCTTGTAACATCTTTCTGTAGAAACAAAAAGTTATTTTTTTAATCTCATTCCAATCTTATTCAGATTATAAGGACCCATAAATAAGCAAAATACCCATTCATTGCATGGCATATAATAAAACTACAATGCCAAACACAAAGATGCAAGGAAACAAAATTAAAACCAAGTACGTAAATTAGCATAGGATATGTGATTACCTTTCACCCATATTGGAGGAGCACCAGTTGCATTTGCTACGAGAAAAGACATCGCAATGTCTTCACAGTTCCTGGTGAAATCCAACCCAATATTAAGTTCTTTTGTACATTTATAAAACAAACATATGCACACAAACACAGCTCAATAGATGAATGCACAAAAACAGAGGTAAGCGACAAATGAACAAAGAAAAAGTGAAAACCTGTTCTTGGTTATAAATTCTCTGATTGATGCTGGCATTTCATTTGTGTACAGACTTAGGTACTTTTTGTGGAAGAAGGCTGCCTTAGACAGTACCATACTGTATGAACCTGTCCACCAAACTGACCACCATCCGCCATAAATGTAGTGATTCTTATCACCTTTCTGCACACAGAGCATATTTTTATAAGACAGCTGACCAAGTGTGCCATAAAGAGTTTTCAACATTATGAATAAGAAATGAGTTTTCTTCACTAAATGGTAATGGTCTTGTTGTAAAGGTTGTCTAGCCTAAAAAGTATAATTTCGAGCTTAAATGGATCAATAAGAACTTGAAACGTCAAACATAAATTAAGAACAATATTCCAACCAAGAAGCTTGAAGTATAGAGAAGACGGCAAGAACTTTGGTAATACTATCTCTACATGTGGACAAAACTTTAGAATAACCATTGCAGCAAGAGGAGAAAATGAGACATACGGTCAGATCAACCCAGTGCATGCGAGGCACGAATCCAACCATTGTATCTGATGCACTTTGCCAAACATCGAAAGCAAATTCTACTGAAGGGCAAGGGAATATAACATCATCGTCAATTGAGAAAATGCCATCTGTTCTCAGATCCTTAATTTCTTTAAATCTGTTGTTCAAGCTGTCTTCGGTATTGATATCAAATTTCAGTTCAACTTGTCGCCCATCTCTAGTATTCAATTGTACAATGTGGTATAGAAATTTTCTCAGAGAATCTGAAGGAGGACTTGGCTCACTCCACACAATATGTATCGAATCAAGCCGAGGGCATCTAGAATAGTGAGAAATTGACTGCTTCAAAAGATCATATCTCTTCCAAGTGTTCATTACAATAGAATATCCTTTCCTGCATAGAGGTTGCACATTTCATTTCAGCATGAATACACAACAACTGGTATCTCCACGTAAGTAACAATACGCCAATCAATTGCATCCAGCAAATGATAATCTCTGTTAACACATTAAAAACAGTCTAGTAGTGTAAAATTTAGATACACATATGAGGGCAATACAGAGCCAACACTATCTTCCCAATCTTTCAATAGCTAATTTTCAGTTTCCATCGGAGTCATACCTGCTCCTAAGAATGATCTAATATGGAAATATTCTCAACAATCGAAAATTAGATTCATCAATTCATTTATCTCCATTAGACCATATAACAACTCAATTTCATCTCTATATACTCAAAATCCAACAAGTTCTAGAGAAGTTTGGGATTTTATTGAATCTTTCCTAAAAAAAGTCGAAAAGAAAAATAAGTTTATTCACCAAACATCAAATATAAACCCCGAGCTTAATTATTTTCCAAAAAAAGAATAACTATCAGTGTGATGTGCAAGTGGATGGCTGCCTAATCCGATACTTAAATCTATAATTAGCGACTAACGCGGGAAGGATATGTGGAGCTGTGGAAATATCTAAACAACAGTACGAACCGTGAATCAGAGAACCGCTCCAGAGCAGCAGTGTGATTGGTCCATCCCATAAAGTCCGAAGCTCGGCTGGCGAGCGCGATGAGCGTGAAGCCGATACAACAGCAGAGCAGAAGCTTGATCTTCATGGATCCAACGGTCGAGATCAACGCCTGCCGCAGCCTCTGTACCGTTCGACGGTTCCACAAGCTCCCTCTCATCACCGCGTGGCTTGGCGAACTCGGCTGTCTCGAGCTCGCGCGCCAAGCCCAACCCGATTTGCTTGCCCGAGTAAGAACGAGTGTTTCAAGCACGAGTTTCGAACTCAGTCTCCGCACTTCTGCAACTTCCCATTAATTAAAATCTCCCCGTTTTTGTGACTCGCCGGCAGAGATAGAGAGATTGTTATGGTGCGACGCGGGTGTATGTACTACGGGGCAAAGCCCGTGCGACGACGAGAGATGGACGGCTGTGATGAGATTAAAGTTGGAGACGAGTAGCTGGTGCCGTTGATCTTATCGTCCGCGCTCTAATTGACGTCGAAGCAACGTCCGTACTCACATTTTGGTCTCAGATCGGAGGGGCCGATGGGAGATAACTTGTTGTTTAGGCTCCTGTGAGGGGGCCGGAGGTCGGTTAGGGTGTGAGGTGGTAGACGGAAAGTTTGGTGCAAATGAACGTGTACGACATCAAATAAGTTGGCGTAACGGATTGTCTTCAGGTGATTGTTGATGATTGATGAAAAAAGAGACCACCATCTTTGAAGGGAAAAATATTAATCCTTTCCGGCCGTTAAAGTGGACTAGGAGAACGAACCTCTTTGTCAATTTTCAGTGGGCTTGACGACGTCGTTTCTCGTCTCTTTGGGAGTGGATCTACCTGTATGAGGATTTTTTTTCTTCTTCTTTTTTTTTGGGTAAATGAGGTAACTGTATAATGTTTTTAGGCAAAAGAAATAAAAAAAAGAAGGTAGCTATATGATGTTACTATCACTGTGCCACAAGTTAGGTTTGAGTCTTTTCTTTTTATTTTTACTTTTCCCTTTGTAAGAGTCAATGTTCATACAGGGAATTAGCCTAATGTCAAAAACATTGTACATTTGGAACCAAAACAAATCCGATATTCAACTACTACATTTAAACAACAATAGATTGATCATGATCGTTCGTTGATGCCTTTAAAACCCACCTACAATACTGGTCAAATTAAACTCACATATGAGTGTCACTAATTCTAACATGACAATAACCGATGTAGATTTCAAATTCCAATATGCCAATTCATGTACAATGTGATTTTAATTATGACGTCGTCATAAATGAATAAAAATTGAAAGCTTGACATGACATGAGCACGTACAAAAGCATACAAGTCCTTCAATATTACTTGTGTAGGAGGAAATAAAACACTTGGCATCCAAAATTGACAAATGAACTCTTTCTGTTCTTTCTTGGACAAATGGCAATCAAATTGGATTGATGACTAATTCAATTTTTATATTTTTCCTATAACGGGCACCCGAAGTCCAAAGGGGCTAATTATTTGGAGTCAACGGAAGCAAAGGTTTCGTATTTCACTTTGGTTTTTCCTATAACGGTCTAGATCTCAATTGATTTGTGAATATATAGGGACACTTAGCGCAACGCTATTGGACATCTCACGTTCAAACTTCACGCTGACCCAATTCCAATTCGTGATCGTAAAGGCCCCATGAAAAGGACTTATTAAATTATGGTCCAAAGTCCAAACTAGTGCTATTTTTGTTGTATCTGATATCTCGGTCCAATCAACTTCTTGGGCCTCGTAGCAACTTAAACTGCTTCCGATTAAAAACCTTCATTATTTAGCCCAAAAATAAAAAATAAATACTACTCTCATATTTTTGGGAGTACAAGCTAAGCGATAATCTCCAAACTCGCACATACTACGACGGTGTCACAGAAATAGAGGTTTGAACTTAAAATCACTAATTTGTAAATCAATGTCATTTTTCATTGGGCTAAACCCCATTGACTATGCAATGCAAAAACTCGCTCTGGTTGAATTTAACACAAGTTAGCTTCCTTGTTTACAAAGTGCACTAATCACACGTCCCCACAGGCATAACAAATTAATATCGCATTCGTGACATGGGATAAAAACTGGAAGTCCTTGTGTGTTTTGTTTCTTATTTTCAAGAATTTGTCGGCTATACGATCTGTGCTGTTAATGTCACATGTCGTCGTCGTATGCAGAAAATCTAATTTTCTTTGTGTAATTTGTTACGCTGAAGGCAACAAACTCACGAAGAAGCTAAAGAAGATTTGGTCAAATTTGTCATCACCTTTTGTCAGTGCTATACAGTAGGAGCACTCAATAATGCATTTTAAAAACATGAAAAATGCGCATCGCATCACAAGAAGAAATTATGAAACTGGGCGGTGGAAGTCGGTCGTCTTTAATTGCATTATTGCTCCTGGGATTTTCTTTTTCTTCTTCTTGTGAGTCGGTAGATTAAATTCATCATGGGAAGAGAAAAGAGACACAAAGCCTCATTGATATAGACATCACAAAGTACAGAGAACCAAGTACATAATGAAAAAAAAGCGCACCTAATACATTCTCCTGCCAGTCCCAGAGATGGATTGTGGGCAATGAGCCAATTAATAATCAAATTAAATATCTACACACGGTTAGCGAAAATGCCGAAGTAGCTAGGCCGGTAAATTATAAATTTGACCGTGCATTCAAGTTACCTATGCTATACATTCTCTTAATGTCGCTTATATTAAAAAATTAGACCTTTACAAATCTAGGGTTGGATGTGAAATTTCAATGGTCTCCTTTTGATAAATGAATATATCATTTATTTGGTTACCAAATATTTATCTCTCTTTTACACTTCCGGGATATGTAAATGTCATTTTTCCTCAAATATGATAGATGTAAAAAAACATGAAAGGAAATGATTTTAGAGAAATTTGCATAAATCCCACCTGAACTTTTAGGCATGTGCACCATTACCACCTGAACTTTTAATTTTTATTATTAACCACCTGAACTTTAGAGAGTGTTGCAATGTACAATATATGTCTAACTCCGTTAAACTTTTTGTTAACTTTAAGAACGATTCCGTCAATTCACTATAACTAAAAAAACTTAACATTTTTAAAACTAACAGAATTTATAATTAATCATTTTTGTTCTTTATTAAAAACCTAACCTAAATTATCCCACGGTTTCTCCCATTCATTCAACAACTTTCCCCCTTTCCCAGTAGACCCCTCCCCCACCCTCTAAATATATCCAGGCTTTTGGGGAGATGGATTTCATGGATCTTCAAACCTTTAAATTAATTTGGCATTCAATTATGTTATTTTTTTAATTATTCATAAGGTGAAATTTCGTTCAAAAGTCAAAACGGAAATACACGAAAAAACCATACAAGAAAGGGCAATAGCATACAGAGAAGTACAACAAGCAAGCCTCCCAGTAAATCAAGCCACCACGAGCATAAAGCGACAACATAATACCCCCCCCAAAAAAAAGCTTAATCGGTAGGGGCTAGGAATCCCATCTCTTAACATTACCATGACTAATGAGAGAAGGGGCTGATTAATCCGTTTGAGTAATGCACCCTCGAGTTGGCCTTCAACTCTTCAAAAACCCACACCAAATATTTTATAGATTCGGTGGAGAGAGATAGGGATATGAAGTAGGGTGTATGCAGAGGGTGGGGATGCAACTAGGCAATGGGGAAGAATTTGTGTTGGAAGGGGTGGGGAACGATGATTAGGTTAGGTTTATTATTTTATTATTTAAATTTGTTAGTTTTAAAATGACAAGTCTTTTAGTTATAGTGAATTGACGGAATTGTCCTTAAACTTAACGGAAAGTTTAATAGAGTTGGACATAGGTGGTACATTGCAATACTCTATAAAATTCAGGTGGTTAATAATAAAAATTAAAAGTTTAGGTAGTAATAGTGCACATGCCTAAAAGTTCAGGTGGTATTTATGCAAATTTCCCATGATTTTATATCAAGTTTAAGCAAAAATATATTTCATGTATTTTGGTAACTATCTCACCTTTTATATGTTCGGAGCCCACCACATTTGCATTATCTATCGTCCTTTTCAGCATGTGTGGCCCAACAAATGAAGATGTAAAATCAGATGTAAATGTCCAATTTTTTTTAAATTTTCAGCCCAAATGCTATATTTGCATTCATTTACACACCACCACTTGAGCAACTTTCGGCAACTATGAGTGTAAATGTCCTTTACATCTCCCCTTACCCTTGCAATGGAGATGCTCTTAATTTTAATGTTGAGTTGGTTCATGCATGCTTAATGCATGCGTTTTACCCGTGTTAGTATATATATTAAAAAAATAAAAATAAAAATAGTTATTGTAGGAGGGAGAGGAGGCCAAAGTTTATTTCTAAGGAAAAAAATTAATTATCTGCAAGTTTCTTTGCTTCATTTGCTAAAAACAACTAGGATAATTTTTTTTTAAATAAATGAGATAGAGTATGAGCAAAAGCAATTTTATATCGGTTGATATTACCGGGGTTCAGATTTAAAGAGCATGCTTTGATTATAATGTCTGCCACAACGGGAGTCATTTAATCTGTTGCTTGCAGCCAAAGTTTAAGTTCACAATCATCATTATATTGAAGAGTAATTTCTTCTTTTGTCTTTATATATTGATCCCAGTGGATTGGTTGCTAGATAACTCCAAAACTGGTTTAATTATTATTTTTTGCATTAATCCCTCTGTGTTAATTTAATAAATTATCCTTGACCCTTGCTAATGTTTGTTTAATGGGGGCTGATAGAAGCTAATTACCTAACCACCTGTTCATCATATTTCATCCGAATATGACAGAGCATCTCACTTTTTGGTTGCAGCTTTTTAGAATTATTTTTCTGTTTCTAGGGTTTTAAATACTAATCCGTCTGGTTTATTGTATATTTAAATGCAGCAAAATATAAAGACGACCTGGTCAAGCTTGCTCCAGGAACATCATGTGCTGCCAAATCAGCAACGAGCAAAGCAGTGGCCCTAATCCACCGGGCGGCTGCAGCTACCAAATTATTAGAATCAAATATGCGATAAGCGGTTTGTCACCACTTAATAAAAGAATAACAACCATAATATTTGTTTACGGTTTTAAGATGGGAATAATTGTCTCTTGTGTGTGTGAGTGTTATCCCACATGGTCTTCATTTAAACAGAAATTACGATTTTCCAGCCACTAAGTATTTTAGGTTAAGCACACAGGTTAAAACTTTTGCTCATATCAATTTGTGAGTCCACTTGTAAAGCTGACTAGTGACTACCATGGTGCCCATGTGGTCCAGATGGCACCACGACCCCATTGTAGTTTTCCTTTAATAATTTTGATGCCGACTGAATATAATCATTTTATGATATAAGTAATATTGACGGAGGAAGAAATTTAAGATCTCGAATGCAAAGATAAACACGACATAGAAACTCTAGAAAAATATTTAAGTTAAAAAAGAAATGATGGCGTGGCGGGCCAGGCCATCCAAAGAGTCCCAAGTTATATGTGGCCTATAATTCTGAGCCAGAACAAAACGAGGGAACATTTATCTCATAAAGAATTGGAGATGATGAAATACAACAACGACGTGAAACATTATTTATCATTATCCAGAAATGTCACTGCAATTACAGATAACCATACTATAGTTTATTACAAATGCATTGACAAATTTAATTAATATATGCATGAATAAAAAAAAAATCCTATGATTCCATTACAACCCTTGTTAATTGTTTTCTAAGCAAAGCGGCAGCTGTCAGCATACAGAACAGTTCGATCCTGCGAGTGATCTTTGCACATTGAAGAAATGATTGTTCATGGGATAGGTTATAAAATTATCATAATCAACCAAAAAAGGATCAAACTCATCATCACAGGATAAATGATTGAAGGTTTCTTAACCACCTGCCACCTAGCAATTAGCATAAAGTTCAATTCATTAAAATCACCAGCCAAACATGATCAGCTCTGCTGGAGCAGACTTATCATTGATCATAGTTCAGCCCTAATTAATTGAAATTTTTTGGTGAGACAGTCTAACCACATTATTCGTGCAATCACTTCGATAAGAAAGAAAGGCAATCTGACCGCATTACATGTGCGATCACTTCTCACGACAAATAAAGATTCTCAATCTTGAAGTCCAACTCAACTCTACACTGGTCCAATAGAGTTGGTCGCACAATATTATAGCATCATAAAAAACCTTACATGTAACGAGTGCATATTTATGATAGCGTCTCAAAAAGAAAAGAAAAAAACGTACATGTAAGTTGTATCGGGCCCAAATCTCTTTTCTATGTACACAGTATGTAAGCTTTTTCCTCATCCAACGCACATTCTTCATCTCGCTGGAACCAGAACTCATGACGTGGACCCATTTCTTTGTTTAGTTCTGTCTCATCTCAGCACTGTGGCGGATGTGATTGGACGGTGCACACTATGCAGTATTATCTCATACATTCGTGAACACAATCGCGCCACGTGGAAAATAGTGGAAAATAATTTATTTTCCTTACGTATGACCCATTTCCATGAAAACTATTGAAATGCCTAGAAAATGATTGGTCGGCCACATGACAATAAACTATAATCAAATTAAAACACCCGTTGGGTCCCGCCACCACCCGCCCTCACTCCATCAGCTTCAAACACAGGCGCTGCACCTGCTATATATAATCGCACGCCATAACCCACTCTCCACTCAAACACCTACTGCTCTCTCTCTCTCACATCAGATAGATCAAACGGTCTCTGTGCTTGGTTTAGTTCTGTAATTAAAGCGAAAATGGAGGGCAAGGAAGAGGATGTCAAGTTGGGAGCCAACAAGTTTTCGGAGAGGCAGCCGATTGGGACGTCGGCTCAGACCCAAGATGAAGGCAAGGACTACAAGGAGCCGCCACCGGCTCCGCTGTTCGAGCCCGGTGAGCTGACGTCATGGTCGTTTTACAGGGCTGGGATCGCCGAGTTCATCGCCACCTTCCTTTTCCTGTACATCACCATTTTGACGGTGATGGGCGTCGTCAAGTCTCCGTCAAAGTGCTCGACGGTCGGGATTCAAGGGATCGCTTGGGCTTTCGGCGGTACCATCTTCGCCCTAGTCTACAGCACCGCCGGTATCTCAGGTAACTACACTCCCCAAAATGCACCGAACTGAGTTGCAAGTCAAGGTCTTTTTCACTGAGTCAAACTCCGTTGGCACCATGTGTCAGTTATTTTTTCATGATCAAGTTAATTAATGGTTGTTTCATTCGGCAGGGGGTCACATAAACCCGGCGGTGACGTTCGGGCTGTTTTTGGCCCGGAAGCTGTCGCTGACAAGGGCGGTTTTCTACATCGTCATGCAGACGCTTGGGGCGATCGCCGGTGCGGCGGTGGTGAAGGGCTTCGAGAAGAGCCGCAACTTCGAGATGCTTGGTGGCGGGGCCAACTCTGTAGCCCATGGCTACACCAAGGGATCAGGGCTTGGTGCTGAGATCGTTGGCACCTTTGTTCTTGTCTACACAGTTTTCTCGGCCACTGATGCCAAGCGCAGCGCCAGAGACTCCCATGTTCCGGTATGTATGCTAATTAATTGTTTGATCATTTTTCTTAGCCTAGCTGGATCTTGTTAATTGGTTGTTAATTTGAATTATTGTTTTTGATTAACAGATTTTGGCACCTTTGCCTATTGGGTTCGCTGTGTTCTTGGTGCACTTGGCTACCATCCCCATCACTGGAACTGGTATCAACCCAGCTAGGAGTCTTGGTGCTGCCATCATCTACAACAAGAAGCATGCATGGGATGACCATGTAAGCCTTTCTGATTGATCCATTTTTCTTTTTAAAAATTCAAGCCGTAGCATAAACGGCTCTAAATTAAGGAGAGGAAACTTGAATTTGAGTGCAAGCCGACGCATTCACTACCCTAGTGCTAGATTCAAACTTAGATCCAATAGTCTTTAATTTCACTTTCCGGGAGGGCCCATCTAAAAATTTGAGAGCAATTTAATGATTTTTTCAAAATGCTAATTTTTTGTATTTTAAAATAATGTTGCAGTGGATTTTCTGGGTTGGACCATTCACTGGGGCAGCACTTGCAGCTTTGTACCACGTGGTTGTGATCAGAGCCATCCCCTTCAAGTCCAAGTCTTAAATTTCTGTGTTGATGGTTTATGATGATCGTCAAACATGATGCGTACGTGTACTTATCGTGCTCTCTCAAGAAGCCGATCGATCGAGTTTGTTTATTTACTTTTCTGTGTATGGTTGTTAAGTGTATTTGGTGGTATTTTGTACGTATTTCAGCAAGGGTTAATGAGCTGCAAAGCATGTGTTTGATTTGATCTGCTTCAAGAATCAACGGCCTTGGTTTCCTCTCTTTTTTAGGCGAAGGCCCCCATCTGATGTGAGTGCTCATTGTATGTAATTTGGCAGTGAAATGTGTCCTTTTCAATTCAGAAATAACACCGACCATTCCTACTCTCATCTCCACCACACACAAGCAAACAAATTGAAATTCTTTCTTTTTAAATTTTGAAAAAACCAAAAGAGAAAATGACACAGAGAGAGAGAGAGAGAGAGAGAGAGAGAGAGAGAGTTATTGAAGTTAGGTGGCCACCTTGCAACGGATGAGGATGTGGTTTGCTCTCTCTGCTAGGTTCTTTGACTTTGAGAAGCTCTAGTTCTCTCATCATCCTGTGCTGCATGTCAGCAATTTGCATAATTGTGAGACAGATTAAAAGAAATGAAATGAGCTTAATTATATATCTCAATAATTAGTCTGGAAAAAGAAAACCCACATTTCATCTAATCATAGAGTTACAGGACCACTGACCTAATATCATTTAGACATGCCAAACTTTTGTTGAAGGTGTCGAAGAAAATTGAGGGTTGGAAACAATGCGTTCTCTCCTTGGCAGGGAAAGAGGTCCTAATTAAAGCTACAACAGCTGTACCAACTTATCCCATGATGTGTTTTCTTTTTCCCAAAGCTACTTGCAGTGATATTTACAGTGATTTAGCAAAATTTTGGTGGGGAAAACTTGACAAAGACTCGAAAATTCATTGGAAATCATGGAAAGCTATGAGCCTAGCTAAATCTGTAGGGGGTTTGGGGTTTAGAAACTTATACGATTTCAACTTAGCCTTACTTGCTAAGCAAAGTTGGAGAATCCTCAACAACCCACATGCTTTATGGGTTAAACTTTTGAAGGCGCGATACTTTCCAGATTGTGACTTTAAGGATGCTACTTTGGGGCATCGACCTTCATGGATATGGAGAAGCTTATTGGCAGGCAGAGATACTGTGATGAACAATGCCAGAAGGCAAATAATGAATGGGGAGGGGACTAATATTTGGGCTGATAACTGGGTCCCTAAGGTACGGATTATTACTCCGGTTGTTCCAATACCTATCAATGCCCCTCAATTGGTTTCAGAAATTATTGATGTGAGGAGTGGTTCTTGGAACTTAGACTTGGTGGCAAGCTATTTGAGTTGGGAAACAAAAAGACGAATCCTTTCAATACCTGTGGGGGCCTCAAGGCACACCATGATAGAGTTGTTTGGCCTCGGACTTCTAATGGATTGTATTCAATGAGATCAAGATATCACATTCTTCATTCAACACATAGAGCTTTGGCTATGGGGAATTTGCATTCGTCCCATATTATACCTATCCAGGTTTGGAAAGCAATCTGGTAGTTTAGCACTCTGCCAAAAATCCAGTTGTTCATGTGGAGAATTGTCTTGAATGCGGTTCTAACTAGAATGAATTTATTTTGAAAAAATATTTGTGGCTCTCCTATCTGCTCTGTGTGATCAATTTGAAGAAATGATCGAACATTGCTTTTTTTTTCTTTTTTTGGTCGAAGGAAATGAAATTCCATTAACTTAGCAAATTACAAACATAGCAAAATACAAACAGGCCCAATACAACAAACAGAAAAAAAACAAAAGCACAATCAAACAAAATAAAAGCCCAACCATAATACACAGACTTGAGGCCCAACACAACAAAAAACCCTAAGACATACACAACCCTAAAAGCACACCCAAGAACTAAGCAGCCGCCACTGCTGCCACCCGATCTGCCGTCGCTGCCAGTAGAGGAAGGTCCATGAGAACCGACACAGGAGATCTGAAGAGCGTGGATTCGGGGAAGCGAGCCACCACCGTGCATCAAGCTCAAGCGATCTGTGGATTGGTCAAAATTGACCATTAAACTACAGAGCCAACGCCTCCAGAGCAAACGCTCTGATTTGAGGATGGAGTGTAGGAGATGAACAGCAACAACAAACCAGAAGACAACCAAGCAGAACCTAGGAAAAGGGAAGGGGTTTAGGGTTAAAGAGTTCATGTAAGAGGAAGAGAAATGGGCTGAAGGGGGGTGGGTGGATGAGAGGAGAAGAGGGAGAGAGAGGTGCAATGGCTGTATAGGAGTGGGAGGGAAGAGAGTGAGGAGATCTGGGCCAACATCAAGAAAAACAAAGGAGAAAAAACACACCAAACTAAACAAAAGCAAGGAAAGGTAAAGGCCACACCGGAGGGTGGCGGAAAAGCCACACCAGAGGGTGGCGGAGAGGCCACACCAGAGGTGGCAGAGAAGCCACCCCGAAGGGTGGCGGCACAGCCAGAAGCTCAGAAGAAAAAGATGGGAAGGAGAGAGATTCTAGAGAGAAGGTGGAGCCTCTCTCTCTAAAGTCTCTCACACAAGTCTAGTACACTTGCTTTTTCTTTGCCCCTGAACTTAGGCAGTATGGTTTGGGTCCCCTTTGTCAATGCGAATTGATCAACAATATTTGATGCGTGGTTTAATGAAATTTTGAGTATTCGATCGGGGTCTAAGCAAGACAAATCGGATATGCTTACCCTTTAAAGTTTTTTCCTTTGGGAGATTTGGAAAACCAGGTGCAAGGCTATCATTGAAAGGAGTACCATTGACCCGGGCAAGGTTATTGAGAATTCACTAAGAGCTCAAATGGAGTTTACTGAAATCTGAAGGGTTCCTAGTGATTAAGTGGCCGTGAACAACATTTTGAATGTCCATCCTGCTTCCTGGAACGCACCTTTAGGTGATTTGTGAAAATAAATGTGGATGGAGAATGGATTGGTGACACTCTGAAAGGTGGCGTTGGTGTTGTTATTAAAAATACTGATGGTCAATTTGTTGGGGGTTTAGCTGGTCCTATTTGCTGTGATTAAGCACTAGATGCGGAAGCTCATTCAGCAATTAAAGGGCTTGCTTTGTTAGCTAACCTTGTCTTTAGAGATGTCATTGTGGAAACTGACTCAAAATTGCTTATCAATGGGATAAATGGTGACTTTAGAAACAAAGTGTGGTCCATTATGCCCATTCTTGAGGAGCTTCATAGAATCTGTGGGTCTATGCATGAGGTTTGATGGAGCTGGTGCATAGAGATTTAAATCAGGCGGCTCATGAAGCATCTGTGATTGGAGTTAGAGTTATGGAGCTGGAAAGCTGGGTCTCACGACCACCATTGTCTCTAGTGCAACTTCCGGTCTCAGATGGACTCCCATGTCCTCTTTAAGTTTATTTTTGTTTTGGGTTGAAAGTTTTTCTTTGTTGGGTTGTATGGATTCAGTTGAAAGGCTTTCAGTTTTGCTTTCTTTCTTTTATTGTAAGCTTTTTTGCCGATTTTTCAGCCTTAGAATGAAGTTTCAGACTCTACCCAAAAAAAAAAGTTTGTGAAGGAAAAACTCTCAATTTCCATCTATCATTATTGTCTAACGTCTTAGCATAGGAGCTAACAAGATCTAACCCAATAAAAAAGGACTTAAACTTACAAATTATAGATCTCAAGTTCGATTCTCCATAACATCATAGCAATCACCTGAAGTTTTGCTTCTTTGGCAGCCTTCATGTGACTTCAAATTTGATAACCATTCATGCAATAAGCTAGTTTCTTAATAGAAAATCCTAAACGCATCCAAACTCATTTGCCTTTAGAGCTAATTATTCATCATTCTTTATACGCTTTTTGGAGTTAGTGTTTTTTTTCTTTCCGGATTTTTGGAGTTAGTGTTGGCAGCTGGCACATCAACATGGGGAAAATTTGAAAAGGGAAATGAGCAGGTTGCAATGGAGATGGGAGGGGAAAATAAAAAAGGAATATAACAACAAACGCATGGTTGGGATTGGACTGGTGAGCATACTTTTTGTTTTACTAATTTTCTTACAAAGCAACTTGAGCTAGAGCCTGTTTCGTGAGGTTGACAGAAAGTAATAAGGAAGAAGATGAAATATCTAATCAATTTGCCCAAAGTTTAGTAACGGAAATTGTTGTTGACATTCAAAAATAGTAATAATGTAACTTCTCCTTTATTATTTAATAACTTAACTTTTTCACAATTCAGAGCTACAAGAGGAGTAGATGACTATTTTGAAAAGAGGTAACATTGTTTATGCTATGAGCAAATGATCGTTAATATTTAATAAGTTTGATGTAATATTGGATTTGAACCACTAACTCCCGTCTGTATGAAAGTAATACTCTTTTTTTTGGTTGGAGTATAAAAGAAATTCTCTTTATTTTTGGGCATGTTTGATGAATTGGGGAACTTAAGAATTTGGGAATATGAAATTAAAATCGGATCAACTATTCCCCTAATTAATCTGATTAATAGTTTTAAGAGTATTTGATTACAAATTTTGCTATGAAACTCCTATAATTTCTTTTATTATTCCGCACGTGTAAGTAACACAAGAAAAGAAATTATAGGAGTTTCATGGGAAAATTATAGTCGGCCATATTTCTCTAGTTATCGTTTTTGTCTTTGGGCCTCTACTTACGTATTTGTTTATGTATGAATACGGCCCATTAGACATATGGTGACATGCTAAGCATTGGGCTAATGTCAGCCTATTCACTGTTTACAGTTGAAAGGCCCACATACAAATTCTTTTCAAAAAAGGAAAAGGTAAAGTCCAATATCTCCTCTCATCTCTTCTCTATCCACCAAAACCCTAGTTGCTCGCGCCATCCTTGTGCTCCTTCTCTCGCAAACTCTCTTAGCCCCAAGCAAACCAGATCCATCAACGCTGAGAGAGAATGGCGGTGATCGAGCACACAGTGTTGCAGTTCTCCACGTCGTCGTCATCGAGCTTGTCGGCGAAGGTTCATCCTCTCGTCATCTTCAACATCTGCGATTGCTATGTCAGGCGTCCTGACCAAGCCGAGCGCGTTATTGGCACGCTCCTCGGCTCTGTCCTGCCTGATGGCACAGTCGATATTAGAAACTCTTACGCCGTTCCTCATAACGAGAGCGCGGACCAGGTCCCCTGCTTTCCCTGATGTCTTTGTTTTTAATTTTGATTCGTGCTTGGTTGATGTGATAATTGTAGTTAATTAACCTAATTTTCTTCAAGATCAGCTGACTGATTTAGTAATTTTTTTTTGTGATGTCTACTTTGCAGGTTGCTTTAGATATCGATTACCATCACAATATGCTCATATCCCAGCAAAAGGTTAATCCAAAGGAAGTCATTGTTGGATGGTAAATGTCATGATGCCTTTTCTCTTATTTTAGTTTTCTTAGTTATTGATATGCAAATTTTCAGGCAATTTTTGTTGGGAATTCTAACTATTTCGCGGGTAATAATAAAACTCATTCTGACTGAATGTTTCTTCATTAGTGTGATTTGTGTTATAATTCAGTGCGTAACACATAACTTATTGACATTTGTGGAGTAGAATAACTTTAGAAATTTATCAAGTTTTCTAACTCTTCCAATGGGATTTTCTTTAACTAGTGGTTAAGCTCGTTGCCAAATATTAAGAACTTGTAAAAAGGAAAAAGGTTGTGGTGGAAAATTTGTTTAGTACATTTGTGGTGATAGCATGAAATCTATGGTCCCCATGTTAGTTTCGTGAAAATTGAACATGTATTTTAACCTTATATATGCTAGTATAAACTTATGTGATGGAGATTTGTAATATTTCCAAGTTGGTTAACATGTTTATTGTTGTGGCTCTATGAATGCTTGTAGGTATTCTACTGGTTTTGGAGTTACTGGGGGTAGCGTATTGATCCATGAATTCTATTCTAGGGAGGCTCCCAACCCAGTTCATTTGACTGTTGATACTGGATTTAGAAATGGGGAGGGTACCATTAAAGCCTATGTTTCAGTGAATTTGTCTCTTGGAGATCGGCAACTTGCAGCACAGTTTCAAGAAATTCCTCTCGATCTTCGCATGGTTGAAGCTGAGAGAGTTGGATGTAATCTTCTAATCCCTCATTGTTTTTGGTATCATAGTTGATCCATGTTTTCTCTCATACACACACAACACCTTCACTTCAGAATCCTTGAATAATTTTTCTGAATTGATTGAACAAAAGTAACTTGTTCACTAAGCTTTGGAGGAAACTCGAAGGAACTTGTTATTCTGAGCATTAGTACAAATACGTGATTACATGTTTCAACAACAGTTTGCTGACTTTGTGAAAATATGGGGGTCCTACTTGTCAAAAAGGAGCAGTTTGTTTGTGGTTGACTAACATTCTGTCAAGCATTGCGTTCTGAACGGTTATTATAGATAGACACACATGCACGTATAGAACCCTTTCACACACAAAATTCTCTCTCCCATCCGTTGGATCAAATATGGCAAGCTGAAATGTATTTAGATGCATATGACTCCCCGTGCATCTGAGATATCTAGATTTGATTTGACAGTCGAAATACGTTACATTGCTTGTGGACTTCAGCAGAGAAGAATTGTGTGTATTTGTATATATATTAGATTACAATACTGATGAAAATGAAGGTGTGGTATAAAATAGGCGCTGCAGTGTTGCTTGTTTCTTTTAAGTCTGTTATATTTCCATACTGCTACGTGCTTTTCTCATCAATCAGAAATTGTCATGTTTGTCTTGGCTTTTATTCAGTATATTGGTTGAACTCAAGCTTTCTACTAATTTTTTTGCATATGATTGTTTGGGCATTTAAGCACGATGCTAGTCTGGTTTGAAATCATATGTTTTTCCATGATGGCAGATGATATTCTAAAGACCACAATGGTTGACAAACTCCCTACTGATTTGGAAGGAATGGAAGCCTCAATGGAGCGACTCCTAGCTTTAATTGATGATGTTTACAAATATGTTGACAATGTTGTGGTTAGTAAGGAGGTTTAACCTTTTTGAGTCAGTCTTGCTTGATTTTTCTTAAATTTGATAATGGATCTTGTTTTCAGGAAAGTCGTGTTGAACCCGATAACAACATAGGGAGATTTCTCTTAGATGCAGTTGCATCTCTTCCGAAATTATCTCCTACAGCTTTTGATAAGCTTGTGAATGACGGCCTGCAGGTACTAGTATAGTCTGGTTCATTTTGTTGCATCAGGAAGGATTAAGTTTTAGTATATTTGTTGACTTTCTTCAATATGTTTCCAATTGATGTTCTTATATTTCAATCTTATAGAACCTGGAGTGGGTCTAGTTACTAATTTTGCTACCTGGTTTGCGGGAGATTGTCTGACATGAAACTTGTCCTTTTCTTTTGTTCCTTACAGGACAATTTGCTCTTGCTCTATTTGTCAAGCATCACCAGGACACAGCTCACCCTAGCCGAAAAGTTGAACACGGCTGCGCAGGTTCTGTAATTCCTATTTGCTTACAGAATCTACTGTCAAGACAATTCTACTTTTAAGAAGTCATCTGTTAGGGATATATGGCCAAGTGTGAGAACGTGGCCTTTGTTTCCAGAGAAGGTTGTAATATCTTTATTTCATTGAAAGTATAGGTAGGATTTTTCAATCATTTCAAGATTGCTTTTAACTGTCGGCTAGAAACATGATCATTTTTGGAGCTAATGTTATGGTTCATATCTCGTCTCTGTGCATTGGCGTGTGACGATTCTGCTTTATCTTTGTACCTTTACTACATCTAGAATAGGATGTTACCTTTTTGCTGCTGCTGGTCTTTCTGAATCCGTTATCCATACTTTGCTTTAGTATCCGAACAGTAAACTGAATTGGGATTCCTACTTGGCTTGGTCTTGTATCCCGTAGAATGAGAAAGCATATGCCTTTATTTTCTTCCAATACAAATTCACCATGGAAGCCTTCCCCGAACTGCTCGTGATTTTCAACTTTATGAAGGTGAAATCCGAAATATGAACGATGGGTGGTGTATTCCGTAAGCAATATGATAATCCTCGTGTTTGGGAGAAACGAGTGGAAAACTTGAAAGTTAATTACTGTCAAATTAACTTATCACGGGGCATCTACAACTATATTACTTGCATTTGATAGTCGTACGCGATTTTTAATAAAGTGCCCTTGGGGACAACTCCAGTGTTTCCCAATGAATCTGTTGAAATTACCGGATGGAAAAATGTCACAGATCCTGGTAGTTACATAAAAAATCGATGCTAGAGTAAAGTATTAGAACTTTAAAATGTTTTTGAAATTGTGGAGAGAATTAACTCTACTAAAAAAGATTTAGTGAGCAAATGTGTCTAGCTCAACGGAAAGGTGCCTTGACTTTGTGTGTGTGAGAACGGAAGAGGCTACAATGAAGAGTTTAAAGTGAGGAGATCAATTTCACCATCAAAACATTTAAAATGTTTTAAGTCTCATGATTTCTTTACATTTCTTGATAGTGAGAATGACCTCCTCAAATAGCCTCATCACTTTAAACTTCTCATTATAGCCTTCCCGGTGAGAAAACCCCTTCTCCCAACATTGCTTGTATAAAAAAAAATAAAAAAAATAAAGTTGGTTATCAGTGGTAGCAACAAACAGAAAGGATGCTAAGTACATATGCAATTAAGAAGTGGAATTATTATGATTATAGTGGGTTGAAGTAAGTGAGTTTGGCCTTTGCCCATTAATGAGATGCCAGCAGGCAGCAGCAGCAGCCAAGTATGATTGGATATCCACAACGTCTTAATCCCCCAAAATCATATTCTCTGCTCTCTTATAAAATATGAACGGTAAGTAAGTGGGGGTGGCTTTTGGCCTTTTTCTCTGGATGATGGCGGTGAACCTTCCACTGCTGCTTAGTGCTTAATTATAAGCAGCAATGGAGACAAGAAAGTCGAAAAAGGAGGAGATTTATAGGGGGCGGCCTGGATTTCACGCGTGCCCTAATTCTAGCCAAGCCTTCTCGAATCTCACGTTTTCCGCATTCACCCTCTCCATACGCATAATAAACACATCTTTCTCGTTTCTCTCTCTCTCTCTATCTCAAATCTCATGTCTCTCAAACTCATCTCATATATATATATATATATATATATACACACACACACACATGAATGAAAAAGTTTGTGTAGGGTGTAGATGGACAATTGCAAAAGACAGCCAAACAGGACAGCATGGCACTTTTACCAATCTCCCCTTTCAAATGTTTGATTTTAATTTTGAGTCTGGTTTGGTCTCCTCTCATCTGATCTCAGTCAAATGTACTTCTTAGTAATTATGCATTCATCGAGAAGCATGCGTTCCATTAGCTGCTGGCCTTTCAGCCTAGCTATATGATATCATATGATAATCAATCAAGTTTCAATCATCTTAAAATTCATCTAAACAAAACAAAAGACATGTTCCTCCAAGTAATTCTGCTTCCAAACAGGGACATGTTCAAGATGATGGGTAGGATGGGTTGGCACTAACCCAGCAAACCCTAGTGCGCTTGTACTATATCATATGTGATCATCGTCACCACTCACTCACTCACTCACTCACCTGCATAACATGTTCTCTAATTAGGTTTAGTTAGTTTAGTACAAATGAATTAATTAGTTAAAGCTCCCAGGAGTTAGCCAGACCACATTCACAGACAGCAGTTAGCTAACTATTGTGCCAAGTGCAAACAGACAAATATTTTGCTCGTGAATACAAACATATCCTCGGGAATTGTCGAAAGTGCGCAACACAACTTGGGACTGCGCTACTGCCCTTCTCTTGACTACCTAATTACCAGATTTACTATTCAAGTTCTTGAGAGACCAAACCAAACCATGCATGCTCCAAGACTTTTCTTGGGATTTTGTCACACGCTAAATATAACTATAATAAATCAAATGGATCAAGACCATTTTTAGATTCACAAGCAAGCATTCACAACATTTATTATGTTAGGAGAGATGTCGAGTTCGAATTCCACCTTTTCACGATAATACAATAACATGAATTGATGTTGTTTCCAATTTCAGATCTAGAACGGATACTATATGCAAAGTCTCAATACCAAACCATGCACTAAACTAAAATATGTCAAGACCCTTTTCTTCGTTTTGAAGGTATGTTTCAAGTTACTATCAAGTATATTAATGTTACATGTTATATTATAAAAGATTTCAAGTTCAAATTTCACTTGTTCATGATAATACGATAACATGCACCGATGTTATTTCCAATTCCAGATCTAAAATGGAAACTGCATGCAAAGTCTCTTGACATGGCTATGCATTCAACCATGTATGATATATTCCCTATGTAGGGACAAACCCAATACAACAAAATATCACCTAGACTTTTGATCACTCCCAGAATCGTGTACCTACAAGCAAATGATAAGTGTGTTTTAAAATTTGTTGTATATATATTTGAAGCTAAGGATGAAGCAACCAAGTGACTGGAAAAAGGGGCATGTAGTTGCTTACGACAGGAGGCACATGACATAAGAAAATCCAATTTGTCCCCCTCTTTTGGCTGGTCATGAGTTGTCCCTCTCCCATATTTCAATTTGGTGGCTTTATTGTCGTTTTGTTTATGTTCCCACACACCCTTAAAAGGAGATTCAGCCCCACACTATTTGACTGAGATGTACTTAGTCTTAGGGTCAACCTAACTCGGTATCTTTGTCAGTCTGTTGCGATCACAACCGTCCAATTTGGGTCAGACAATGTGAAATTTTGACTTTCACTTGCATCGATCTTTCTTTTGCAAAATTATCCAATTAAGATAATCCATCAAATTGCCCTCTTCTATATGATCTTTAGCAACACACCAACATAATTAAAAATGATGCTCGGCTTTAGTCACATGTCCTGGTGGTCTTGGACGTACTAAAATTAGTCTACTATTCTAGAGCATGAGAATTACAAAACTAAACATCTTAGAATATGCATATATATGAAAATTGTTAAATAAGTATTTATGTTAAAGACTAGCTACATATTTCTATTGTCGATAGTTGGATTGTATGTATGTTGCATATTAAATCTACCAACACATCTAGTGAAAACAATCCAACAGCCGAGATTAGAAATATATAATAAATCATTACCTTAAATACTTATAGAAGAATCTCCCCAAATATATATTTTATTGCAAAGCACAAAAACCTTAAAGAAAATTATATATATATGCATATGAACTCAAGGAAATAAAAAATGCTGTTAGTGAAAACTTACATCTTGTCTGCTCGGCGACCAATGTTGAACAGTGGCAGCTTTCGCGCATGTCTCTCTATTTATATTTCTCAGCACAAAAAACTGGGAAAAGATAATTTAAACGAACAAATCCACATAATTCAATCTCAAATTCCCTAAAAACAACGCAGATTAATATATAAACAAAGGGTTGATTTCAATAAAACAAAAACCTACTCCGCAAATAAAAAATGTAACACAAAAGATTAATAAACCAAAGTATCCACTTTATGGTATTATATATGCACACGGGTTCACACTGTTTTGAGTTCAGAAGCTCAGAAAGGAAGTTCTGAGGCAGCAGAGACTTGTTTCGTTTCTAGGCATTTGAAGCTGAAAAATCAAATATGGATGAGGGCATGTCAGGGTTTTGCATTAAAGCTGCGAGTTTTCGCGGCAGCGGTGGTGGTGCCGGCAATGGCAATAATGGAACCAAGTGCGGGCGTTGGAATCCAACAACCGAACAGGTTAAAGTTCTAACTGACCTGTTCAGGTCTGGACTCCGAACGCCGAGCACTGATCAGATTCAGAAAATCTCTTCTCAGCTAAGCTTTTATGGAAAGATCGAAAGCAAGAACGTTTTCTATTGGTTTCAGAATCACAAAGCCAGAGAAAGACAGAAACGCCGCAAAGTTTCCATCGATGACAAGGATTTCACTCGTCGAGATCAGGACAAGATTTCTTCTCCAAAACGTACGTTATTAATGGCTGTCAAAAGATATTTTCTCTTTTGAAGTAACTGTTTTTTATCTCTCAGATCACTTTCTCAAAAAACAAAAAGAAACTTTTCTTTTTACTCTTCTTTCTTTTTTCTGCTCTTTTGAATGTTTGATTTTCTGGTCGTCTTTGCAGAACTAAATCAAGTTTCAGAGCCGGCGAGAGTGATTGAGACCCTTCAACTTTTCCCAGTAAACTCCTTCGACGACTCTGAAGCGGAGAAGACGAGATTTCATGCAAACGAGTACTTCAAAGAGGCTACAGCTTTTGCTTACAGGGTTGGGACAGAAATGGACCATCCACCATTGGATCTGCGCTTAAGCTTCCTTTAAATTACATGGTTCAAATGTTATAAGAAAAAGAAAAAACTTCTAGCTAGCCAGCTATATAGTGTAGAGCCATGGCTGTCATTTGTAGAATTTAGGGTTTAGCTGGTGGCAGGAAGAAGGGTGAACAGAAAGGGAGGGTGTGGGAGATAGCTAGGAGTGGAAAACTTTGTAGCTGGAAATTTTACGTAGTAGTGAAATTAATTTTAAAGTTGGTTTAAAATATTGGAAATTCTTGGACATTCTCCTCTGCATGTGCTCAGAAAACTTTGTTGTTATTAATTTCTCTGTGATTTACTCTGTTGGGTTCTTGTTTTCCACATGAATGCTTGGAATTTGGAATTTTTGCTTCCTCACATGAGAAGTGTCTCCTTGGGCTGCATAAAATGTCCATGCTATGCTTACACTTGGCCTTGGGTCTGCTTCCAGCTTTGAATTTCATGTCCTAATCTACTTCCCCACTTCCCCACTTCCCCACTTCCCCACTTCCCCACAGCCCTCATTTCCTCATTTATCCTTTTACAAAGTAAAACTCATCCACTACCAAAACTATTATTAAGTAATTTGGTTTTGAGATTCTAAACCTGCCCTTTCATAGTGTTGTAAAGTGATTATTCTTAAAAGGGCATCTTGAATCTGAGGGATAGAATGGAGAAGTGCATGAGGACCTTATAGAGAGGGTGGAAGGGTCATACAAGGTTTCCCTCTCACACTCGTCATCACATGCGACTCATATAATGGAATAATTGTGATAGGAGCCGGGTATATGCTTTGCCTGTTGAATTAGAGAGGGGAGAAATCGAACACTAATTTTTAAGTGTATTAATGATTGCTCGTAATCACTTGAGTTATAAGCTTATAGTTTGCTTTTGGATCGAAGATTCTTCAACATGTTAACCTAATCCCTATTTTGACCCAAGCTCAAGCCAGTTAAGAGGGCCCAAAGGTAATATAGCTGTCCCGAACAAGGCCCATTAAGATTGAGCCCCTTTTTTCATAACTTGGGCTTTGATGCCCAACTAAGAATCCAGAAACGAACAAAGCTTTTCATAATATAAAAATATATTGTTCGGTGAAAGCCGAGAGGAAAGCGAAACTGAGGAAGAGCAGCAAAGCAAGCAACTTGAGTTGGAACACACCAGCTGAGGTTTCCTGGAGAAGAAGCTAACTCAAAATTCAAGCACAGAAAGAAAGAGTTCAGTTCAAGAAGAAGAAATTAGGAAATGGATGTGATAAAAACGCAGCAAATCTCAGCGAGGCCGATCGAGAAGGTGATAGTTCACCCTCTGGTTTTGCTCAGCATCGTCGACAACTACAACAGGGTCGCCAAGGACACTCGCAAGCGCGTCGTCGGCGTTCTGCTTGGCTCCTCTTTCAAGGGCACCGTTGACGTCACCAACAGCTATGCCGGTTCGTATATTTCTCTCCGTCTTTTAGTCCATCTGCTTCTCTTTCGGTTCCTCGGCTCTGTTTGGATCTCATTCCTTTTTTACTTTTGAAATATTATCTGGAGATGAATTTTTCCTATTTTGATCTGATTATGGTGGTTTTGATTTTGAATTTTGCTCCAATTGTGGTGGATAATTCATTGCTTCTATAGAAAATTTTGTCTTTAGGTTATGACATTGTGAAAAATAAGGTGTATTTTTCTTAATTATTCAAAAAAATAAGTGTGCTGTTGCTGCTATGAGCTTAAACTTGGAATTGGCTTAACAAAGTTAAGTTACATTTTGAATTGTATGCTGCTATATGAATTCCTACTTGTGTCAAATTTCAAATTTGCGATGTAGAAAAGTTAAAGTGATAACAACTGGTTGTGGCATTCTAGGCATGCTATTTGATCAGGCATTTATAATTTTAACTCAAGAGGTACTGAGGTTGTTGTAAATATGCAAATTTTGTGCTTTTATTTTCTTTCCAATTGTATAGACCTGCGCAGTTTGAAAGTGTATTAGTTTATTTACGGTACGGTGCACTTTGTATTTTAATTTCCTGTTGCATTGTAGGTGCTCTGGTTGTTAGTATCTACCACTTGTATTCACGTACTATTTTAAGTTTCTTGTTTATTGGTTTTCCAACAGAAAGTTAGGCAGTATCAGCCTCAAATTCCATGATTGTATCCTTAAATTTGACGAATGAGTTTAGATTTTGTGTTTGTCAGGTTTTTGTTATACTAAAATATTTTCTTATTTGGCCTTTTCTATGTTCTTGATTTTAAAACCTTTATGTTTCCAGATCAAGTGCATTACTTTTTACAAAAATAATATTTGATCTCTATTCACAGTGCCCTTTGAAGAAGATGACAGGGACCCTAGTATTTGGTTTCTTGATCACAACTACCATGAGGCCATGTATGCCATGGCGAAGAGAATAAATGGTATTAGTCAAGAAAATTCTCTTATTTCCACATATGTACATTGTCGGTTATGATGAAAAATTGACAAATAATTTTTTCCAGCAAAGGAGCATGTTGTGGGATGGTACAGCACGGGTCCAAAATTGCGAGAAAATGACTTGGACATTCACGCTTTATTTAATGAGTAAGTCAACCAACCCAATGCAAACCATCGCTCCTTGTACTTGAGATTGCATAGAAATATCGTGAATGTTTCTAACATCTAGTCTGTTTAACAAAATTTTGTGGATGGATAACATTGAAATAATTTGAGTATTCTAAGGTTGACATTGTTCAAATTGAGATTAGAGAAACCATATTAAGTTTTTAACCAACTAAAAGGAGCAGAAGTGTACCTCTTTCTTTCTTCTCTCCGATATGCACTGTGTTATACCATTTTGCTGATCTAACTTGAAGAAATAGAAAAACAAGAACTAAGATGTCTGGGAATTTGGAAACCTTGTGGTTGCGTGTCAGTTTTCTACAAAATAGTGATGGTTGGTTATAAGGAAGCACTGTACCTTTAAGTGATATTCTTGTGCAGTGGTACAAAATGCTGCCTTTATGCCCCCCTTTTTGGTTTTCTAACATGGGGAAGCCTGCAGCCAACATGAATCTCTGTTTCCTTTCTTTGTCCTTTAAGTTTTCATTAATATTTCTTCCTTTCTCCATTCCGTTTGATTTTGCAGCTATGTCCCAAATCCTGTCTTGGTCATAATTGATGTCCAACCAAAGGAGCTGGGTATACCCACAAAAGCTTACTGTACTGTTGAAGAGGTTAAAGAGGTAGAATCACCATTTTTTTAATTTAAAAAAACTCCATTTTCTATTGTTCTTGTGTACTATTAGAAATGAAGCTCTATGGTTAGTGTTTCTTTTAACTTGAAATCCAGTTTCGTGCAAATTTGAATTAACATTTTAGTTTGATTACAGAATGCTACCCAGAAAAGCCAGAAGGTGTTCGTTCATGTGCCTTCTGAAATTGCTGCCCATGAAGTTGAGGAAATTGGTATGCCAATGGGATGAAGAACCGGTGCTCCTCCTTTATTAGCATTGAATCAAAACAACTCCCAACTTATTGCATGCACACATCAATTTCTTTCTTTCTTTCTTTTGTGGTTTGGTGAGTGAGTATCTAGTTTTGAGTTACCATGTTACCCTTTAACAGGAGTGGAACACTTGCTTAGAGATGTGAAGGATACAACCATCAGCACTCTCGCAACAGAGGTTTGGTTTTTACTTCTTATTCACACAGATACATGACAAGTCTAACATGAATACAACAAACTTAGTTTCCAAGTCTTGTACAGGTTACAGGGAAACTCACAGCCTTGAAAGGATTGGAAGCAAGACTTCGAGAGATTCGGGGTTATCTTGACCTTGTTATTGATGGAAAGCTCCCTTTAAACCACGAGATTTTGTACCATCTACAGGTTCGGTTTTGGCGTAACCTATATATAGTATAAGCTAGAATTGTAATGTCTCTGCCTTTTCTGAGGTTTTGAGTTCTTTCTAATTTTTGCCTAGTCTTAATATTTTCACCATACCACCTGTACGTTTTCTTATTTCTCTCTTCAAAATCCTTGTAGGATGTGTTCAATCTACTTCCAAATCTTAATGTTTCCGAGTTGATCAAGGCTTTTTCAGGTAAATAAACCTATTGTGTTTATTCTGCCTCTGTAGATATTTTATCGTTTAAACTTCTTTATGGTTAGATTTTTGATCCATGCTCAAGTGCCTATTCTGCTAAAATATTGAATCATGTCCTTGTTATGTGCAGTGAAAACAAATGATATGATGTTGGTTATCTATCTTTCTTCTCTCATCCGAAGTGTTATTGCTCTTCACAACTTGATTAACAACAAGGTGAGATGCATTTCCTTGAATGTGTAATTCTAATATTAGGATTCCTCGCCTTAGCAATTATTCCTTCGGTGTTTGAGGGTGAATAAGAAAACAAAAGGAGCATGAAAAGGCCACTGGTCATTCTTGTTCTGTCCATTATGGTTCTAGCTTTTCCGCCGTTTCATTGAGCCTGGCTTGTCAAGCAATGTGCATGGTGCTATAATATTGTCACAAATATTTGGATCTTCCTTGACTTTCTTTACAAACTTCACATAATGTATTCTGATTTGAAAATTTTGGAATATTTCAGATGCACAATAAGGAGCATGAAAAGGCAGAAGACTCGAAACAAGTTGCTGTACCAGCTGCAGCCGGAAGCTAAGAAGTTTCTATATACGGTTTGGAGCTTTGAGGGGCGTCATCTGTCGACTAAGATAACTAAAATGCGTACTCTCACTTCTTTCCGGCCTCGATGAATTTCAAGTTGGAATTGGAGGGATGCATAATACATGGCCGATTTAATAATTACCCCTAATTTTTTGCCATGTCCCAGATGATGCTCAGTTTCTTTTGAACATATAATTTACGGGTTGTCAAGTGATGACGGACATAATCATTTTGTACTCTAAAACTTGGGTTGCTTTGCTTCCCATCTTACTTTGTAGACCCATTTCATCTGTTTTATTAACCTTATGACTCATTTATGAGATGTTACAATTCTACCATTCTTGATTGTGTAAACAAAAAACAAATTCCCTTGCCTAAGAACTTTATTAGTATAATTGTGTAATAAAAATATCTAGAAAGAATTATAACATCTCATGTATATGTTTCTCCAGTAATCCAAGTACAATGTTACAAAATTCACGAGTGAACTCAATCTTGTTCCTCATGCTGAACTGATTGTTGGAACTCAGCATCCATGATCGCTCCATCCATGATATGCACAACGCTTCCCTTCTTCCTCAGATCCACTCTTTTGGATCGAACCCTGTTGACCGTCAACGCTCCATCTTCCTCTTTCGAGATATACAACACAAACCCAGATATCGAATCATACGACAGCTCCTTGTCAATCGGCACATTGACTGAAGCAAGCCTCCGAGGCACAGCCGAGAACCCCAATACTCGAGACGTTATTGCATACGTGTCGTCATTCATCTTCTCCCCCACTAAACTTTTATTTGGGCTGAGCCTCAGATCGCGCTCGAAAGCTTCCTCTGAAGGAACAAACACAGTGAAGGCAAGATCTTCAGGCAACATTTCAAGCATCATCTTCCCAAACTTCCCTATCGATAAATTTTCATCCTCTGAAGTTTGTTTACTGGTTTTTGTCGTGGGATATTGCAACCCAAGCGGGATCTCTGGAAGCCTCAGCATTGAGATTGTAACAATTAAAAAGCAACAAACCAACACAACCCTCCAAACGAACGCAATCGGATTTCTCAGAATCCGGCTTCTGCTCATCGTCTTTGACGATCCTGAATCGCAGGCGAGCTTTTCGGCGCTCGGGATCTTCCCACGTGGCTCTTCTGCAGGCGTTGGAGCTTCACACTGGCGTGTTCAAGCACCTAGCGAGCCAGTTGAGGGAGCCTATGATTTGGGATACGTTATAGAGTTTCTTGCATTGCATCCAGGTTGGAACGACGTCGTATGGTTTCTGGACTCATTGAAGAGGCTAAGATGAGCAGGGCCCAAAAAGTGGGCCTCTGAAGGTGGACAATATTGTTTCAGTAGGCTAGGAATAAACTTAATCTCAATTCATAATGTTGGTGAAAGGCCCAAATGCACATTATATTTTGCCTTTGTGTTTGTGGTGCAAATTCCAATATTAAACACATAATTTTGTTGGAATTTTTAAAAGCTCTATATACTTGTTACATCTCCAGAAAAATTTCAACCCAAAAAATGATTAAGTTCCTCAACTTTTTTGAAATTTTTATAATCTCATTCCTATCTTTCAAAATCTTAGGACATTCGGACATGAGAAGAATATGGGTTAAGACATGTTTGTACAGCCTCATAAATCCTTGTAGGTTTCCTTACCAAATGATAAGATAGGTCCATTTGGATTTTGACATCATAGGTCTCTTGTTTGGCTTTTCGAACTTAGAGATTTCAAGCATAAATTTGAGAATTTTCGAGTTCAAGTATGAAGTTAGCATTTTTTTGAGTCCGAGTATGAACTAAGCATTTTTTGGGGCTTCGTGTAAAATTTTGTGGTTTTGATGTTAGATTTAGCTTTTTTGTCATTTTTGGGGTTTCATGTATGATTTAGTTGTTTTTTTATTTTTATTTTAAAGTGTTTTAAGTATGAGTCAGGATCAGGGGACACACATTATAATACATATTTTAGAGTGTTAGATTAAGGCACACTCAATGATTGAGATTGCATATATATATATACAAAACTCTAAAAAAAATGCTTCATTCATAAAGAAAATGCCAAGATTTATACTCGATACAGCAAAATGTTATATGAAACCTTAAAAATACTAAATTCATACATGATGCCTCAACAAGCCAAAATCTATACTCAAAAAGGTCAAAATACTAAATTCATACATGAAACCTCCACAAGCCAAGATCTATAACTGAAACCTAAATATTCTAAAATCTACGCATTAAATCATAACAAATGCTAAGTTGATACGCGAAACTCCGAGAATTCCAAAATCTACCATCGAAACCTCAAATTGATCAAATCTAGATACGAACCCGAAAAAAAATACTAAACTAAGACACAAAACTCCAAAAATACCAAAATCTTACTCGAAACCAAAAAATGCTACACGAACCCATAAAAAATGCTAAATTCGTATATGAAGCCCCAAAATGACAAAATCTATATACAAACCAGGTGATAAGACTAATTAATTTTGTTAGAGCGTTGGCCCCACAAAATCAGAACAAAAGAAAATAGAGCTCTCAGCGAAAAACAAGAAAACAAAATAAATATACTTGAAAAAACAAAAGTCAATAAAATTATAATTCATATCTAAACGACACACACACACACTAGTAAAAACAAATACACAGATCAACATCCTCCCATATCCATTGCACTCTAAACCAAATCACCCCCCCGTTCAACCCAAGGACCCATACAATACAACGGTCAACACCGGAGTGCAGACATAAAAATAGGGACCTTGATCAACCGCACCCAACCATTTCCCCTTCATCCACATCCTTTTTTCTTCTTACTTTTGTTTTTATATAGAAAATATGGCATCATCCATAGGCTCAGCTCGACACGTATTGCATGAACTCAGAGTCCGTTTCAAGCAGAGCCATAGTGTCAGGCGCCAAAACCACCTCAAGATCAACGCTCCCAGCTCCTTCCCTCCCCGGAAACGCCGATATCTTTCCGTCAAATTTATTCGCCCTCCCGCTCCGAATTGCTAAAGGCCTCCCCCACCCGAAATCGTTGTCGTACATCGGAAATCTCGGTGAGCTCCCCATCGTCATCGTCGCACCGTCCAAGTTGCCAAGCGGAAACACCCGCGGGTCCCTCTCCCAATCCTTTACGACACCTCGCACCTTGTCGTTGTCGTGCGCCTTCACGTTCTTGTTCAGCTGCTCCGCGCACCACCGTGCGTCGTTCGACAGCACCTCTCCAGCCGTCGCGTACGTCGGGATGCTCTGGATTGCGTTCCCGAAATAGTACGCGTCCAGCTTGGGCTCCAGCCTTTGACGGCAATTCACAGCCATTCTGAATGTCGTCGTTTGAGAGGAAGGCAATTTCCTGGCGCGCGTCACGGATCGCCAGAGGAGCGCGCAGAGCGACTGAAACGACGAAATTTCGGGTGTCGTTTTGCCGTTGGAGTTCTTAAACCAGTTTTCGATCATTGACGTCACTCTGGCGCCGTTTGAGTTGTTAATCTCGTAAGGGTCGTTGCTCTGCTTCCCGAGAATCTCAACGGCGCTTATTAAAGCGTCGTCGTTTTGGAATTCGGCCCATTTTTACTGTTGGTTCGGGATTTGAGGTCTTGAATGGCTTCTCTGCTGAAGCTGAAAATTCGCTCGCGCAAAGGCTCGGTGAGGGAGAAGGTGACTTTAGGACCTCCTTCCGGGAACCGGAGTACGGCCGGCGATATGATAACGGAGCTCCGGCTGAAGTCGGGCTGCTTCGCGATGGTAAGTTTCTTGTTCTCATTAGGTGATGATGATGACAGTCTGCAGAGCTCGGCGAAGGTGTTGAAGAAGTTCCAGAAGGAGGTGCCGTCTGTGACGGCGTGATTGAGAGCGCAGCCGATGAAAACAGCGTCGCTGAGCTCGGTGACCTGGACGGCCAGGATTGAGTTGTGGTGGCCGGTGTAGCTGACGGTGCGGTCAAAGGGGAACAAGTCCTTGACGCAACTGGGGACGTCAGTGGGGCCCAAAATGTCTCGGGTGGAGAGACTGGGGGCGGAGGCGTGGATGAAGTCGACGCCCGCGTCGTTGCAGGTGATGTGAACGTGACCGTCGGAGTAAGTGGTCAAGCGGCCGGCCAAGGGAGGGAAACGAGAGAGGCTTTGGGAGAGAGAGGCTTTGAGGAGGGGGACGATAGAGTGTTGGATGGGGAAAGGAGGAAGAGGGAAGAGGAGGCCCTTCTGGATGTAGTGGCAGGAGAGCATGGGGAGGTCGGAGACTGAGAGCTTGAGATCACCGAGTGTGGAAGGCTGGTCGGGGAATACGGTGGACTTGGCCACCACTTGAGTTTGAGTTAGAGACGTTGGCGAGTTTGAAGAAGGCATTTTGATTGAATGATGGGCGCCAAGTGTCTAAAGGGTGTGGAGGAGGGTTGGAAATGTGAGTAAACACTGAGGAGGAGGAGTGAGGAAGGTGCGAGAGTTGGGAGTGGTATTTATAGGGGGTGGGATGGGGATTTGGATGCATGAATGTGCTGACGGGGGCTGGTTTGTTTCTTAATTTAGTAATTTATTGCTGATTTGGTTGTCATCGTTTATTTAATTACTTTAATTATCTTTTATTTATTTATTAACGTTTCATGAAGAATATGCGGATGGATGGGTCGTGGGTTTGTATCTGATGATACATTCACTCTCTCTCTCTCTCTCTCTCTCTCTCTTCTGTCTGCATATAATTTCCTAATCATAATCATCATCAGCATCACAAATCGTAGCTCCGATTGGAAACCACGTGTTAGATTTCCTGGCTAGTTTATGACATGCAAACTAATGAAATTACAACGATTGTAGTTTTATTAGTGGAAAACTAAAACTAATTAAAAGGCTAGGGTTTTTTTTTAAGTAAATACATGATGAAAATTTGAGAGAAACTCGATGGAACAAGGGAAAACGAAAATTTACAACCCCGGTTGGGGGGGTGGGGGGGAAACAATACGCCTGACCCCGACTCAATAAATCACATAATAGGACGTCCTGAATAAGAAATTTACATTAAAGCCAATGAGCTAAGCTCAGCCTGCGGATCTTTCGGATGGTTCTCAAAAGTCCTTCTTTATCAGAGATAATATGAAGTCTAAGCACCACCATGCCAACTAAAAAATATTAAACGTGTTGATTGTCGACAAGTTAAGCTACAAATTAATTATTAATAATTAGAGTTATTTACAATAACACCCCCTAAGAATTTCGGTTTTTTCACAAAACTCCTTGAGGTTTTAGAAATTCCACGAACACCTCCTAAGGTTTTAAATTGTTTTCACAAAACTTACTTTCAGTGATTTTTCATCCAAAGATTGATAATTTTATACAAAAAAATTCTCCAAATGACAAAGTTGGCCTTTGATATTAAATTGCATATACTTCATTGAGATTAATTTTGGCATTTGCATAAGTTTTTTTTTTCAATGAAATCATCAATTTTTGGACGAACAATCAATGAAAAGGGATTTTGTGAAAATAATAATAATAATAACTGAAACCTCAAGATGTGTTCGTGTAATTTTTGAGACTTGAGGCAATTTTGTGAAAACATAAAAAATCTCAAAGGGTGTTAGTATAAATAACTCTAAAAATTATCCTATAATTAAGGAATGAATATTGAAACGGCAGCGATGCATATTGGATTTCAGAGATTTTACTCACTCCAACAAGAATCTGTGAGATTTCCTCTCATATATTCAGAATCTGTGAGACCCTCCAGCAATATCCAATGGAGTCCGCCTTGAATTACACAATTCCCATACATAACAAGATACTCATGCCTCCCCCCACGCATCCAATTAAACACATTTATACTACTCGCACTCCTTTCCATCAATATGCTGCGCAATTTTCACTCAAATCAAATCATGACCATAAATCATATTTACACACTTGCAAAATTATCTTTTCCTTTGTAATTTTAATAATTTAATTATTCATATGTGTCGGACTGTAATTGATATGACTCTGACTTATTAAGAGCCAATGAATATTCATATATATAATGACAATTGAGTGAAAATAACAATTTTAGTCAACGAGGGTTGGTTGAGTTGGTAAGGATCGTTCTCTTTGCCATCCAAGCCCAGGTTCGAGTTCCACGACTGACAATTTCTCTTGATGGGTAATATGTAAAAATAAAATAGAAAGGCTGAGACCACCCATGGAATAAGGTAGCTTCCTCTCTCTCTTAAATTTTTATCATTTAAAAAAATTAAGATAACAATTTGGTTTTTCTTTTTTGTCCACTTGATCTCTATCTGATTGCATCCAAAGGGAGACAGTTGGTTTAGTTTCTTCATCCCAAGTTGTCAACTAGCTAGGCTAGGGTGATTGATGTTTAATTTACTATATATTATTATTTGGCTAGGAGCCTATGGTAATATATCTATCTTCTAATTAATAATATTGCCACAAAGTTTGCTTAAACAGCACTCACTCGCCAGTTAGCGTGCTGTGAGATAAACTTTGTGAAGATTCCACGATAATCATATTTTTTCTTCATGCAAAAACTTAATTAAGTAATTAATTATCCATGTAATTAAGAATAGCGCCGACTATTTTCATTCTGTAGGTTGGCTGTCATTCTTCCGATCCCTAGGAAGGTCGGCCCCCCCAAGAATCTCAACTGTTTAGTCAGCTAACCTTGAACTGTCCTCTGCTAATTAATTAAGCTTTATTTTCCATATTAGTATTAATTATGTTGTCATAAGTACATTTATTTTTATTTATTTATTTATTTATATAGCATATGTTTGAGACTACCTGATAGAAATATGGTCGGTTAATTAAGTTATATGCAAGATTCTTCTAAACTAAAACCGTCAATTCTGATTTGTCGGCGTGTGCCAGGTTTTAATTGCTAATTACTATTTAAATGCTAATTAAGCATAATTAATTGTATGTATGTGGCTTAATTAATTGTTTGACTTAGACCCCTTTTCTTATTTGGGTTTTAATTCTTGGGATCCGTGTAGTTTTGGTTGCAGCCTCCGCTGATGTCTGCCACGTGTATGACAGACAGATCAAGAATGCCAATCACCAAGTCGACGTTGCAAGTGAACCTTGACTTCTGCCAGTTAGAACCCAGCTGCCACGCGAGCAAGTTGTTCAATGGCAAATTGGCCATGCTACTGCTTGCTTGTGCATTTGCCCCGAAACCACCATCATCGGGTGCCACGGTCCTTTGAATCTGAGACATTTTTATTTCAGTTTTGTTTCTTCTGGAATAAAAGTAAACGGTAAAAATTTGGTATAATTAGTTCTTAATTTAGTGGTTATTTTCTTCCTAATATTAGAAACTCGAATGGAATTGAATAGCATTATCTACTAATCTTTTAAAGAAAATATATTTATTTTTTATATGATGGGTGGTGTAATTCGAAATAAAAATTTATTCCCAATTGCAGTTGAAACTAAAATGCTCTCACTTAACTCCTAGAATATCTAAAAACTGCTAAAACTTTCTCACTTTACCACTTCTGTCCATTTTCGTCACTTAATCCCCATCGCATCTCCATTGCACCCCACCTACTCCCCTTCTCTTTCCTCTTTCTTATATTTATGTCCGCCTCTCTCTCTCTCTCTCTCTCTCTCTCTCTCTCTCTCTCTCTCTCTCTCCATCTGTTTCATGAGTAAAACAGTAATTAAGTCTATTGGGAAATACCCAACATGTCAAACTAGCATTTCTATTATTAAAAATTAGATATATATGTTCCTACCAACATAATTAACTTTTTTTCAACTTTTTGTTTTGTTACGGGAAGAGGAATTCAACTCAGATACAGAGTGATGAGCACATTCAATTGAGTCAACTTAACTAAGTCCATTTTTGAAACTTTTTAAAACTATTAAAATAAGAAGTTTCCTCCATTTCTTCAATAGAAAAAACGTATTGTGCATTGGGCAATATCATGGCCGTATAAGGTTTGTGTTCCATTGAACTTTACGGATGATGACAAATGTGTCCACTAAATGTTTTTGGCGTTTCCAAGCAAGACATCCAGATTATGCTAATCAGTTTTTTGTGGTTCAGATAATTCAACAACCCTCACAATCACAATGGGCAAAGGTCAAGTTTTGTCATATATTAATGTGCCAAAATTACAAAATGGCGACATCCATTAGAACCATTGACTATATTATAAGAAGCTTTGATCAAAGTATTTAAAACATGTTGACTGTGCACCCATTTTTTTCTTCTTATTTCCTAACCTTCCTACTTTGTAGTTGTTACAATAGCCTTTTTCTACTTTACTTGTGTAACACCACATTAATTTTTTGGTTTTGGTGTTGCCCCGTCGTTCTATTGGTCACCGACTTTGTTTACATTGGCAAAATTTACTGTCCACCGACTTTGTTTACATTGACAAAAATTATTGGCAACACCATGTAATGAACACAATGATGTAATATGTGACTTATATGTGAGTAGTGACTAATCTATTTTTGACTACCGATACATTATGGCCTTTGCTATTACAGGCCTCAGATCATCAGTCACTGTTTTTGAAGTTTTCTAGTAATGTATATATACATGTTCTCTTTATGTTGTTATGCAAAAAAATGACATTAAAACAATCGGGAAGCACAAACTGAGAGCAAACCTAGGTTAACTTTCATCTATATTATAGGTATGTCATTTTATTTATTTTTAACTTTTAGTACGTGTATTTGACCAATGTAAAATGAAAGAGCAATAGACGTTGCGTTACTTAAGAGCACTTCCACCTATGGTGTCACACTAAAAGATAAGGGTAAGTAAATGCATATATAATTCACGTGAATAGTGCTTGGCTTAGCAATATTTTTTTCTGTTTTTCCACTCATTGTCATGGTAACCCAAAAGCAATTACTATTCACAGGGGATTAATCTTATTTTATCTATGAGATTAATAATAATAAAATTTCTAGGTATGTATAAAATAAAATAAAGATTCTGAATTTTTTATTAAATCAAACAAAAAAAAAAAAAAAAAAAAAAAAAAAAAATCAATTTTAAAAAAAAGAAGATATTATAAAGAAATCAACGCCCTTAGGCAACAACTCGAAGTTGTTCTTTGTCTTCGGGCCTCTCCAATCTTTGTGGAGCCCACCATCTGCCCAGGCTAGATTTGTACGGTAGAGTGAATTCCTTCAACCTGAAGGGACCTTTTGTCGACACTAGACTATGCGGTGAAAGTGCTCTAACAACTGATGCCACCGACTACTGGCATTTCACATGATGAAGAAATGAAGGTACATTTTTCTTGAAAGAATCTATTAATGGCCCTTTTTTATGCTCAGTGACGTGACCTACTTCTTAGGTTTACTTTTTGTTTTTTATGCATGAGAATGACAAATTGACAAAGGTCAAAATGTTGACAATACAGAGTATATGAATATTATCATGTAGTGATGAGTAGTGAGCGTTCATGTATCTGGGTTTTGGACAACGGACAATGAAGCAGTCTGCATGAATCTATTCCCGTTGACGTTCTTTGAATTAGGGCATAGCCTCCCAGGCCGGCCAAGCAGCGCCCATTCTGAAAGGTTCAGCCCACCAAACTAATCCTGCCGTGAAAAGTATTTTGTTATGATTGACGTTACGTTGTTTATATTTTTTTTACGACTATTATTATGCAGATCAGTGTATTTCTAAATCGATATGCTCTAATTCAAACAACGTCAATCATAATGAATTTATCTAGTTTGTCTAGATCCGTCTAGCGTCTTAAGTAGCATACAAAATGTATAAAAAATGAATTGCCCATTTCCTTTTTATTTTTGATAATATATAAAAAGGTCCTGTTGATGAGCAAATCCACAGAGTTAGTGCATAAAAATGATAATATTGTTCTCACAAGAAAGGTTCTGGGTTCGAATTCTATTATATATGTAGTCACTAGTGAACCCATGATTTTTTTTTAGCAGAGATGCAATTTTGGCCAAGATTTTAATAAAACAACAAGAAGCACGATGCGCAGCACAACACAGCGCATCAATAGACTAACTTTGTTTAGGATTTTCATCAAACACCTAGAGTGCACCTCCTAGGTTGAGCAGAGATGCAATATGCAGCACCTATAATGGCTTTTCCGACAAGGGGAGGCACCTTAATAGGCCAGCCACTGCGTATAGTGTGTGTGAGTTTAGTATGTCATATCTCATCTCAATAGGAAAGGTTCTCAAAAAAAGTAAACATGAGCGATACCATATTATGAGACCTCATTAATCAGACTACTTGAAAGCCAAATTGTGAATTAATGTCCATAACTACAATTTAAATGTTAATTATGATAGAAAATGATTAGCTAGGTTGGTTGAAGAAGGTAGTTAGCTTAGGTAGTTTGGATATATATGATGATGAATATGGTGACCGAGGTTTGTAGGACAGCTTGTCCTATAACTCTAATTAAAAGACAAATTCATTTATTAATTGGCATTCGAAGCATAAATACGTGCCCACGCTCTGCAGGCCATGTAAGAGAGAGAAACCAAAAAAAAAAGGTAATCTATTGATGCTCTAGACGTGGTCATTTTCTGTCGCATTGCTACCTCCCTCCCATCAACTACTACTACAACTGCTGCATCCCGACAATCAAAACCAACTGCGCCTCAGCTTTGCCTTCGACATCAAAATATGTATGTATATTTTCTTATTGCCTTCATTATTACATCGTAGAAGAAACGAAGCATGATGTTTGTCCAAATCAAAAATATACATGTATCCACTTTCATGGGCAATAAATTTGTAGGGTAGGCGCACCACAACTATAATGGACCACCAAAATTTGTCTCGAGCTCCAATTTGTACAAAATTCATGTATAGTGATATCCATGATAGTTTATACAGATATGGTTATTATGCCTGGCCGAAATGCATGCACAGAGATAGGGGTAGGGCTATCTAGCTAGCATGCAGTGCTGGTGGTCCAAAACTAAGTAGGATGCTCTATTTGATGGAATGGTAACTTTTCCTCCTTTGTCATCTGGTGGTAATTATTCTGAGCTTCAACTGTGCTTTTCTTGCAGCTATAACAGTGCTGGTTCGAACTGCATGTTGAACTTTTTTCCGTTGTCGTATCTAGTTTTTGTTGTAGCGTAACTCAGAGTTAATTACGCGTTAAAACTAGCGAGAAATATGGAATTACATTAAGAAAAGAAGGAAAATTGAAATTCCAAATACTAACATGTTTTGTTGGTGGGAGTGGTAGCTAGTAGGGTATTGTTCTATTGGGAGAAGAATCAATTGCAGGAAGAATGTAATGAGAACCATTCCCTTCCACCCTAGCTAGGGTTTGATATATTTCCCCCTTTCACTTAATGTCCACCAAGAATGATGGTAAGTAGCTGTAGCCTGTGACATCTGCGCAAAAAACCATTATAGTTTGGTGCTTGCCAACAAAATTATACTAGACAAGTTAAAAAGAAAAGAGAACAAAATTATTCTAGGCGTGCGTTGCTGCAGTTTACCCTCCTCTAGTTGCTGATTGCCCTATTTTAGTACCCTATATGTCACGTCAAATGTATATATATAGCCTCCTAATCTTTGTTTGATTCTTAATCATGATTTTCTTTTTTTGTTTTGTTTCCTGCTGCATTTCATGTTATATGGACTTGGTGCTTGCTCGAATATATCTGCTTTCTGTGGATACCAAAATGTTCGAATTAAGAACAGATCACGAGTGTTGTGTTTCCTAACTATGAATTAATTGTTTTGTACCATATATCTCTTTGTTTTCAAATTATGATTGCATTCAACTTGTTTTTTTTTTTCTAACTTGTATTGATTCTCACCGAAACTTGATTTGTGTTAAATTTCAGAGAGATGAGGCAACGATCTACTACTAGCAACACATATATTATTCCCAACTTAACCACCTACAAAGGTTAGTAGGTATATGATTTTATCACAAAATACCTCGGTTATATTAGTTGTGGAACCATTCAGGACTTATCAACAATTTGTCATTTTTCTTGGCTCTAAAGTTGTCTCTGTCTTGGTCACAAACAACCACTCAAAGTCAAAGAAAAACCCAGCAATTGAAAATGAATCTTACGTATGTATATACATTGAAAGAGGCCAGAAGATGTTCTCATCACTCCGAGTGGATAAGCTAAATTTATTTAGTTATTGGTAATAATGCCTCTAATCTGGGATTTGTTTTTTTTTTTTTTTTTTTTTTTTTTTTTTTTTTATTTCCTAATCATATGTTAATCATCATTCATCAATCATCATAATTTAGGGGGAAAAGTGAGATAAGTTCTTGACATCAAAGTGGATTGAAATCCAAATCCAATTCCAATTGATCTTCCCTTCTAAGATGGATCCATGTCTATGTCCTTTGGCAGAAGTACGTACATTGGACATCATGATTGGATTTGTGCAAATGGTCCCGTCTCGTAATCCGTGCTCCACTCCTTTGGAATGAATAATTGTGTTGTGGTAGTCAAATTGAGTTCATTAGGGGCACCATGTTTCATTTTATAATTATTTTTTCTTTCCTAAAAAGCCTTGGTGCAAATCCAAATCATGTGGAAATATAGGGTTTTGGCACTTATTTGTGTTTGTTTGACGTATTTGTTTTTCTGTTTGTCGCTTTGCTTGGGTGCTTGTGCTTTTCCAGCGCTTGTAAACAAGGACAACACAAAAGTGGAGGCAGAGCCATGTAGAAATCAAAAGTTCAGTGTTTGTGATGATGAGCTTCTAATTTGGCAAGCGTGGGAAGAACAGTACCATTGAAGGCAGTAGAGGTTTCAAATTTGAACTATAAGACGTGGACAACATATTAGGTAACATGAGAGCACGTATGATCGTTGAGTTCAACACGTAAATAGCCTTGATCTGATACTACGAAGAAAGTTGTGATTTCAAGAAACCCAAACTCATTATAAACTCAAACTAAGTCCCTTAATTTTTAATATGAGACAAATAATCTCAACAACAACAACCATACCAATACAAATTTCAAGAAATCACTGGTCTAGTGTTCAGTCGGCTTCAATTTTAAATTGAGAAAAAGAAAAGAAAAGAAAAAGTGTTTGTTTAGGTTGGATGGATATTGGGTTTGGGCTTTAGCAACGTATTGAGTGATAAGGCTGGATTGGACCAGTCAGTCTCAGATGGTTTCTGAGAGATCCATGGGTTATTGTTTGAGGAGTCTGCCCTCCATTGCAGTTCATCTGCTTGCTAGTGATCAAGCCCATTTGAGAGGCCTCTACTTAAACCCGTAGGAGTCTTCGGAGAGCAAGTAAAGATCCTAAAGTTTTTTCTCCTTTAAGGAAGAGGATTTGAATAGAACAGAAAACAGCACAAAATTTTTAAAAATAATATATATTGCCTTCTAAGATTGATTGATGTCCCAGTTCATCTATATTACTTTTGGTTTCATTCCACTCATTAAACTTTTGTCAAAAACCAAGATCCCTCCAAGCTATCCAATCTTTTATTACTCCACTCGACTCCGACAAAGATGACAGAAAAGTACAAAACTGTGATTTCCCGGTCCTTCTCCATGAGTTTCAGGTGTTAGGTAACCAGATGGCTATTTAACACATGAAACTCATGGAAACGGCTGGGAACTGTTCCTGTCGAGTTATACAAAACAAACGGTCTTGTTGCTTCTTCATTGTCTCCTCTATCGCCTCACAAACCACTTTAAACATAGCAAAAATCATCATTTCATTCCTCAGAGTATCAATGACAGATATGACTTAGGTATGGAGGTATTGATTGGACTCCATAGGGTTGAAGCTTGGTAGGTTTTTACAGTTCCTGGTTCAGTTCCAACAGTCTTAAGCATTGGGAAAATCCTTGTTGCATTGGAAGAGAATAAGGAAAGGCTTCATAAAACCTTGAAACACACATCACTGTCTAATATCAAAAAGCATAGGAAAACCCTTGCTGCACCACACACAAGACAGAGGTAGAGAAGGCGAATACCTAAGATAACCTTTGAACCATACACACCAGTCTAGAATCACAGCAAAGATTGCAAGATACATTTAGCTGCGGTTCAATTATCGTCAGATTACAGATATCCAACTTCCATAGTTGTGAATGTGAGCTAGACTCAAAGTTCAAACACAAAACCCGTTTCCCCAATTTGAAATTTCTTCTGCTCTCAATCATATCTACTAAAAAGAAAGCCTAAACTCAGAGCATGAATTTCCATCCCACGAGCACACAACTCTCCGGCTATACAAGGTTGCTTTGAAGGTTACACAAAACCTTCAATCAGTCAAAAGCTCAAGTTGAGCTGCTCAACCATCCATTCATCTAAAAACTGCTTCAATAAAATCTATGCTTCTTTCTGCCATTTACCAACTAACTCTCTTAAACAATCCAAAGAACCATATCCAGTTTGCTACATTAAAATGATGCCAAAACATATGGACTAACTTTCAACATCCTCAATGCTCTTGAAACAAAACTCTTTAGCTCAAAATATCACCAGTAAACCAATCAATCAAACCCTGTTACTGTACCAAGTATTTGAGATCAATCATACAATTCATTCCAAGAAAACATATGCATTCGACAAAAGCGAACAAACACGTTACAAGCTCCACATGAAATTCATTAATAACAAACCAATATTTATTCCATAATAAAACACTGATTTAACATTAAACTCTTGTCTTACTTCAACCAAACATCCATAAGCGCCAAGCTTAGATCAAATTCCACATAAAATATATATACATATACACCGATAAACCGCAAATTAACATCGCGCTTTAGTCATTAAACCATACCTCAACCTCCGATTGAATCAATCAATCAATAATCGGCACGATAGTTGCTGTAATCGTCACGCTCACGCAAGTCATTCTCAACCCTCTCCGCAATCTTATCTTCTTCGTACCTCAATCCCTCATCCAATGCCAGTCCACCTATACCTCCCGCCACTGCGCCCACAGCCAATCCCGTGCCCAGCCCCATCTTCCCACTCTTGGGCTTCTGATCATAATTCGAGTAGTCCAGTGGTGCGGAAGGCCCGCCAGGCCCGCCAGGCCCGCCAGGCCCGCCAGGACCACCCGGCCCAATGTAACCTGTTGGCCGGTCGAAGAACGGCCTCGGTGGAGGCGGAGGTGGGGCGCTGGAGTAGTACGCCGGATAGTAACTCGAGTACGGATCGGAATACGAGCTGTAATGGTACGGCGGCGGCGGCGGTGGGGAAGCCGATGGAGTCGGAGCCGAAGCTTGTAGAGAAGAGTACGGCGACGGCGAGTATGACCTGTAGTCACGAACAGAGGGTGGAGGCATAGGGGCGCCTGAGTAAAAATAGCTGGGCGGAGTGGTCATATGGTAATCTGGCGGCAGAGGTCGTTCTCGAACGGCGAGCTTTACGCGGATCTTACCCTGCGGACGGCCCGAGGGGCGGACGAGCTGGAAGGTGCGGATTCGGGTGGAGTCGTCCGGGTCGGGCAGGTCCTTGAGTGGGACCCGGAGGGTGCCGACTAAGGGCTTGGGAGTGTCGGAGGGTTTGGAGTGGAAGATTTCGAGGGTGAGGAAGGAGTCCTGGAGGGGGAGTGTGAGTGGGACGGTGAACCGCTCGTTCCAGACCGGGCGGGTTGAGCCGGAGTCGTCAGATTTGGTGGCGAGTCGGCGGTCTGAGTCGACCCAGAAGACCGCGTAGGGCTTGAGGTCGCCGTTTTTCCAGTTGACGTTCTTTAGATGCTTGGCTGAGACGATCGTAAGGTCGAGATCGAGATGCTTCGGCGGTGGAGGGCGAGAGGTGGCCATCGGGGTTGGGGTCTCTGTGCTAACGTGCGCTGGTGGGGGTGCGAGGGGTGCGGAGGGTGCGTATGATAATGGACAAGGAGGAGGGATGGAATTATTGTTGTGTTGGGGGAAGAAGGTAACGTTGGGCCGCATGTGAAATGACGATAATACCCTCTCTTTAGTAAATTACTGAAAGAGAAAGGGTAAGCTTTCCACGTCGGTTCAAATCCTTTGTGAAGGATAGTTTTACCTAATGACGGAGAGATTGACGATATTTATATTTGGTTTGTGTTGTGTAAAGTCCTTGTAGGTTATGGATTGTGAAATTGGTAATTCCTCAGAAGATTAGGAATCTAATTTTGGGTGAAATAACATTCCTAATTTTCTTTTCGATTTGACCACACAAGAAGTGTTGATTTCCAGGGTCGGACCTCTAAAACCCGATTGGATTAGGAAATGTCCGATTTGAGTCATGGGATGTGGGCTTGTTATGGTGACTTCACTAGGCCCACCCAAATTTAATAAACCCAAGGATGTATGTGTGGAGTTTTTTTTTTTTGGTTTTTTTGGCCAGAACAAACGATAGTATATTCACAAGATACTTTTATAACGGTCAATATACCAACGCAACGGTCTAATACTCACAATAAAGCTAGATTACAATTAAGTATTGACTCATAACGAATTAATTTGAGACTTCTTTCAACTAAGAGGAGACAAATATCATTAGACCGAAGACTAGTTGGGTGTGTGGATTTATATTGACTTTGTTATCGCTGCAAAACAGACGCATTATGCCCAACATAAAAATTCTCTTGAGTGAAGGTTGTCTCTAACAATAATATCTTTGATTAAATATTGCCGCAAGCAACAACCCGTTCCTTACCCAGTCTTGAAAGTTCTTTTGTTTTTTTATGACGTCTTGAAAGTTCTTTGATGCAGTAAGTAATCTATATTCTAACCTGTTATGAAGAAAATTGATTAATTAGCATAAGTACTTTTGCCACTTTACTTAAGATGAAACTGAAAACAATTACTAATATATAAATAAATTGCATCTCATCAAAGACGTCCTAAATTGTATTTAGAACAATCTAATGGTACCAAACAAAAACTGGGTGAAGAAATAAACAAAGAAAGAAACCAGGACCAACTTAGGTCGTCTATAGTCTAATGATCAGCGTTCCCTCACTTTCATAGACAAAATTATGTGGCCTTCAGCCTTGACCAGTCCAGGCCCTTCATTCCTCACGAGTCCAAACCGGCCTTCCTTTTTCTGATCCATCTTCTTTGGCAGAGGGATTCTAGCCCTGCTCACGCTGGCTATGCCATCAGAGGTTCCTGGCTCGGTGTCGTTACTCCCCCTCAAGACCTCCACGTTCAGGTGCCCCCAACCCAAAAGGCTGGTCCTCAACGGAATTTCGCATTTTCCGTCCCATCTAGGGTCTGGTAAGGCACGAACAAAAGAAGTCCGGTACTCTCTGCCGGGTTCAACCCACACAAGAGCTCTGTAAATCCGATCGGAAGCACAGATGGTACTGCTACTTGGGTCGTCAACGCCGTCCGCATGGTATATGGTGACATTCAAAACAACTTGATGGTCTAAGTCACGTTGAAGCAATAAGCTTTTTCCTGCAGGTATTCTCGTGTTCCTCATCAGGGCTTTGCTCCGATGACCACCATTCTTCATGTTAGAATGGTCATGTGCCGATGCCATCCTCCCCATATATAGCTACCTATACCGGATACGAGAGAGAGAGAGAGAGAGAGAGAGAGAGAGACCTTATGCAGTTAGAAGAGAGTTGCTGTGTTGAATCCTTATCGTAGGTGAGGATGCATGCTTAGACGTTGGCTAGGATTTATATAGGAAAGAGGCACCGGGAAGAGAGAGAAAACCCAAGCAAAGCTTTCCTATCCTATATAGGAACTACTTGCCTATTTTCTCTTCCACAAATCTAACACTATTAAAATACAATTATTCGTATTAATTGCTATCTGTAAAACATCTATTATTATTATCACTTTAAAAATATTTTAATAATTTATCGCTTTTCTTAGAATATATAAATATATAATAAATAGTGTTGAACATTCATGGTCGACCATGATATGTCAAAAAACAAAAATAAAAAAGTTACGGAACGAAAAAAAAAAAAAAAAAAAAACACAAAAAAAAAAAAAAAAAAAAAAACAAAAATAACCAATTAACAAAGAAGAACATTAATTGCCTGACTTAATCCTTACCATCATTCAAAATAGGAGCCGAAAAATAAAGAAGACATCAAAACTGTGCAAACCCAAACACAAATTGTGGCCCATAATAGCAAGATGTTCAACATCGCAATATTTATAAGTTAATGAAGTTACCAAAAAAAAGATGGACAATTAGATATTATAAGAACGTATTTGTGTTCCTTCACACAACTTTGAGAACTCGCTAACTCAGTTTGGGCAAGAGCAAAGGTAGAGTTGAGATTGGATTAAACAAACTTTAAAGGACAAATGGTAGAGTTCAAATGGTACGCCAACGAGCATCCTTGTTTTGATATGGCCTCACCACTTCTCCTCTCATTTAATATATCAGGTTACTTTCCAATATTACCCTTTAAAATCGCTAAAATATTTATTTTCCTTCGCTTTATTGTACGGATGTACCACGTCAGCGTATGATACTTCCATTCAAATTTTATCACGTGTCCATTTTTGAAAATAAATTAATTACTTTATTACAGCTGGACTTACTTAACTTTTATCTTTTAAAATAAAATTAGAAAAGTCTTAAAAAAGAAAATTAAAGAATTTTCCAACCCTCCGTCTCCAACTCAAACCTGCGCCACCCCTCTCCCTTGCTCTTCCTGTCAAATTCCTAGGGTGCCGTTTGTAGCACGTTTCAGAGTATGCTTCAACTCAATCCACATCGATTGTGCCTTTCATTGATTTTGTGTTGCAGAGTGAGAGGGTATTAGAGAGTGTTTGCAGCAAATTCAATGGTGCAAGTGAACAAAGATGTGGTGTGTTTGGGATTTGTGGATGCTGGGCTGTGCCCAAGTAACCCAAGGTGCTGCCATTGTGATCAGAGCGCATCAATTGGAGGACAATCTTCTTCAATTTGATTTGGCTAATAAAAGACTTGGATTCAAAATAGGATTCTAAGGTGGATTGTCGGCTAAGCAACCGATTTTGAAGAGGAAGAGCAAGGAGAGGGGTGGCACAAGTTGTGGGTTATGTGTGTTTGGGTTGGGGACGAAGGGTTGTTGGAAAATTCTTTCTTTCTTTCTTTTTTATTTTCCTAATTTTATTTTAAAAGATAAAGGTTAAGTAAGTCCAGTTGTAATAAAATAATTAATTTCTTTTCAAAAATGGACACATGGCGAAATTTGAATGAGAGCATTATATGCTGACGTGGTACATCCGTACTATTATATAATCTCTCGTTTTATGTAAATGAATCTTTCATCCAATTTATTTATTTATTTATTTTTAGAATTTAGAAGAGTTATTTGCGCAAAATTATATCGGTGATGAGTTTTTATATATATTATAATTTGACTCTTAATAATGTTAAAAGTGTCCAAGGCTATAGGAGTTGTAGGGGCTTTTTCGTTCCGGCAGCTACTACGGCCCTGGGTTGCTGTAAAGGGCATATTGATGAAATTGTCCCTTTTATCTGAGTTCGAAGATCAAGCCCCAGTAATGCTTTGAAATGACAGAGATGCCTTAGGAAACACATTGGTTACCTTCACCAATGAAAATAACAACAGCTTACAAATGATTTCTTGATGTTTACAGATAAATTTTATAGCCTGACATGAGAAGCTTGTGGCATAAGAGCAAAATTTTCATGAGTTTGTAGCTTGGCATGTTGCTTATTTGCTTGGACCCACTTAAGCTTGTAGCTTATTTGCTTGGCGTGGCATGTGTGCAAAGCGTATATGACAAACTTTCACGTGCCCAAATCGGGTTTCTTCTTGATAAGGTATCGCATTTGGCCGAGAATTTATTTGAGTCGAATCGTGGATTTTTTGGGCCTCAACATGAGTCCATTTCATCAAAGTCTTTATTTAAGAGTTTTTTTAATTGCGATTTCTCACTCACGCACCGTTGATATGGAATTTAAAAATAAAAACAAATGTTTTTTTTTTTCAAAGAAAAACACACTTAAAATCACAAGGTGTGGTGCGATTGGTAAACTGTCACCTCTAGCTGGCAAGCCACTTAGTGTCTCAATAGTAGGAGTTCGAAACTTGTTGGAAGCATTTTGTGGCCAGGTGCAAACCAAACCCCAAACGAAGATGAATCACAACCTTCAAATGTGAAGACACCTCGTGTATTTACCAAAAAAAGGAAAAGACTTGACTAAATAGTGGATTGGAAGGATAAAATGGTCCTAAAGCGAAAGCACCTACCAACGTCATATGCTTTCTTGAACGGAACAACTTTTTTTTTTGGTCAAGGAACGGAACAACTAAACCGAGGCAAAGTTATGGGACTTCTGATAGCGAGTGCCATCAGCGTGACTGCTCCCCGTTGATTGGTTTCGATAAGGCCAAAGTCAGAGATAGCCTTCTCTCTCTCCCTCCCTCTCCAAAAAAGTAAAAAAGAAAAGAAAAAAGGAAAGTAGATCTCTGATCCCTCATGGCTCCCTACACTTTGCCTAGAAAATAAGAAACCCCTGTATATTTTATCGAGAAAATATGTCGGACGCTTTGATCAATGGCCTGGCCGGAGCTGGCGGCGGAATCATCGCCCAGCTCATCACATATCCTCTTCAAACTGTATGAAAATTTATAGTGTGTTTTAATTCTCTTGAGCTTTTATTTTATTTTATTTTAGTTTAAATTTTGGGTCGTGATCTGTAGGTTAATACTCGTCAACAAACAGAACGTGGATTGAAGAAGGAAAAGAGCAAGCTCGGAACTATTGAACAAATGCTTCAGGTATATATATAAATGTTCGCCGCGTTTGGTTGCTGAGAAAATGGACACATTTCTCTGTTAATTTCCATATATCTTATTATTAGGCGTGTGCGTGGTAATTGATGTGCAGGTTATAAAACATGAAGGATGGGAACGGTTGTACGGAGGTTTGGCGCCATCATTAGCGGGCACAGCAGCATCTCAGGTGTGCAAAGCTTAGCTTCTCATTCTTATTGTTACTAATACTATGATTATAAAATAGGAGGGAGGGAATGTGCAAAATATTTATGTGCTTCTGTAAAATTCAAATTCACTGTTGTTAGCTGAGAAATTAAAGAAAAACAGAAAATTTGGAATCTTACAGCTTTTAACAGAACAGGAACTAATTTAATAAAGGAGTTTAGCCATATATACAGATGTCTTTTATAATATCTCAGCGCACCTTGATTTGTATTCTACATTGGCCAAAACCCTGAAGGAAAAAAATGACAGAGAGCGGTGGTTGCTGGGTTAATTTCTGTTACGTTTTATTGGCACCCTTTTGCATTGATTTGATACAGTTATTCTCTTGATTAGTAACGGCTAGTGACTGCTATAGTGATATCCCAAAATTATCTGGCCTCCATTGTTAGGCTGTCTGCATGAAGCAGGCATGGCTGGCTTTTGACTCGTGTATCAGATCACCTAATCAAAATACGTTGTGTGTATTGGCCCAGTTATCTTCTATTTTGTTAGAATTTGTAATTTGGATCCAGTCCATAAATCATGTGTTTTAGTTCAGAATTTAGATCATCTAAGAAGTCAACATTCACAGATCAATGCTTTCGTTACCTACATTGATCTGTACCATCAATGAAAAGTGAAACGAAGTATTTTGTTAATGTATATGCAGCGCTTTGAATAAAAAGTGAAACAAGGATGCCAGCTGCAATGTGCTTAATACTATCTACCTAAACTTTAATGCTCTTTATAGTGCCTTTTTAGCCAGAACTTCCATGGTGTTACATGATATAGGGCAGCTTACATCCTTTTAGCTCAGAACTATAAACCTGTATTGCATAAATCTGCATCATATTTGTTTTAATTGGTTGTTTGGTTTCTTATGTAATTGCTATTTTATTGGTACAGGGTGTTTACTATTATTTCTATCAAATATTCAGGAACAAGGCTGAAGCTGCTGCACTTGAACGTAGGAAGATAGGGGTTGGTGATGGATCTGTTGGAATGCTATCTTCACTAGTGGTTGCTGCGTTATCTGGGTATTTTCTTATGCATGTGATTATGGCCTTAAGACATTCATTGTTTCATAATATATTCAAAGCTATAAATCATCATTTACTTAAATAGCTGCATTGGATTTTTCTGAAAACTCTTAATAAAATGCAAATATAGCTAACAAAAAAGATTTCTCAGCGCTTACGGTAGTAAATTTTTTTTTTCATTATTAGTTCTCTTTCCTTGTTCATGTAATTTGCTGCTGAAAATCTCACCACAATTTTATTCTTGCAGGTGTGTGAATGTGCTGTTCACAAATCCTATATGGGTAGTTGTTACACGCATGCAGGTAAAGATGAAATTCATTGAATCTCCAAATGTGAAAGTGACACCAAAATTTGTCTTTGCTGTCTTATTTGCGTATTTCTCCTTTTCTTGTATCTATGTTTTATGCTAAAAGTGACCTTTGAAGAGCACTGTATTCCAGGATTTAGAACTTATCTTGGAATTTTGAAGTACCTATGATGTTGTTACCAATTTAACCAAACATTCTCTTCTTCTTATGTGTAGCTAATTTCATAAACTGTGCTTAAGCATCTCTCTCACTAAGTGTACAAATTTGATGTTATTAATTTATCGTTTGCTCTCTTTTTACACTGTTAGACGTATAAAAAAACTTGAAGAAGTCCGAGCCTGGTCCGGAGCTATTAACTGCTCAAGATGAAGCAGTCCTTGCTGCAGCTGAGCCTCCTCCCTTTGGGACAACTCACGCGGTTGGTATTATGTTTTGTGTTACTCTTAATTCTTTGGCCTCCACCCAGGTGGGGGTATTGGGGTATTCATTTACTGATGAGTAACTCTTATATGGTTGCATATTACTGAATAAGTTGGCTTGAAATGTTATCAAATTTGTGCATTAAACATTATATGATTGCATGATGCATCTCATTTCAAAAAAGAAATGACTGCACGATGCATCACTTGAATGAAAAATATTTTCACCACAGTGGAGGACTTTTACGTAGATGATAATATTAGGTTGATATATTGTGGATTAGCAATACTGTTCAGGTCCAACAGACTTTATCAATTGATCTGCAAATTGATTGATCACCCAATTGGTAACAAAATGGAACATTTGCATAAACTACCAACTAATTGTTAATTCAAATGTTTGAATTTTGAAACTAAACTGGTTGTGGAGCACGGTTTTTCCAAGAGATGGTAAACATGATTGGTCCTTCATCTAGTACTACTGAAGGAAGAGCAACTGTGCATGATTGATAGTAAAGTGGGGTAAAATCAGATGGCGAAATATATACCAGGATAGATACAGTTCGGAATGCTGCTAATTAGCGTATTTTTATATGATGATGTTGTCATTGTTTAGACAATTCACAACAACTTAATTATTGACTGGGCTGGATAGTTGTGTCTCTATTGATTTCAATATTGAGTTTAGTTTTCTGATTCATACAAGTTTGGCTTCAGTGCCAGATAATATTTTTCTTTTCCAATATTATTTCCTTAACTTTGTAAGGAACGTGTACAGATCCAGGAAGTTTATGATGAAGCTGGAGTTTTGGGTTTCTGGAGAGGTGTATTCCCGACATTGATCATGGTATGTAAGGAGTGTGTCTTATACAGGCTAAAGGGGGTATGACTAATTGTTTCTGCTTTTGACCACAGGTGAGTAATCCTTCCATACAATTTATGCTGTATGAAACTATGTTGAAGAAGCTGAAGCAAAGACGTGCTTTGAGTAAGAAGGATAACAGTGGGGTTACTGCTTTAGAGGTTAGTTTCATCTAGATCTTAAACTTTTAAGCATCCCTAACCTAATGTAAATTTTTCATGATATACCTTTTATTAGAGTACTTACAGTACTAGTACTATGTTTCTCCCCCTTGAGCTAATAAATTGCCTAATTCTGTTAGATATTTCTTCTTGGTGCTTTGGCGAAACTTGGGGCTACGGTCGTGACTTATCCTCTTTTAGTTGTGAAGGTGAATGACGTGACCTTATACAGATCTGTAATTGTGAAGCAATGCGTACTTGAGTTGTTATGTGAATGGATTGCTATTGAAATGTGAAATGCTTGATCTAGGTCTGTATTTGAAGTTAACTTAGTGAACTGGAGTAAATGTCTAGAACTTTTAAGCTCCTCTGGATTGAAAAGACATGGATATGTGCCACCGTTTTAAATTTTGGCTGCTTGTTAGTTTTGACTTGAGCAATACACTCCCCCACAAAAGAAAAAAGAAAAAAAAAGGAAATATCTTTGTGTAAAGAAAGGATTGGAGGACTTGGGTTGAGCTTCTGGCTAAGATTTGGTTAATGAGGGGAAACGAATAGTAAAAGATTGAGGAGATGACACTGGGAAGAGACAAGATAGTCTTGGTTCTGTATTGGATTTGGTGTCATTAAACTTATAAGTATATAAAGAAAGACTTTTAAAGTATATTGTGATCTCATCCATATAAATACTAGTCTTTTAGTGTTTTTTTTTTGAGCTTCTTATTGATTCTCTTGCTGATGCAGTCGCGGCTTCAAGCAAAACAGGTTACAACTGGTGACAAAAGGCATCATTATAAAGGTTTGAATATGACTATTTATTCATACATTGAGAAACTAAAATATCAAAACAACAATTCTGTATATTTGCAGATGAAAATATCTTGTTTGTGAATTATGATGTTTCATTATATTTGGTTTTACGTTCAGGCACGTCAGACGCTATACTAAAGATGATTCGCTATGAAGGATTATATGGGTTTTACAAAGGGATGGGAACAAAAATAGTACAAAGTGTACTTGCGGCTGCTGTTCTGTTCATGATTAAGGAAGAGCTTGTTAGGGGTGCTCGGTTCTTGCTCACTAACAAAGTGAAATCAAAGCCTCCATAGTTGTGAACCTAACCTCTCTTTTTCGGCCACGCCTTCACCTCCCCATTCCCAATTGGTTTATTTCATAATGTTATCGTTGCAAGATCAAATATTCATTCGAAATGTATTCGTCATTGTTGGCAAACTGCTACCTTGAATATAAGGGATTTAGGGGGATCAATTTGGGGTAATCTGGTAAGTTTACCCTATTTTATTTTTAGACTTAATTCACCATGTGTATATTATACTGGAGAACCTAATTACCATTGGGTAAAATCAACTAATAACATCAATAAGTTTGTTTTCAATAGAAAGTTTTGTCACTGCCATTTTTCATGTTACTGCATTTTGTAGTATGTTCGAATAATTTTACTATTTAACTCAGGAACAAATTTTTGTTTTTGTTTTCAAATTGGAAATTATTATTAGTACTTACAAATTACAACGCTTATGTGAATAAGACGATCATTTCAAACGTCTATGAAATTAACCATAAAATACATGCAAAGGCAAGTATTTATCAAGAATTTCTTAAGAAAAAAAAGAGCCTTTATTACTCCCACTGAAGCTGTGAAGCGTTACCCGCTCTCTCACTCACTCACTCTCTCTCTCTCTCTCTCTCTCTCCGAGCCATTTTCAGACAAAAGCCGTCAAACCCAGTTCTCCAAATCCCCACCAAAAAAATGCAAGACAAAAGCTCAGAGTCGGCCAACAAAAACCCTAAGAAGGCTAATCTCTTAGACCATCACTCCATCAAACACATCCTCGACGAGTCTGTTACTGAGGTCAGTAGGAATTCCCTCGATCTGTTTCGGTTTCCAGGTTTTCCATTTTGTTCTATTTATTTATTTATTGTTTTTGTAATTCGAATAGATCGTGACGAGCCGTGGATATGTGGAAGACGTGAGGATGAGCAATATAAGACTGTTTCTCGGAACAATTATAATCGTAATTGCTCTCTTCGCTCAGTTTTACAAGAAGAAGTTCCCTGAGAACCGTGACTTTCTCATCCTCTGCATCGTCTTATATCCTCAAAATTCATGACATTACGCTTTTGCTTGTGTTTATCTTCGTTTAATTACTGTTAATTTCTGTTTAATTGATGAGAAAACAGTTATTAGATTATTTAATTTGATTTGATGCTCTTTTTGCTTGGTTTCATGGCTTAAAATTTGATATGTATTTTACTGCTGTCGCATAGTTTTGGATTGATGTTAGCTTCAAGTGTGTTTGATCTTTGACTCTGGCAAGTATATAGTCTTCAATGGACTATTGCAGCTTATCATATACACAAAGGAGAAGAATGCCATCCTCTTTACGTATCCTCCAGCGGTACGTTTCTCTTCGGGATTGAAAATGTAGCTACGATGATTGATTACATGCTGATATTTTACTTGTAGGTTACTGAATTTTTGAGTATGTTCTCACGCTGATATATGTATTTTCTACTATATGCTGATAACCCAATCGCACGTAGTGGTGTGATTTGATAAACTCTGATATCAGTATATATACTAGGACTTACCATGCTTTCGATTCCTCATGTCTAGCTTCCTTTGTTATATCTACTATTGAATACATCCATACTCTAGTTTCAATATAAAATATTTTGTATCCTTGTCTAATATCCCATTCAATGGTTAATTTTCAAAGTTTTGCCTTATGCTACTGAATAGTGGCTTTGTCACCTGCAATTTGGATTAGGGTGTTTGCTTGGTATTGTTGACTGGAGTTGAGTGATGACTTATCAAAGTCGGGGGGTTCTCTGGAACATTTAAGCTTTATACATGTCTGCGTGTCTCTATTCATATGTACATATTAAGCTACTATACTGTAACATAAGTGATAAGCTACAGTCATCTCAGTTACTCTAGTAGAAAGTCTAAAGAACCCGAATAATTATATCTCCTTCTTCTGTGATAAGATGTATCCTCCCTCTTGTATATGCATTATGCAATTGGGACATGTCTTAGACATTAAGCTCAATCTTGTATTCCCAGTAGGGTGGAACATGAAGAGTTCTCTATTGAAATGCCCATTAAGGGTTTCTTGTTCCTTCTTCGCGCCACCCCCCGGTTGACTGTTTTTGCCAAGCTGCCTATCCATGGTTGTTAGGTCACGTGCGTTATGTGTGCAGAATGATGATTGCTTGATAATGGGGAGATTTTGACTTTTATTTTCTCTAGTTGAGACAACATGTTTATCCTTGTTAGGAGCAAGAATTAAAATAGTAAAATCCCTTTTGGAATTTTGTAACTCTCTTTTGACAGGTTTAAAGTAAAACAGAATTACTCTTTCTTTTATCAGACATGTGTTACACCCCATCTTTGTTTGCCCGGTTGGTTTATAGGATCCCATTATTATTTTTTCCTTGTTTATTCTTTACTATTTGGAACCTAACCCTATATATCAGCCATCTGCAGTACTCTTTCATGAAGAACTTTTATATTGAACCACAGATGCTGCACTAGAATTTATGTGTATATAAAATATGATTGTTCCTACAAGTTTATAAGTTAGAATGATCAATATGTAGTGGTGAAACTTTGTCATTCTTATGACATAGTTCACACATCTAAATTTTTAACTCGTAAAATATTGCAAGTTTTATACAAAAGGGAATTATTCACGCAGGATTCCTTCACAAGCACTGGATTGGTGGTCTCTTCCCAATTGCCAAGATTCTCTGATATGTACACACTTGTGATAGCAAGTGCAGACCCCAAATCTATTTCCGCAAATCAACCAGTAAAGTTTACCAAGAGTGTTACTCAGTGGTCTCTCTCTCTCTCTCTCTCTCTCTCTCTCTCTCTCTCTCCCACACACACACAAGAAGAAAGAAGAAAATATGCACATGCATGCATAATCAATTTTGGCAACATTTCAGGTTCACCAAGGATGGGATTTTGGTGGAGGGCCTCTTCTGGAAAGATGTTGAAGCTTTAATAAATGAATACCAGAAAGAACCAAAGAAGAGCAAGTGACAGGAAAACTTCTGAATAGCACATTTGATGGGGACGCTGATTGGAAGAGAGAGTTTCATTTAGAGCTGTCGTGTGATTATAGATGTTGCTCTTTGACAATGTGACTTTTTGCTCTTTAGAACCAAACCAGTGTCCATTATATTCCATCATTTAGAAAACAACCGACCGGATGAATTGATGAAATCTTGAACAGTTAGCTTCTTTTGTTACCCGACTTTATAAAGTCAAAGTTCTAGGACTGCCTAAGTCTGAATATATATTCAGTTCGGTGTTATTTGTCTCCCGTGACCTGTTTTTTCCTTCTCTTTTATGAAACTTTACTTTGTTTAATTGGAATCATTGCATTGGAATCTTAGCATCCCCTACCCCAATCAACGGCCTAAAAAGGTTTAAGTAACAAAAGCGAAAAGTAATTGCCTCAATAAATACTGGGGGACCTACAATGAAAGACCTTTTTTCATGGGCTAACAAATGACATGTTTACTTACTAGCAATCATATCCAAAGATAGATCATTTTTTCAATTATTGAACTAAATCCTAAATCCTAAACTTCATTTTTATGTTGATTATATATAATTAGTAAACAGCGTAACGAGAATGACTTCATATACCAATTTCTTACTTTCCATATATACCATGTTCTTACTTTCCATATTCCTAAGTTTCTTTATGCCTTACTTTCTCATTATAAATAAATAAACATACCAAACAACCAAAAAGAAAAGCAATCAAATTTTAGTGGATTAATTGTACTTTGCTTTGTTCGGTTGTTCCTCAACCATCGTCCTCCTTTTGTCCAAAAAAATAAAAAAGAAGCCCTCAGCCTCCAATGCGCGTGTACGGTACCAGCCAATCTCTCATCGGGCGGAACCCGTGGAGTGGTCCGTTGAGCGACTGACATGGCACCTCCTTCAATGTTTGGCTTGACGGATAATCGGGTCCCACAAAGAGATTGATGAGCTGACGTGGTGCCTATGCAATCACGCCTCGGATCTGAAGACCAACACAGAATCGCATTTTATAGGCGGTTTTCAAGTCCGCCTCATATTTCATTAGTCTAGTCCCCTCCCAGGCCCAGCTGTATTATAAAAACCGACCCCAAGTACCATCCGTTCCCTTCCATTTTCGCAACAGAGACCAATTATTTCCTGTGTGAGATATTTTCTTCTCTCTCTGAAAACCTCTTATCTCCTTCTCTCTATCCTCACCCACGCAATTCAATCTTCCTTCTCCGACTCGATCTCAATCTCAATCAGGTTCTGTGGCTTCAGATTCAGATTTGGAAACCACAATTAAAAAAAATAAAAAAAATAAAAAAATAATTAAATCGAATTAGGGTTTCGAATCTATCAAAGGCGATTTAACGGAAATTTCCCAATTATTCGCGATGACTAGCCCTGGAAACCAAGATTTACATACGAATGACGAGATCGATGGCGTCGATCGCATTGCAGATCAATCAAACGGGGAAGAATTAGAGAACTCGTCGTCCTCGAATGGCGCTGAGAGCTCCGGCGTTGGACCGGCGTCGAGGAGTGAGATTGGGCTCGAAGAGCGATTGACGGACATACTTGTTGATGAAGGGGATGGAGATCTGTTGCTCCAGCAGAGCAATCGAGAGGACCGTGTTTTGCAGTGGCTACAAGCGCTCGATATGCAGGTTATGGGTGCGTGTCGTGCCGACGAGAGGTTGAAGCCCTTATTGAAGATGAATGCCTCGAACGACGTCGCAGAAGGTCGATTGTTAGCTCAATTAAGCCAGGTATGTTATGACCATGATCTCAAAGAAGTCAATGTAGAAATTCACTGCTTAAGCGACTTGATTTGAAGCTCTGTGTTGCCATTTACAGTATTTGTTGGGGGAGTGGGGGGTGGCGCGGTTTCAAAAGTTGGCATTGAGGCTACTAATTGCTAGATGCTTTGTGAATAGGCTGAATTGTTGTTGAACATCGGTTGAAGTAGGGGATAATTTTTGGGATTGTGGTTATTTTTTTTAATTTCTGGTTTTGCAAAATGATGATCTCACACTTTGTGTTTGATGAACAGCATTTCGAGCCAGCAGAAGTTGGAATGCTAGCGAGGTGCTTCTGTATACCTCTTGTTTCTATTCGTGTGGGACAGATCAACAAGCAAGGGACTCTCTTGTGCCCCACTGCTGCTAGGTAAATATCAGATTACTATATCTCTTGATGCACTTGTTTGGTATCTTTGTTTGTTTGAAATGTTGTTTGTAATTAGTATTAACTCTAAAAATCTCTTTTCATGTCTTGCTCTTTTGCATAGTTGAATAAGAAATGAACATAGCCTATCACTTAGAACAAGTAGTCTGTGCATTTAGATAGCTTTCCTGAAGTCACCGACTTTCAAAAGGACGGGTGTGCTTCTTTTTGCCCTCTCTATCCCCCTTTCATTTTACTGACAAATTCATGTGTGGCAATACCTTCTCACATGATGATGCTGCATTGGCGTTTATATCTATAAGTTTTGACAGAAAAGGAGAATAAATAATGTTTTTCATCATGTTTCCAAATGATTGAAGTGCGATTGTGCCGGAATATCAGATTTCTAGTCTGGTCCCTTCCGCTTAATGCTTTATTTTATATTGGGGGAGGTTATATTGATATGAAACAATCAATTACCATTCTAGCCTGATTACTAGGATTTTCCAGCATCCCACCGGAATCTATTGTGCTAATGCATAAATTTACCTCCCTGCATTCCATGTATATATGTAATTCAAGCATGTCTTGGATGTGTTACTTAGTGTTACTTGATTGCACTATACAGTCTTGCTTTTGACATTTCATGCAGGCAGCTGGTTTAAAATATACCTGATGTTAGTAATGTTCTGATGTTTCGCAGTTAATCAAACATATTAATTTATGCCTGTAAGTTCATATTTGTCGATATTAATTTCCAGGTCCCTATGTATATAAGTATTGGTTGTTTGCTTGTGGATGTTTAATTTTTGTTCAAATCATTCATCTAGCATTTAGAAGACTGGACTGCATTTTCATGTTGATTATAAACTTAAGAAAGTAATTTTCATCTTTATAGAAATTTTTTGAAAGGTTCACTTAAGATATTCCTGAATTTTTTATTGGGATTCATAATCGAGTAAGCTCTCTCTCGTATGGGTAGTGACATACTGTAGGTACTTGAAACACAGTTTGTTATGGCTTGACAAATGGGAATGGGAATGTGGTACGTCACCTTACTCTGAACATGGAACAATAAGGTTTGAATAAAAAAGACTTGGTGTTCAGTTAGAAGTTTGCATTGAGAAGACAATCTTAGGTCAGATCTCTTTTTCGGTTTTGGCCTCTTCCGTAAGAAAACATCATAGTCACTAAAGTGTTACTTATCATGTTTCATTTCAGAATTATAAACAAGAGTGGTAGATGTTTGGGATCATCGGTCTTAGCATGTAATTGAAGTGTAATAAGAAGTTTGGAATGACTAATATTGTGGATTGTGAGAGTAGTAGCATATTATGGTAGCGATGGAAACACCCATTCATATGAATCATGTTTGACTAGTAGATTGTATTTGTTTGTTGTAAACATTACCACATCTTGATGTCACTTTGCACTGCATGGCGGTTTTTTGCAGTCAGACATTGGGAAGACGTTTTTGAGGTTAGTTAAATGATATCAGTTTATGAAAAGAATAGGACATTCATTTACCATATTTAAGCAGAATGATTTCAGCTGAAGCATACAGTTAATCTTGAATGCTCTTTGCTTAGCATTTGTTTCTGCTTATCTTTTACTTATTATTAGTCTTTTGTTCATAAAATGATTTATGGCTATTCTGATACTCCTTGTTGCTTTTCTATTATTAGTATCATTGACATTACTGTCATTAACTCATGGGGGAGCATGAGTTCAGTGGGTAGAAAACTAAAAAAGTTAGTGGAGAGAGTTTTGATCTAGTATTGAGTTTGTGAACAAATGTAATGTTCTGGGGAGTGTATTGCGTGATTAATGTTCTTTGTAGGTCGTAGGAGTCCATTTTAGCTTATTAATGGTGACAATGTTCATTCTTCCAAGTAAATATGTCTTTTGACTTGTAGGTAATGTGGGCGTATTCTATTATGATCTCTGAATTAAGAGGAAGTAAAGGTAGTTTCATGATCCTATATTATATAGTTTGCTACTGCTTTTTAGCTATAAATGATTGGCATTATAAGAGAAATTAAAATGGAGTGTGACAAGTTATTGTGTTTCTGAGTTATGTCATTGTCTGCCTACTGTCTTCCCGAAGTTTGTTTGATTGTACAAGCTGATTTTTATGTTATTAACATCTAGTAATTCTTTCCTTAATTGGAATTATTTTGCTACTCGTATGTACTTTCTTCCAATTATATGGTGTATAGACATCCTGTCACTTGATTCTTTTTGTTTGCTTCTACATCCATAGAAAAGAGAATCTTTGAGCATTGTTTGTATACCTTTCATTTATGCTGATCACTGGAAGAGCCCAAATGTTGGAGGCAACTCTTTAGTTGTCATGTTTTATGATTGTTGAGTCAAAATTAGCGTTAGTTCAACTCTGAATAATAGTGTGTGGTCCTGCTTTGGTGATTCGTTCTCTTAAAATGGAAAACAGATATACAGAAGTTAGAGAGGGTTGTTGTGACCTTTGTCTCTGACCTTGTACTTAGTAAATTACTTGCTTGAATTTAGTTATGATTACTGTCAACAGAAAAACCAGAAGAAAAAAGAATAATAAGGAAATACCTGTGGTTAGCGGAGAAAGAACAATTAGATTAACATTAAGTGATTGGGCCTCTGCAGTCGTTGAAAGATACTTAGGTTTCTTATGCTTATTTCTCTTTCTAAGCTTTCGTTATCTTTTCACGTTGTCTCAGGGGTAATTTAAATCTTACAGTCTTGCCAACATCTAATTTACGCCTTTCATTCGTTGGGGATGATGGTCATACAGATAGACTTTTCACTTTAAGTAGCAAATCTCAGTGTTCTGCTGTAGAAGTCAATGAGATTCCAACGGACAATTCTGGCCGGTCTTTCCTTATTAAAATCCCAGGTGGCCGGGTTTTTTACTTTTGGTGCTCTGAGACATCCCGACTTTTGGGAATTGAATTGCTTGCAAAGGTATGTATGACTTACATAATGAACCTGTCTGGACAGAGCACTTGTTTGCTATTATAATTGCTAACTGATTCTTCACCCCTGTAACAGATGAAGGATCTGATCAAGAGGAAGCCCTCCATAGCTGAGTTAACTGGAATCAGTGAATCACGCCTTGGTTGCTTTGCAACTCACCTTCGTGCCTATCTGGTGGGATCAACAGTGGGTGGTAATGCAGGAAGTTCTGCAGGCTCCACATCTGATGGGGATACCACCACAGAGCTATCTGATACAGCTCAAGATGGACAATTCTCATCCGCATCATCAAAATCCTTGCGTTCACGGCATAGTGTCAATCAGGCAACAAAGGCAAATTCATCATTTCAGGGTAGCCTGAGCCCAAGACCAAGTTCCTTCAAAGAGGGCCTACCCAGAACCTTGTCTTCTTTGAGGAACATATCCAGGGAAAGGTTGAGGAGGCGAGGAGACATGTACCTTTCAGGCATTGACATCCCAACAATTGCTTCATCAATCACAGTTGATGCATCTTGTCCAAATAATGCTGAAATTGACAAATGTCCGGCAGTTATTAGAAGTTGCTCTTTATCTTCTTCAGGTTTCCTAGAGTCACTAGGAAAATTGGCTGTCCCATCAACCCTGAACCCTGCATCACAAGTTCCTTACATAGTTACTCCTCTTTTATCTCCTTACTATTGTTGGTGCCCTCCAGGTTCATCAGATTTGCAGTTCTCACCAGAACCTCCTCAGCTTCCTGGCTCATCAATTGAATCAGCTTTGCTTCCACCACTTTCTTCTTTATTACAAGCCAATGTGCCCTCAAGCATGTTGACAACAAATCCACCACTTAATTTGGCTGATGCTCCCTTGGTCGATTTCCCTGCTTTTCTCCCAGACCCATTGGTCAGGTTACCAAGGCCAACTTCTCAGCAGATCCCAACTTTCACACCGTTGATGTGTGACCCAATTGTTCACATTCCAGTTATTGATATTTGCTCTTCAGGCCAAGGGTACTTAGTCAGTGCTGGTCCTGCTATTTCAACTGCCATTTCTCCTTTGCACCCGAAACTTGTGAATATTCCCGAAACTGATTCTATGGTGGAGAAGGGTGCGAGAGAGACACTGCGGCGACTGCTAATGAGTGGTTCGACCCAGAATGGCTCACAGCTGATAGATGTATTGCCTGCCATGCTGTCAAATGCACATGAGAATCGAAATATGCTGGTTGGTGGGAGCCGGGGTCTGTATAGTGGAACCAGGGACGTTGATGTAATTGCAAACAGCATTGCAGCCATGGGTCTTGTTTCACTGTCTGGGATATCTACCAGGGGAACTGGTTTAGATAATTGTAGTATCCACGGAAATTTTGATATGCAGGAAGAGGGATCCAGTGGATTGGATGGATCTTGTTCGGAAGATAAGGGTACCTTTTGTTCGGATTTTAGGGTAAAAAGGGCAGATGAATAAGAAGAAGAAGAAGAAGAAGAATAATAATAGAATGGTGTCCGTTCGTTTTTTGTGTGTTGTTGTCCCAGGCAAGTAGGTATGTGTTTTTGGTTCTACTTCCAAATGTAGATGATGATATAGGTGGCCGTAGTTTAGGCCTTTGGAATTGTAATTAGTGCTGCTGATCCCATCCTGAGGCTGTGTTCCATATTGTGCCGCCTCCATTGTTCTTGTTCATGATTAGAAGAAGATGAATGAAATTTGTTTTCGAATCGTGTTGTCGACATCCTTTGTCTACTTATGACTACTTCCAAATTCCAATCTTGATTATAGCAGTTGACTGTTAAAATCCATTATTTTCACCTCCATAACCATCGAAATCAACACTTGTTTATGGAAAGATAGGAGACTTCGAACTCATAATTAAATTAATCTGGTAAAGTTGAATCTGCCCAAATCAAATGAAGCAGCTTGAGAACAACAGATACGAGCGCGACACAGGCAAAGAGTCTTAGATCTAGATCCCTGACCCTGATGTGTATTTGAAGTAATGGACCAATATCATTTGAGGTGGTTAAAATTTAACAATTGATTTCTCATCTCCAAGCCTCCTTTTAGGCTTTCCCATAATACAAACGAGACTTTAGTAGTGTGTGAGTAAAGCTTAAGACGTACGTTCCCTTTTTATATTTATTTAAATATATGGATTAGTGTGTTCCCTTGGAGGGTTCTGACACAATTACTCTTAGATTAATTCATTAATTCATTCGAATTTGAGTGGAGGAGAGGATTAATTAATTTAACAAACAGGATTAAACCATAGCTGAGCACAACAACGAAGTACATTGGCTGATAAATAAAAGGATTTGAATGAATCACCCAGTTGAGTTGTGACTAAAGAATAGCTGAGCCTCAGGAGCTGACCAGCAGACAAGTTGCTAGGCATCTAGGCATGAGAGAGTGGGGCCTAAATAGTTGGTTGTATTTTAATTCTTTATTATTATTATATATATATATTTTATGGTATTATTTAAAATGGAATTCCAATTAGGAGGAGCATGCCTGAGCATCTTCATGTCATGCCATGCCGACTCATAAAAGAACAACCAATGAGTCACAGAGTCAGTGACCAGTCGAGGAGATACATCTACGGCCACATCACCACCTTCACACTCAAAACCCTAATTTAATTTGGTAGCTGTCATCAAGTCGATATACTAAAAATTAGATGGTTCAGACTATTGAAATACAGTGTATATGATGTTTTTCAAATAATCGCATTTAAGAAATCGTTCAATCGAAGCTCTATGTATAATAATATATATTATAATTATATAGTACCCGGATATTTTTCACATAAGTGTACTGGTACTATCACTACTACAGACAATTGCCAACTACTACAACTACTAGATTTTAAAATATTATTTTTGAATTATGTATATGACATTTTTTTGGGGAAGATTATATATATGACATTTACATGCGGATTTCAAATTGATTCTTCTTTTATTGGAGAAAATATGTGATTACTAGACCGACTACGTGCATACACCAAGAACCTTCCCTTTTCCTTTTGCCCTTTTTGAACTTAAACTATAATTTTATAGTTAGTGTCCCCAGCAAACCATCATCGTCGATCTCACACATTTGAATTTGATAGATCCTAATTTTGATGGTTCCATTCACTGGCAGACTCAAATTTTTATTTTTATTTTTATAGTAAGTGTGTAATTTTGAAAGGTTAAAAGCTTTATTAAAAATACAAAAATGAGGGAAAGTACGTCTGCTTCTTATTTCTCCTATGTATGAAGTTATATTTGCTTTCTTTCTATTATTAAAAGAAAAGGATGTGCTAATTAAGTCATGTTCTTTCATTATAAAAATAATTTACTGAGGAAAAAAAAGAAAAAGAGTGTCTGTATTTGAGAAAAGCTGTTGAATTGCCTACTTGAGAAAGAATGTCCGGATTGGGAACTATCTCCATCCGATTAATTTAAGCCAAATGATTAATTTGAAAAGATGAAAAAGAAAGCTTGTTAAAAGTTTTTTTTATAGTCCTTTATTATTTTTTAAGTAGCCCATACATCAGAGCTTGTTAAAGTCCACAAATTGCTTTGGTTTTTTTTTCTTTTTCTTTTAAATTCTGGTAAAAAAATGACGTCGTTTTGGCCGGGATGTTTTTATAAAATTTAAAAAAAAATATGCTGCGCGCAACAACAGCCAAGGGGTGCATCAATAGCAGCACCTGCAAGCCTTGATTGAGGCAATTCGTCGAACATCTGGAGCACACCACGAAACCTCAGCAGAGAGTCAATATGCAGCGCTTGAAAGATACTTTTCTGGGAAGCCTTTAATAGTTCCGCCAATGGTTCCATTAATATATTTCGGCTTTTTGGTCAAGGACTTATCATTTACGTTAGAAGAAAGCAAAGGAAAAAAAAAAGTTGAAAACGAAGCCCTTAAAACCTTTGTGCCGTGAACTTAAAGATCCATCCATGCCACAAGCTTTGTAAAGGAGGCCTTAATTCTTCGTTCAATTATTGGCCCCCATGATCTGGATTTTTCAATAATAATGGTGATGAGGGAAGGAGGATGACAACGACTTATTCCATTGTCTTGTTGATTTCCTAGTACACAACTCGACTGTTAAAGTCGCAGCAAACTACTGCTTCCTCTCTCATCCACACTTCAAACAATTGAGCCATTTGTGTTTGTGAGGCCTACGATAACTTGCTTCTCTAAACCACCCAACCTTAATTTGTCGCTTCTATCCACGAGAACTAAAAAGTCGATGCATTAGTCAATGAGGTCTAACCTAATGGAAAATGATTTTGACTAATTTCCGCCCTTCGGACTTACAAAACCTAATTGCTTTTGTGACTTTAAATGGCTAAAGCAACTTCTCGTGCCTTATATTATCGATATTATCAATATTTTAATTCTTACCAACGATGCATTGATAATGTACGTGTGAGAAACCTTGCTTTCCTTAGACTATGCTCACCAAAATATATAATCAACTGCTAATTTTTCTTTCAATTAGTCGCGTTAATCATGAAAGTGCCAAAGAAAAGTAATTGCATCATAGCTATAAAGCCTACTTGCTTTCGTGACTTAAATTGGCGCCACTAAATGTTCATGTTTGAATAGGGTTCTACATAGGGGGTGCACAAACAAGAAAGCTTGCCACATAATTTGCAAACCCTTGTATGAACTGCAAAAACTAATTAGACTAATTAATTTCCATGGCAATAATTAATTAAATATGAAAAACCGTTAGGGGGTTTAATTAGGTGGTGGACCATCGACCATGACGACAAACTAGTGCAGCAAATAGGCTAATTAAGTAGCTTGGCATTATTAGTCATGAAGGGAAGTCACTGTCCTCTACATAGGTCAAAAAGAGATTAATTTGTTGGGAAACACAGGCATATACTAAGATGCCTCATCTGAAAGAAATATAAACATAGAGTATATGCCCCATGGGACACGGATGATGAGAAATATATTCTCTACTTCAAATAATAATATTATTCTATCAATAATCACGTACTCTGCACCATTGGGTAAGACATCTTCCGGGTCAAACCTTTTAAGCACTGACTGCCCTCTCATTAGCATCTGCTTAATTCAAACACGAGTGATCATCAGATTAATGGGTGCATGTACACCAACCAAGATTAGTTAATTCAACAAGGGATTAGTTGACCACAACCAACATATTCCTTTGCAAATTGCAATTAAAATATAAGATATAATAGTGTGTCTGCTCAAAATCTTTGGTGGAATGGAAATAAATTATTGTTCAGGGGAAAACTGCACGGCATAGCATAGGAGGAGATCTGTTGTTCCATTCATTGACAAATATTTTATGTGATTGACTAAATATTTTCTTGAATTCATATTTTCCACTCGAGAATAAACGATTCTTACCCTTTTTTTCTTTTAATTAAAAAGTATTAAATTTGACATTTTCACATGCAATGGAACTTCTTAGAGCAATTCCACCGCTTCAGTTTGGCCTGAGCAAGAGGGGACCCAAGCCACAGGTCGCGCTTCCAGCGGGCTTCAGCAGCCTGGGCAAGAGGTGGGTCCTCTCAAACCGGGCAAACCCAAAGGCAAAACGAGCCCAAGCTCGTGCCTGGAGGTTGCTGACGTCAGTAACAAAAACCAAAATTTTTAGAATTTTTTTGAAAATAAATACCTAACCATATTCTTCAATTTCCACACCAAAACTATGTACAAATTCATCTCCTTATATCTCATGTGAATGATGGTTATCCTTGGGTTGCCATGGCAATTGGTGGAAACACAACAAGCCTTTTGCGAAGGCTACTACTATTCAAGTAAATAGTAACATCCATTGCCTTACCCTTATCTTTTACCATGACAAATAAGTGAAAGTGCTCTTAAACAACACTAATAAACTAGTTGTTGTTCATATTTGTATGGTGATTAACAATAACAATAACAACAAGAATTAGAAAGAAATTGCTTTTCTTTCTTTCTTTTTTTTCCAACTGATAAAGAGATGTTTGCAACTTGTTAAATAAATTATTATTAATTCACATTTGTCACATTCACTCCTACTGCGCAAAAAAGAAGAAAGAAAAAAAGGACTTAGACTTGGACTTGGCTACACAACTATCTTTAAAAAAAAAGAAAAAAGAGAGAGAATTGTGTAGCTAATATGAGAATTCATCATAAAACGACTTTAGAGAAGCATCCACATCTTCTTCTCTCTCGATTAGCTAATAACCAGGGGCGGAGCCACACTAGGACCAGTGTGGTCCCGGGCCCCCACTCAAGTTTTTATATATTTTAAAAGTAATATACTGTTATGTATTACTATATGTATATTATTTCAAATACTTTACGTTTTGATATGTACCCACATGTGTTGTGGAGGATCTATTAAGGCACAATGAGGTGCTTCAAATTGCCCATTTGCTTAGTTGGTGGTGGTGCACTCCAGGTGTACAGATTACCTTATTTCCATTTTCAGCATTTAAGTAAATGTCTTTGTCCTTTTACTTTAATTTATTTTTATATTACTCCATTTACTTAAGTTTACAATGTAAATAAGGAAGTACCCTCTATTTGGATTCAAATAAAAATACTAGAAAATCAAATTCCCACCAAATCAAAATATGAAAAATCGGTTTTAGTGCAAAATACGATTTAGGCTAAAAATGATGGCTCATTAAGTCAATATATACTTTATATTAAAATCCCATAAAATCAAGTTTTCTTATTTGATGTGTAAGGAATAAAAGCCGCCAAAAATTATCTTGAGAAAATGATTATTTTAAAAAACCATTTTTCATACTTAGTCAATATTTTTACATAAAACATTTTTTTCATGTATGATAATATGATATGAATGCATGAAGGGACCTAAGGTGTTTTTTAGTTTGTGAAATTTTAATTTTTTCTTTCTATTGGGTTTAATGGGGAAAAAACTTTAAAGATATTTGCTAAATCGCTGCTCTTTGTCTATCTCTTACAATTTTTCTTGCTTAAAATGTATCTGTCTATCTCTTTGTCGAGGACAATTATGATTGCAACCAATAAGCAATATAATTCTTGACATATGTGATATATATACTATTTTTCGTATGTATTGTGAGTTCGAACTTTTGATTCTTTATAATTTGTAAGAGGCCCCCACACATATGAAATCCTGACTTCGCCACTGCTAATAACAATAATAATACTTAAAAATTAGGCCCAGCAAAATACTATAGTGATTTGACATCGTCCTTTTTAGCTATCGGACACCCATGTCATGCTCAACTCCATCTAGACAACTCTTGGACCTAGCGCTACAATTTTGTCTAACACCATTTTTACATTAATCAATATCCTTGTAATTTCGTTCAACACTATACTATATAGTAATTACAACCAAAAAAAAAAAGGGACATTATGCTATAATATTGTAAAGCTCTATTATTAACAATCAATCGTTCACGTGCATATGAGTGGTTTTTCAATCGTTTATAAATGTAGTATACATGTGGGTGTAAGTATTATCATTAGCATCTCTTCATGTTGATAAGTAGTTAATGAACATTAAGTGTTTGTTGATGTGCTACATATCCGTGCGCAAACGATTGTAAACAGCACCACTTTTTTCGTTTTGTATCACGCCAACCACGCTAAGCAAAAATGAACATAACATGTTTATGATGTGTCACCTGTGTATGTTATTACATTTTTATTGTGGTATCATGTGTAATGATGATAAATAGAAGATGGGATGTTACACTATAGGTTAAATTCAGGTGGTAAATACAAAAATTTACAATACAATGTAAATGTATTTTGTTTTAAAATAAAATAGCTAGTCTTTGACCCGAAAAAAAATAAAAAACAAAACGCATGGAGAGTGTCGGCTAGTGTATACCAACAAGAAGTCAAGAGAGTGAGGTAAAACGCTGCGGATAGATGAGGCAACAGCGCAGACAAACCTCCAATCCCTTTCACCACGTCGTAATAATATTTCCATTTATTGATTTGGACACATAAATCATCCTTTGCGGCACAGCTGTCCAACAAGATCAGGTTGCTGTGGCACAACCCTTAGCCACGTGGCCTCCCTCTCATAAGTCCAAGGTTACTGCACTACACCATAACGTGGCTGTATTTTTTGTAAGGAAAATACTGGCTCATTGTTCTAGAAAATATCCGTTATTACTTTTATATTAAATTACAGTTATTTAATAATTTATTTTTATGTTTGTGTCAAATAATGATTTACAGGACGAAGAAAGAATGACTCTCACTATAAAATGAGGCAAGTAAGGTTAGGATTTAAGCGTATAATCCATATATTTTCTAAATAAAACTAATGAATTGATGCGGGTTTAACGACTAAACATGATATTAACACTGCTTAAAGTTACACTTTTCAGATGATTAGAATATAGTGCATACATATCTCGACTTGTTCAACACTTTTAATTGCATTGTTACCTGCATAATAATGGTGGTTTCCCGATTTGATGCAAATGATCTATTGGGCTTGGATGGGCACAAAAACAAGACAAATAAAGAAAGAGAAAAGTTCTTCTACGACAGGTTTTATCTTTATAAAGATTGCCCACTTTATCCTTTCTGGATTTTTTCATGTAACAAAATCTAAAAAATATATTGTTCTTTCAAATTATACTGGATTCTTTTGTTTTTGGGTTCATTGAAATTATGAGTAGGTGAATTATGAACGTCATTATCAACCTATAAACTAATAAAATGGTGAAAGCAACATGCTTGAACAAATGGAGAACAAACAAAGCAAAAACTTTTGCTTAATGCTAATGCAGATTTCCTAAAAGCAAAACAGAGTGCATGTATATAAAGCTAAAAGAACATTATGATTAAATTTCAAATGACCTTAAAATTGTCCTCATTTAAGGTCAATTTTCAAAACATAATAACTTCGGGACAAATATGTTAATAGTAATCTCTTTCCTTTTTTTCTTTTTTTTTTCTTTTTTTATAATTATATATATTTTTTATACAAATGATATTCTATTTTTAACACGATGAGAAACCTTCATGAAAAATTAAAGGTTCAACCCGCACGATTAAATTTTCGGGTCAACTTACCATGACCCATTTAATAAACAAGTGGATTTCGAGTCAATCTGCTAAAATTCATATGTAACCTGCAAACTCTCTAAAATACCCTTGTAACCTGCTAACCCATTTCTTTGTTTATTCTTCATTTTTCTAATTGTTTGTAGTTCTTTTAGTTGCTACCACTTAGCGGGTCAACCCGATACACAACTCGAAACCCGCACGGAAATTTAGCAAGTTAACCAGACACGACACGTTTATTAAAAAGGTAAGGTTTGGATTGAGTATTCTTGACACATATATAATCATAGCACGACACAAACCTGACATGACATAACCCATTGTCAACCCTAAACTACGGAGAGGAGATTCAAACTCGGATATATAGTGGAGAGCACGTTCACTCTAGCAAACTTGACTAATCTAATGTTAATAATAACCTATTGGAAGATTCTTCAATAAGTATTTTATGTTAGGGATTAGTTACATATTTAGAATCTCGACCATTTAATCACATGTATGTTGCATATTAAATCTAACATATCTAATGAATGTAATCCAAATCTAAAATTAAAGATATATAATCAATCCTTAACTTAAATACTTATTAAAAAATCTCTCGTAATCTATTAACAACTCTTTGTATGTAAACATGAAATTAAAAAATTATTAATTAAAAAAAAAAACTTTTTCCTACTATAGGAAAAAACAGAGTAGTCTGTATTTTTTTATCCTTCCCACTTACCTCACAGTTTAAACACTATCCTAGACAGCATCTCCTGCAGTGACAGAGCTATTGCATCACCTGACACCAACCTATTACACGGCGCCACGGTGTCAACTCTCTACTCCTCCCATCACTTTTCAAACGACGACGTTCGTTGGTTGCTTACATTTTATTTTGTCGTTTTCTCTTCATCTTTTCCGTCTCCTGCCCGCTTTCCTTCACAACTCCCCTTTCGTTTTTTATGAGGCGCATAAAATTGAAGACCCCTAACTGAGTTCTGATCCAATCCCCCATCACTGTTTCCAGCCGTCGCCGCCTGATTCCTTCCAGGAAGATCCCCACCGTCCGCTTCCTTCCCGGACGATCCTCACAGATCTTTCTTCTCAGATCATGTGTTTCGCGTCCACGCTATCTCCATGTTCCCTCGCTCCTCCATTGGTCGCAACCCTGCTCCGTCCTCGATCCGCTTGGTTCGTGTTCCGTGCAAACACCACTTCAGTCCCAACGAGCTCCTCGTAGATCGTGCCAGACCCGCGTTTCTTTTCTCTATTTCTGTCACTTGTCGCCGCTCGTTTCGCGACACGTTTCGGCGTTTCGTCTGAGATTCGGATTTTGTAACAGCGGTGTGGCGTTGTCGTTTTGATTTTTGGATTGGATTAGGAAACTTAACGGTTTTGGGTCTGTTGGTTGGAAGCCATAGTTTCTATTTTTGGTTTTCGCTATTTTTGGAAATATTTCGAGCTGAAAGAGTTGGAGAGTCGGAGCTCCGAATCTCAACCCGATCTTCACAAAAGAGATTTAAATCTTCCACTCTACTCTGAAATTTTTGCTTTTGGTCACTAGTGTCCCAGTGGAGTATTTTCATTCTCTACGTTTCATTTGGCGATGGAGGATCGAAACGTGCGAAGTGGAATGTCCGATGTGGTGATAGGCTGCGTGATGCCGTATCTTCACGACGCTAAGGACCGCGACGCAGTGTCGTTGGTGTGCCGGCGATGGTACGAGCTCGACGCCCTCACGCGCAAGCACGTGACCATTGCTCTCTGCTACACCACGAGCCCCGATCGGCTGCGGAGGCGGTTTCAGCACCTCGAGTCCCTGAAGCTGAAAGGGAAGCCGAGAGCGGCGATGTTCAATCTGATACCGGAGGATTGGGGAGGCTTTGTGACACCGTGGGTGAAGGAGATCGCTGAGTCCTTCAATCGCTTGAAGTCTCTGCACTTTCGGCGAATGATTGTTAAGGATTCAGACTTGGAGCTCTTGGCTCAGTCCCGTGGGCGCGTGCTACAGGCGCTCAAGCTTGACAAGTGCTCTGGCTTCTCCACCGATGGCCTTTTGCACATCGGCCGCTCCTGCAGGTATCGAAGTTTACAACTTTGGCTGAATAAATTTTACTTGCGTTGAATTTAGTTGTGGACTTTCATCAGAAATGATGGCTGCATTCATTGTTTGGCTAAAATTTGGGGAACAAGTTATGTTCTTTCCATTAGTTTTCGTTTGAGTATTGAATGATTGACATACATAGAGAAACCATTAAGTAAAAAACCAAAAAAGCAAAATCTTTATTGATGTTCTCGACTTAGCCTGAGTGCAGCAGTCTGGTTTGCGTTTCTGATTAAAACTTTATTTATAGGGATTGATTCTGTTTCTTTCATTATATCTCGTACAATTCATCACACTGTTTCCTGTGTTATTTGATCAGTGGAAAAGTTTTTGTTTCGGACAGCTCTTAGTACTTTTGTGAAGGATTAAATTACCATAAATGGTCCCAATCAACCTGAAAAATTAGACTTGTGGATAGCTTTTAATGTAGATATGGTTTTATGTAACTCTGATTTCGATTCAGAAGTAATTTCTGCAAGTTAAGGGGTGGAAACTGTATTTTGGTTGTTTTGTATACGCAATTCTTCTAGGAAAATTTATATGCTGTCTTTTGGAACTTTTGGGGGCATGCATGTTTGCAATCAGTCTAAGCTATTGGTTCTGTATCTTTGATGCGGAGAGACGTTATTGATGTTGTTTATCATTATTTGTTTTCTTAGGAATTTGAGAACCTTGTTTTTGGAAGAGAGCTACATAGTTGAGAATGATGGTCAATGGCTACACGAGATTGCTTTGAACAACTCTGTGTTGGAGACTTTGAATTTTTATATGACAGATCTTATCAAAGTCAAATTTGAAGACCTTGAACTCATTGCAAAAAACTGTCGCTCCTTAACCTCTGTGAAAACTAGCGATTGCGAAATCTTGGAACTCGTGGGCTTCTTCCGTTCTGCAAGCGTATTAGAAGAATTTTGTGGCGGTTTCTTCAACGAGCAATCAGAGAGGTACTCTGTTGTATCGTTACCCCAAAAATTATGCCGTTTGGGTCTAACGTACATGGGAAAGAATGAAATGCCAATAGTATTCCCATATGCAACTCTTCTCAAAAAGCTGGATCTCCTTTATGCATTGCTTGACACTGAGGACCATTGCACACTAATTCAAAGGTGCCCCAACCTGGAAGTGCTTGAGGTAGTATTACGAAACCATTCTGTCTGCTTTTAATTTGTTGTTGTCATGTGTGCGTGCAAGTGTGCATGAGTGTGTGTGTGGGTGTGTGTACAACAATTACATATTAACTTTAATTTGTCATGTCTTTAATGCTTTTGTTTTGGAGTGGGAATCGTATTTGGAACTTACATATGAACTTTAATTTGTTTCTGTCATGGACAGACAAGGAATGTTATTGGAGATAGAGGACTAGAAGTTCTTGCTCGGAGTTGCAAGAGATTGAGGAGGCTCCGAATTGAGCGAGGTGCAGATGAGCAAGGCATGGAGGATGAAGAAGGTGTTGTTTCACAAAGGGGTTTGATAGCATTGGCACAGGGCTGCCTGGAACTTGAGTACTTGGCTGTGTATGTGTCAGATATCACAAACGCATCTCTGGAATACATTGGGACTTACTCTAAGAATCTTTGTGATTTTCGACTTGTCTTGCTTGACCGAGAAGAGACGATAACAGATTTACCACTTGACAATGGGGTTCGAGCTCTTTTGAGGGGCTGTGATAAGCTCAGAAGGTTTGCTCTGTATCTCCGTGCTGGGGGCTTGACCAATTTGGGACTTAGTTATGTTGGCCAGTATAGTCAAAATGTGAGATGGATGCTTCTGGGTTATGTTGGGGAATCTGATGCAGGGCTTTTGGAGTTCTCTAAAGGTTGCCCTAGCCTGCAAAAATTGGAAATGAGGGGCTGTTGCTTCAGTGAGCGTGCACTGGCTGATGCAGTAATGCAGCTGACTTCCCTTAGGTACTTGTGGGTGCAGGGATACAGAGGATCTGCTTCGGGTCGTGATGTTTTGGCAATGGCTCGGCCATATTGGAATATTGAGTTAATTCCCCCGAGACGAGTTGATGATCAGCAGGGGGAGGGAGTAGTGACGGAGCATCCAGCCCATATACTTGCATACTACTCACTTGCTGGACAAAGAACAGATTTTCCAGATACTGTTATCCCCGTGGATCCAGCATCTTTTATTACCTCCTAGAGTTCTGTATATACAAACCTTCTTACTTTTTTTTTGTTTTTTTGTTTTTCGAAAGCAGTCCTTTTCTTGCCACGCCTTGTTTATAAATTAATGTAACTTATTTCTTTTTTATCAGAGGGTTTCAGTTTCAAATTTCATTTCTAGACTTTAGTTCTGTAATAAGTTGGTGTTTCCCTTCCCTGTGTAACTTAAAAGCACTTGCACTCTTTGAAGCGGTATTGTATCAGAGTGCCCTCTTTCCAGGGCAGTTAGCCTAAACTTCAACTCTCTGGTGGTGACTTGTATTAGCTAGTCTGCTGAGTCAATTTGCTGCAAACTATATTCTAGTTTTGGGAGTATTTTGTCGGGGATGTTGCAAGTTTTTGAATAAAATTGAAGAGTGATTTTGCTTGCGTTCTGTTAATGTTAAGTTGAGATTCTGATGATATGTTCTTCTTGCAAAATATATGATTTTGGCTAAACATCGAATGCCCTGGGACATACTTCCAAGTCCGATATGAAAGATAAAGATTCGGGGTCCCTTTGTCTCTGTTGCTTCTCGATATTGAGACTTGGTCCCGATGATTGGACCAACAACAGCCCCAAACTCTATCAATGCCCAAGAACGGGTCCTTTTGAAGTTAATGGGAGCCGAGCCTGGGTGACTGCTATTGCGGCACATGTTTTAAACTTGAATGCAAGAAGACAGACATATTGTCTTGATTAGTGACCTGTTTCATGTTGGCATATCACTCCCGATTTCATCATAAGAAAAACCAACTTAAACATTGATCTAAATTCATAAAGAAACAAGTTTTGGACTATGATCAAGCTATTAGTCTTGCGGTCATAGACTAGCCCCAGTCATTCGATTTTTCTATTAGTCTTGCGGTCATAGACCTAGCCATATCATTCTCTAAAGTAGCAGAAAAACAAACTTGTAATAGAAATAATACTGTTTTGCGTTATTTATCGGGAATAACAAAAAGTGCTATCCGCATTACATTACAATGAGAAACAATGAGAACATGTTTACGTGAAATGAGTATGTGGCGCATGACGGCAGTGGTTCTATGATGCTGACATGTGTACACGGTGGTGGCAGGAATTCGAATATAATGCATTATTATTATTATGTCAAGAGCAAAACACAAGAGAATAAGAGAAAATCAGTACTCGAAAACTGTCAACGTATCAATTCAATACGAACATCATTATATGACTTTATGGCCAAGAAATAAAGAAGAAAACCATAGAAGAACTTTTTATAGTCTTTCATCGAAAGGTGGCACTAGTAGTGGGTGACTATCCTCCATTAAGATCAAGTAAATTCCAATTGATAATGGAAGAACAACTTCTCATATAACCTACTGCATTAGTTGAATTTGATAATGGAAGAATGAAAATACTTGCCTCCTCTCTCGGAAGTAGGAGCTCCTTTTATGCTAATTACAATTTGACACGTAGATTTTTTGTTGTTGTATTTTTTAGGAATTATTTATGCATATATGTCAAACTTTGATTTGCAGGAAGTAGAAATACCTCCTTACCTGTAGTGTTCATTGAAGAAGTAAATTCTCACAAATTTTTTTTTCTAAGTTTTCTTGGCCGTTCACTTTAGACCAACCACAGCTTCTTCTCTTGGCACAAAAGATGGTGGCACTAGATGCATCAAATTCTCCATTAAAATGGGAATGTTCTAATATAGACTTGTTTGACTTTATTTTTTTAACTTTTGGCTTCGTTTTGGCTTTGATACAGTACCTTAGTGTACTTTGTTGGGGTAAGTCTTTGCTGATATAATTTGGCAAATTGCAAAACTATAATTATGATTAAGAATGGCATAGTGACCTAGTTTTATCCTCTCATACCATAATTATATACTATACTCTTATACCGCATTATGTGGTAGATAAAGTGTACAACAAGATTAATTAAAAAGTGTCAATAAATCATATAAAAAAATAAAATATTAAATTAGTTTTAATTAATATAGTTATACACATAATCTATCACATAAGGAGATATGAGAATGTGGTTTATAAACATGAGGAGAGTAGCATTAGATATGTGAGAACAAAAAGATTTATTGGCGATTATCACTAAGATCCATGTGGACCAATGAAGACGTCATCAAACTTGGAGCCTAGTGCATGTGCCTTTGCTACACCAGAAGGATTTGATGTGAAAGATAATCAGAAAATTTAAGTAGTAAATTAATTGTTAAAAAGACAAACAAAAAAAGAGAGCGAGGTGGTACGGTTTAGCCTTCTCAAAGGTTTGATTCAAATTAGAATAAAGCAGCTAGAATGCTTTCTCATGCAAGTTGCTGAAAGATGACTGATATTAGAAGGAAAAAAGGAAGATTAAAGTTGATGGTTTATGTCACATACCGAAAGAAAAGAAAGTTCATAAGGATAATCATATTGCTCATGTTGCTTTGGAACTTTTTAATGCTCAGTGTGTGGTTTACAAAATGATATGTGCAAAGTGACAGTAACCCGCACTCAGTGTTTTTCACAAACAGTCCCAAGCAGCACACACAGCAATGGTTGGTAGAACACCAACCTAAAATAAAACAAACACAGTGACAAAGCGCAGTAAATATCATAATTATTTATTATTTATGAAAAGCTGAGGAGGATGAGAGTTTTGAGACCAAACGAAAGGAAAAATCCAAAAACCCATCAGAGTTCCAAGTTGAAGAATTAATTCTGCTTAATTTGCTCTGCAGTCTTGAAAATCCGTTTTTGGGTTTGTAGAAAAGCTTCAATCAAAGTAAAAGTATGATGCTTGCGAAGACTTAAAAAAATGGCACTATGCTGATGCAAAAGTCTGGCCACCATTAGCAGTGGTATTGGATGAAACAGGAAAAAATATCAGAGCACAGGCCAAGTTGGATTGGTAGAGGGAGGAAACGATGGTTTGAAAATTGTAAAATGCATTGGCATTTCCTTACGTGGATGATCCTACATCCTACGATGGAATGAAGCAGAGGATGCTTATCAAGTGGAATGCAAACTCAGCATCTACTAGTGGATGTGGAGCGTCACTCGGTCAATTTGGCCAAATTGGATGCATAAAGCAAATAATGGCGGAAAGTTTTTTTAAGAGAGAAAAAAAGGTGAAGCAATTAGATACTGTGGAATTTCTAAAAGAGTGCCAAGTGAGTCATCAGCCTGTTTAGCCACATCATCCAATGACATGGCTACTTTTCCCCAGTGGTTGCAAGATCATTCCACGTGTGAAACAACCATAATCAACCACAGCCATTCCAAGTGCAAATCCATAGGGTGTAAATAAGACCACGCACCACTAGGAAACTGCCAAAAAAAATAATCTTAAATTCTCTCACCTGTAGATCTTTATAACTTTATTCTTGGTCTATGGTTATGCAGAAGTTTTGGATTCTTCTCAGAAACTAAATAAAACAGAGAAAATGATACTAAAATTAAGATCATGTGCCTGCCCGAAATGTACATAATAGTATGTTATATATGCACACATACAATCAAGGAAAATACTTTGACAAAAGAAAAACCAAAAGATCATTTCAGTCAGTTCAGTGCGTGCATGCGTATGTGTCCACCCGAAGTTTCTTACAGCTGTCTGAGATATTTGTCCTCAAACTTCAAGCAGCTTACTTCACTGATGTATGCATGTTTATTTCCCAGCTCAAAACTGCAGTTACTTTGTAATGCTTTCACAGCTAAACCATCCTGGGGGATTTGGACAAACTCAATTCCTGAAGGGAAGAGCAGATTTACCATTCATTTCAACTTTACAATTCAGACATTACAGTTTGAGGCTTTATGGGATTTTATCATAATGTAATGTTCAAGAACTATGTACGAAATCAAATCCTTATTACGCTACTCATACACAACCGTGATAAAGAGCCAACATTGAAATTCTGCAGAAAGTCATTTGCTTGGATTTTCAATCCAGGAGTACAACAAAAGGGGATGTTTTAACCATGTATCTGATGTCTTGAGGTCTGCATTAGATACATCGAATTTTGGGGTTTGGCATGAGCAGCAAAATTAGCACTGCTGTAGAGTTTTTGCAACTGTAGCTTAATCCCTTCTGCAGCTACATCATACGGAGACGACTCGAAAAGACTGCCATGAGTAGAGCCAAAAACCATGGCTCCTCCATCATCACAAGCATTCCAGTCAAGTAATGCTTTTGGTGATTCAGTGGACTTCTGCTCTGGTGGAGACTGGTCTAAAGCAGGCCTATTATTTTCTGGTGGAGTAGTGCTTGTGAGGTTGACAGTCGTTATGTCGTGGATGCTTGGTCTTCTTTTATCCTTCCCTCCTGAGTGCTGCCTCATAAAGTATTTTTGAGCATGGCTTGCCACTTGTGTGGGAGTTTTTGAGATTACAAAATTCCTGGAAATATTCCTCCAGTCCCCTTTCCCATATTTTAGAAGTCCCATCAGAAACCGCCTGCAGGTCATTACCACACATTCATGTCAATAAAAATATCAAGCACACAGAGAGAGATCAAACTATATGCCCTACACTTGGGATGTGGAAAACTCCATTGGGTTTCATAACAAAAAGTTGGAAATTAAAGAAAACAACAATTCATCTACATATTTTCCTCTGTTTCCAAAGGAAACGAAATGATAGGTATTGGACATAGTGATTTCCACAAATTGAACTAGACATTTCATATCTAATAACCATCTTTTTCCTTAGCTATTATTTTTTCTCTTTACTGCAATTCAAGACCTACTCTACTTGATCACATATAAATCCAAAAAGATAATCGAAATAGTCTAACCATTTGAACTAGCAAACAATTATAGACTATCTAAGAAAAACAATGAAGGGAAGTCACCTGTGCTCCTCTTCTGTCCATGGAATTCCCTTCTTCCTTTCCTGATCAGAACCTCGAGCTGCAGAAGGCCTCTTTCTATTAGCATCAAAATTTCGATCATCTCCCAAGTCCAATGTGAAAGAAGATGTAAGGTACCCTGGAATTGGAAACCTCCCAGATTCTATTTCACTAACATCTTCTTCCAGCTCCTGATACTGCTTGATCACATCGATAACCGTCTTCCCCGGTATCATTGAAGCCACCTTCAGCCACCTGTCAGGCGTTTTCTCATCAAACATAGCCAGAGCACTCTCAAACTTCTTGTTCTCTTCTTTAGTCCATTCTGAGCTCTGGCTGTCTTGGATGAACCAGTTAGAATCAGCCATATATGAAGCTGGATACAAAGTCTCCATGCTTACAAGTCCTAATATCTGCAATCACTGCTTAAAAGTTCATGTCAAAGTTACTGAAGTAAAGCTTCAAGTTTCAGAAGTGATGGGAGACTGAGAAACAGAGAGCAGAGGCAGAGAGATTTTGAAGTCTTACAATGGCTTAAAAAGGCAATCAATTCAGAATCTTTTACTGGGAATCAAGAATCTCCTTTTCTTAATAGCATAAACTAAAGAATCTTAAAAAGACCCACTTTTGGGAATCGAAGAGAATCTTAGAAAAACCCAAGAAATCTGATTTGGTTCCTGAAGGTGTAATCCTAGAAGGAGAGAGGCAAAACCCAGAGGAAATTTCGGAATTTGTATCAGAGAAGTGGAGGCTTTCAAAGAAATTAAGCGCAAATAAGCTCAAAGGTGAGGCCTTTATAGCACTCTGATAGCAACCCTTGGTTTAAATAAGTAAAATTTTAGAAAAATTACCAAAAAGGAGACTGAAACATGAAGGACCGAACGCAAGAGCAAGAGGGTCGGCGAAGGTGGGCAAAGCAAGACCCAGTTGAGGAAAAAGAGAGATTCTAGAGAATCACGGCTGAGAAAAGCGGGAAAACATTTACTAACTTCGTTTCTTTGAGGAGAAGTAAGAGAAAAGATAAATGTATATATAGATGTATATATAGATTAGGAAAAGAGAGGGCCAAGCCAATGTGAGAATCAAATTATCAATCAGAACCACTTCACCAGCGTTCTCTATGGTGGCTGAGTATATGGAGAGTTCCTGAGAGAGAGAGAGAGAGAGAGAGAGAGAGAGAGAGAGAGAAAAAGGATGCGTGATAGGTGGCATATCCGGATTGGGCCGTGGTAAGATGACTAGTCCACAGGTTCCCTCTTAATTCTAGAGAATTTTCTCACACCCGAAAAGAGAAATAAAATTAAACAGATCTTGGGTGTTTTTCTTTTAGTTTTTTCCTTTCATGGTGGGGAATAAAATCTTGGATGTTTACTTTTTCTTCTATGGGCAAAACTAAAGTTGTTTGTTATATTTATCTCCTAAGGTTTTGCCGAGTCTCTGGTTTTCTCTTTGATTAAAGGTGTCGGTCAGTGGTTAAGAAATGGGCTAGTGTTGTGTTGTGACTTTTATAAAACAATTTACGAATGTGGTATTTATTTGTTCCATACTCATGTTGGTTTTATGAGTAAATTCCACAAATAAGATCCACACCTAGAGAGAGTTTAAGTTCCTTCCAAAAGGAAAAAATAGAATTATGAAGTATTTTATGTTAAAAATTACTATTCCCGGCCAATAACGTTAAAATATACGTAACATAACATTATTGATCGAAAATAATACATTGCAACTAAGTTTTTCTCTATTATTACACGGGACCCATATTTGAACTTCGCTGAGCTGCTGAAGTGTTTCAACAAAAAAATAAAAATAAAAATAAAAACTTCTGATCTGAATTTGTAAGTAGGTTGATATCAAGACATTGGCTTTAACTTAACTTTTTTCTCCGCAATACTTTCCCTATATACAAGACGGAAGCCACGTAGTAGTTTTGGGTAAAAAAATGATGCCGCGTATAATTGGTCCAAGATTGCGTCAATAGTTTGATCATTTGTCGCTCGTGCAATTTTTTATTATAGTTCTTTGGCCTTTTTCCACTTTCCTTTAGTTAAATAATTTTCAACCGCATACATTATCAACAAGCGCCTGTAGCTCAGTGGATAGAGCGTCTGTTTCCTAAGCAGAAGGTCATAGGTTCGACCCCTATCTGGCGCGATAGTTTCTATTTTTTTTTCTTTGTCATTTTATGCCCTAAACGTGTTTATCTTTTGGGCATAAGTCAAAAGTAGTTCAATGTTTATATTGATTAAAGGGATAAAGAAGAATCTAATCATTTTGAAATCCAACTTCTTTAGATTAAGCACATACCAACCATTCATACACGACAAATCCTTTGGTGTGTGTGTGTGTGTGTGATGCTGCTTTTACTTTCAACCCAAAAAATGACAAAGTAGGTGAAATTGAAATTATACAGTGCATTGAGTTTACCCTTTTTTATTCACTTCTTTTGAGAGCAGCTGTTTCTATTTGCTCCTCAAACCAACCAGAACCAGCCAACCATTTTCTTTGTTTTTTGCTCCTCAACTCAACTCAAACTCTCTAGATACCATGCACACTCCTCTCATGCCTTGAGCCTCAAGCATCCATTTTAATTTTATAGCCGTTTGGATTGGAAATTCTAGCAGGTTGGAAGGTCAGCAGGAGGTGGTCGCAGAGTCTCATTTGGGCCTTTTCCATTTTCCACTAGAAATGGCATCTTAAGCCCCCAGGTTGTGTGAACTTCCAGGTGGCAATGCAAAAACCAAATGCCTGCATTCATTCACCACCACAAACAACAACAAATTTCCAATCAATTATAAAATTGTTAGCACATAATTTAGTTTTAAAGAAAAAGAAAATATGTGGCTGTAGAAATTTATTACCTGGGTTATCTGCCCTGAATCTGATTGCAGTCCATCCACCAGTTGGTACTGAGATTGTGTTCCTCTCAACAGGATCAACAAGATTGAATGTATTCGGGTCCTTCTTTGGATCGAAGTTACCAATTCCTTTCCCAACCACAAAGAAATTAAAGCCATGCAGATGGGTTGGATGGCTCTCTGGTGCTATGACAGCAGTGCCTTGTAGCACAATCTGAACTGTTGAGTTGTACCCCAGCCTATATAGTCTTGTCCCATTTGTGGTTTGCATGTTAGCCGTAGAGTTGCCGGTATAGTTGAAAGGAATTGGTGGGTTTGCTGGGAAATCAAGTGTGTACACTCCCTTCATGTTATAGTAATATGCTTGAAGGAGGGCTATAGTTGGCATCACAAAGCTAACATTGTTAAAAGCAGCCACTAGCTTGCTCCCATTGACACATGTAGCACATGGATTTACACCAACTGCAATGGTGAAAAAGAGTGAATGGTCTATAGTTAATGGGACATTAGCAGGGTACTGTTTCGAATTAAGGCTTCGAAGGGAGTCCATGAAAGTGTTTGTTACTGGCGTTGCATTTTGAGGAGGAATGCTGGTTAAGAAGGCTTTGGGGTTTGCAGGGGTTCCCTTGTAGCGCAATGAAGCAATTGAAGTCAAGTTGTCAAAGCCAACTGGCGCATCCATGAAAGGAGAGACTGCTATTAAGTATTTGCCAATTCCCCGATTTGCAGTTAAAATTGCATTTGTAGTTTGGCCTGGACTGATGAATATGGTGTCAGTTTGGAATGGCTTGGTGTAGGAGGCATCAACTTCAACAACGGTTAGATTATGCCCCGCAATCTTGAAGAACAAGTCATCGTTCAGCGCTGCGTTTATGATGCGTAGCAGGTAGGTCTTGCCACTTTCAACATGTAAAGTGTAACCCCCTGCAGATGTGCAAAACACACACTATTTACATCCCATAATCACTTCACTTATATACAGGCAACTTACATGTGATTATAAGGTTAATTTTGGAACATCACATGTGTTTTGTATTCTTTTTCCCATGCAATGAAGCAAAACAAAAGGCCTATTAGGATTTTGAAAAAATAAAATAAAATTAAGTATACCCCATATCAGTACCCTGAGAAGAGCAACCAGGAACTGGTCCTGCATGGCCATTGATAGTGTGCGAATCTGAGACATTTGGTGGCAGGCCAGACTTTATAGACTGATTGACCACAGCTTCAACATCTGATTTCCACCATTCAGCTGCAATTCAAATAATAAAGTCAAATTACCAGTTTACCAATTTACCAAGCCGCAATTACCAAAAGCACCTCATTGAATATTATCAATTTACCTAATATGACAGTTTTTTCCTCATCAGGTGTAGGAAAAGGGTAAGGAGTGCCTCTTTTAGGTAAGATGACAATGGCACCATGTAGAGTGGCCCTTAGCCAAGAGGTATGTGCATGCCAGAGAAGTGTGCCCCTTTGGCCTGTGAGTGTGAAATTGTAGATAAAGTTTTGCCCAGGCTGTATGGGGCATTGTGTGATGTATGCTGGTCCATCCGCCCAAGCTGTTCCAAGTTGCTTGACTCCATGCCTGCCATTACAGAATCATATGATCATTATTTATTAGGATTTTCTGCATAGTATGAGATTAAATGTGACAGAAGCCACATCAATGAAAAATAATACACCATATGGTATGCCATGTTGATGTAGTGTGTCGAATCCACCAAGTTGGGTTTAGGATTTGCGTATTAATAATAATAGTACACGTGTTATAAATTGGGTGAATTTGAAGTACCACATCGGCATGTATCAGGTAGTGTCTCGGTTGCACACAATAATCACTAGCTACAATTTCTTTTGGAAGTAACTAGGGTATGGGAGTAGAATAATTCTCACCAGTGAATTGTGAGATTGTGATTTACATGGTTGATGACCCTTACAATTACAGTATCATCTTCCCTTGCATACAAGGTTGGTCCAGGAAACTTTCCATTTACGGTGATGGTGGGCTTAGATGAACAAAGCTTTGTTGTATTTTTGAAGACCACCTGCACATGTAACCCAGCCATTTTAATGTCACACTAGTTTTTCATGGGTTGTTCAGTAATCTGTTGAAAGCAAAAGGCAGGCAGAAGGCCCTCTCCCCTCCTAACTTATGCTATCATAGATGGCAATCGCTATTCTAAGGTCAAGTAATATGAGCTTAATTTGAAACAAAGATGGATATATATGTCCAGAATGTACTTACACTAAACTTATAGTGTCGAACCAAGGACTGAACGAATGCAGGGTACAAGAAAACAACCAACAACAACATTGCTCGAAGGTGAAGCCTGCAGGACTCCATGTTTGCCAGATATGTGAGTTAATTGTTGTTGTGTTTTGAGCTTGGTCGGGCTGGATATGGATTATGCAGTAGTAACATATGAATGACTGACCACCTTAATCTTATAAAGAAGCAAATGATATGTGATAGAATGTTATTTTAGGCCGCGTGGTAGGAGGTAGGTGAATGAGAAATGTGAGCCATATATCATATATATATATATATATTTATGTATTATTCTACTGAAGTTTTCTTGCATGTTACACAATTGAAGTAGTAACCTGTCTACGTTGAAGCAATTTCCAGTACTTGTTGCCACTTTCATTGAAGGCAACCCGTGGGAAAGTTGAAACCTACTGCTCAGCTGCACGCACACAATCGAGTTGAAACCTACTGCTCAGCTGCACAAACTCTCTCTCTCTCTCTCTCTCTCTCTGTTTCTGCTCTGTTTCTCGAAGGTTTGAGGGCTTTTTCCGTATCATATTTGTGCATGTATTACTAATATACTCGAACACCGCTCCTAATTTTCTAATAATTTCTAGTTGTATTGCTAGTCTATTGCTGCTTAACTTTGCTATTTCTAAGTTTTTATATATGTTCTTTTGGTATATATCATGGAATGGAACCCATAACATCTTGTAATCTTCTAGTCTTTTTTCCCATTTCCCCTCACCATCGGTGCTAGCCGGCCCCTGGTGGATTCTTCAAACTTGAATTGGAAGAATTTAACTATGTAAATTTTGTCTTTTGAAAATGAAACCTTGTTGTCAATGTACACCAGAGATCTAGACAAAAATGAATGAAACACATAGTCCATTCCATGATAGAACGTCCCACCCTTTTCTTGATTTTCTAATTAAAGCTTTGAAGACGCAAATAGAATTTAGGGTTACGAATAATATAGTGTATTCTATTCTTCTCACAGGGAGGTAGAACAACCCCGGTCAATCCGGTATTCCTATAATTACACATAAATACAAAATCAATTACAATAAAGAATAATTGAATTGATTCACGCCAACATGAAGAAGCCTAGTCAAGCTTTTTAAGTAGATGTAGTGGAGTCTTGTACCTTTCCAGAATGGTATAGGATAAGGGTGGCGGTGGAAAATGAACCATAAGTATATCTGCGTTTACAAAAACCGGAAAGAAACTAGTGGAAAATGGTTGAGGAATGGTTTTCATGGACTGCGACGGTATCTTGTCCTGTCCAGAAGCTTAAAAATATGGAAACTACAGATGGGATTTGTAGTAACAGCTCAACTTCCCCATCAATTTTAAACATCACATCTTCTTCAGTATGGATTCTCAAACCCCTCTTTTTCCTCATTATGGCAGTCTCTCTCTTTCTCACCCTCTTCATAATTAGTGATTACGATGAGAATCTTATGTGCAATTCAAAATAGGTCTATCAAAATGAAAAGAAAAATAACAGATTGATTAATGAGTAAACACTTTTAACAAACACATGTAAAATAATGCTACTTAAACTTTCTTGGATGCTGCTTCTATAGCAGCCTCAATCCTGTTAATGCAAGATTTATAGAGAAATCCTAGATAATCTATAATGCTGTCCTCACATGTACCTTCCAAGGGGTTTACCTCAAATGACCAGTCAACTAGTGTTGAATCATTCCCATAATCTACAAGCTTTACTGAATTCACAGACCCATCTAAACCTACATTGCTGGCTTCCAATTTGTACACATAATTATGTCTTGATGAATCTATGGACACCAGCTTCTCCTTGATCCATGACCTGTCTCCGTCTTCTTGTGGGAACATGAAGCCAGAGACTAACCGAACATAGCCCGGAACACCTTCATCTCCAGCTAAATCAGTGCAGCGCTCAACCATTGGCATCCATTCTGTTAGTCTTTTAGTTTGAGAAACCATACTCCAGACTTGGTCTATAGGTGCATCAACAATGCCACCGACTGATCCACGCCATTTTGCAATTCCGGCCTCAGATGCCTGAAGAAAATGGTAACTTTGACTTATATGATTTCACCAATAGTTTAAAGAGTTCCAAAAATGGCATTGGAATAAAATGATCTTAGGTTAGTATGTCGAAAAATGACATATTATGACGGAGACATAAAAATCGCCTTGCCTTTCATTTATCGAGAAAATTGAAAAGAAAATGTGGAATTCATACCATGCTTATCAGTGTCACGTTTACTTCAATTGTAAACTAAGTCTGCAGATTCAACTAGATTACAAACAATTTGATTGCAGGAACTACCCTTCTAGGCATGAAATCATCCACAAGATGCCCAGCCCATCAGAAGGTTTCTCAATCAAGAAATCCATAGTATTTGGTGAAGGAATCCTATGTTATACAATAAATGTATTGGATTTACCTATGGAAGACATAGGGGTTGGAGCTTAACCAGGGGATACTCCAAGGCATAACTTAGGAATTTACAACATTTGGGATTAATAATACCACCTTAAATTATATCTGTTTATCTAATTATTTAATTAAGTTCTCACTTTCTTGTTCCATAAATTACTGATTAATATATATCTGCCATTGAGAAAGATTTATCTTGTACTAAAAGATGTGCAACACGAACTTTGCTCTACAAACCAGCTTGCCTAGACTAACTTTTTTAACCTTTGACAGCTGATTTGGACAACATCAGTTTAGTTAAGGGCATTGATTCAGCGGCTACAGCTAAGGAACATTAAAAACATGTTTGATGAGAACAACATGACTTGTTCAAACTGAAGCAGGGGTCAAAAGCCAGCAAATGGACCAACAAACTTAACAGGATATTAATCATACGGAAAACATTTCTACTAGAGACAATTTAAAAACCTTGGGATGCTTTGTAAACACGCACCTACTTGCTATAATATTATGAATAAGGTGCACAATCTGCACATATACCTAACACAACTTTAACAAGTAAGCCTTTGAATCTGATTGTAATTTGAAAACCATAAATACACATGTGAACTAAAGATTAACTATAAACCAACTTGATTGGTCCATTCCATTGACAGACTTTTAACCTTGTAATTCTTCCCCACCATATTGGAAAATTTATGCACCATTATACAAACTTTTGTATGAATAGCAAACTGCATAGCTTAGGCTGCAGCTCCGACAGGCACCCCTGCCTTGAGCCTGGATGATCCGTATAGAGTTTCTTCGAACCGGATTATCTCATTTTTGGATCCATAAGCAACTTGTGTTCTGTCATCCAGATTAACGATCACTTTGTCTAACACAGACTGGTGACCATCACTACTATAACCTCCAGCGTTCTCAATTAATAACCCCAATGGAGCCACCTCAAATAACAGCCTGAGCTTGGCTTTGGTAGTTGGAGATATCACATTTGTGAAAACTCCTTTCTCTTTTACAAGTATCTGCAGGTAAAGAAATCATAAACTTTTTAACTTTTAAAGAGTGCCAACCACAAAATATCGATTTTGTGTGGATGCCAATCTCACTAAAACTAGGAGACTGATTAAGGAGAAGTTGAGAGGACCTGATTGACATCTGGCACCATTCCTCCGGTGTATCTCAATGTGTATTTCTCTTTTACATAGTAGTTGATCAACTGTTGTTCATAAACAGAAGAAGTTCACAAAAATTAATGGAACTACTTGGTGGTTAATAATTTACTGATATAAGTACTGCAGTAGTAATGCAGTATTGCTTTAGAGGAAATCAAACCTTGTCATAGTCCGGGTTGTCAAATGTGGCTCTCAAATTTCCTGGGGAGAATAATTTCCCTTCACCAATCTCTGTTGTCTCCTTGACATGTTGCCACTTTCCTGACCAAGACAGTGTGAGACATTGATTCATTCTAAGGTCAGCAGAATTGAGTACCTCATACTTATGATGAACTTTTTTTTGGGGGGGTTCATAGAAGGTTACAATGGCATATGAAGAACATTGGTTGCTTAAAGAAAACTTGATGACATTGTTACAATCTCACCTTCATCTAGAAGAAGAAATTCGTGGGTTCCAGGGAAGCCCTTGATAGCAAGAACATATGTAGTCCGAGGACCATAAATTCCCATGGCTGCAGCAACTTGGTCTCTCCCTGTTATCCCAGTTAACTTATCTCCTGGCCACACACCAAAGATAGTGCCTACAGTGAAGTTTGTGTCAACAATGCTGGAGCCGTCAAGTGGATCAAAAGCAACACTAAATCCACCTGTTCAAATTGCAAAAAGTCCGATAATTAGGTCATCCTTTCGATCATCCTTCTTAAGAAGATATAAATTTTAAGATCATAGAGCAATTCATTATAAAATATGAAGTTTAATTGCATATGATAGGACTTGCGGACCTTCAACTGGGCCTCCCATGTCTTGGAGTTCTGGAACCTCTTCAGAGCAAGCATATTTGCAGAAATGTGAGTAGCTTAAGGCCTAAGCACCAAATATAGCAGGCATTAATTTTATTGCTGACCCTGAAAATAAGGTTGTATTCTGATACATTTGAGGAAGAATGACAATCAAAGTTATGATATATATATGTGTGTGTGTGTGTGTGTTGTCATCTAAATTTCATCCAACCATAAGCAAAAGCAGGATCAAAACTCATGGTTTGCTTGTTTGGTCTTTACCTCAAATAAAAGCTTGTCAGCGAGCATGTCCACCGCGAGCTGCTCATCCCCAAAGGAATTAATACAGGCCGTTCCTCCACAGGCAGCTGTTCTCACCTTGAAGGAAATAGTCCTTAATGCTTCTCCCATACTTATCAGCAACCTAATCAGTCCCTTATCCGGGGTTGCCTTTGCAAGGAACACTTCCTACAGCCACAATTCCATTTACAACTTCAGTGCTGCTTAGACAGATTAACTCTTAAGTTATGTGGAACAAAGCTGATTTTTGTTATGTAACTCACCAGACTCTCACCAATTGCACATCTGGTGACAAGGGAAGACTGTTTTGTCTTTGAAACCTTGAGTGATGATCTTGGCACTTGTCGTAATGGTTCTCCGAAGAGGGAACTTGATTTCAGGCTCTGCAGCAATCAGAAGGGTCCAATAACACCATGTAATAATTCAACTCACTCAGAGAAAATTCTAAAGAGAGCTCTCTTTGATTGGTAACATATTTTCTGTGTGCATATAATCATCAACATCTATAAGTGGTGAAAGCCTGGAGGTTTCATGATGTAAGTTTATATATTTGTAGAAATGAAATGGTGAGTCTAAATTACAGACCTTGGAGCTGAAGGATGGAGAGATGGAGGGTGGAGCCACAAGTGCAGTGGAATGCTGATGGGTTGAAACACCAGGCAGGAATGCCCTGGGTGAGCAGCAACCTATGCTGGCCTCCATGCTTCAGGCAACACAAAAAAAAATGTACTCAAAAGGAAGAAGTTAATTTATTAAGCGCAAAATAAAGCAAGAGCTAGCTGCTTTCTCTGAAAAGATTTGGTTCTGATCAACAACACTGTCTTTGAAGTTTGTTTTGGGTGATACTAGATAAGCAGTAAATGGTGTTTTGCCACCTGGCGGCTGCTGACAAAAGTGTTTCTGTTTTATAAGGTGAGGTTGATTAGGCGTAGGCATGGCTCTCAATCTCAAATGTGTGGCTCTCTCTGCTCTGCTCTGCTCCTCCCAAGAGATAGATATATCAGATATGAAAAGGAGTCCCACTTTTTGTAAGTTTGTGCCCAACGGCCTTTGTTCTGCTTACGTACTTTTGCCATCTCGTCTGTTATTATTCATATAGGACCTTAGTGAAAGCGGATCCCACCATATAATCACTACAATAGTGAGTATAAGCAACCACGTAATTTTAAACACACACTACCAATACAGAAAATATAAGCACGCTATGCAACCCCTAATCAACAAATATGAACCTAAAAAGAACTCGATTTGCTTAAAAATATATATCATTTAAGCTCAAATACTTTTTAAATTAAAATATACATATAAGTTTCAAACATTCTCAGAACCGACATGCAATCGATATATTTTATTGATGAGAATAATGATATCAAAACATTGTGGATAACGAACCAACAATCTGCTCTTTATGTCCGAACTTCATAATTTTAACCACACCTCTAGAACAACCTCACTTAGATCATGATTGAATTGCACTAATTAATTTTATTTCTAGTTGTTTTTGGAAAGCAAACCTTTGGAATATTATTTATTTCGTCCTTTTTTTTTGTGGAACGGAAGAAACTGTGTTTTTCCCCACAATTAGACTCTTTGTTAAGCTCTTGGGGAAAAAAAAAAATGAAGATATTTTGCTTTTTAAGTTCTTCAATGAACGGTTTCTCTTTTTGTTTGTTAGTGAACGTGTACCCATCCCTTTGCAAAAAAATAAAATAAAATAAAATAAAATAAATAAATAAATAAATAAAACGTTTCCTTCCCTCTCAATCGGAACTATAGTTCTTCTTCTGCAAAAACATCGCGAACTCTCTTTTATTTTCCGTCTTCTTCTTAATTTAATTGAAAATTTGTTTTTCCCCAGTCTGTATATTATACATTCTTGTGATGACGGTATTATTGAATTGAATTCTGTATCTTAGCTTGGGTTCATTTATACGTACGTAATGTATAGATGAATTAGAATTTTGTATCTCATCTTGGATCAATATAACTAAGTACGTTTTGACTAAGAAAATAAATTTGGGATTTTGACAGAAAACTGGAAGACTAAGCAGGTGCAACAAAGGTTTGCGGACTACGTACTCATGGTGTAATGTACAGTACAGTGTATGTTGTAACATGCACAATCACATTCACTAAAATTATTTTATGCAATTGAAAATTTGGGAGGATTATTGAGTGCCATGGTGACAGACACAATTATATATTGTTTGTATTACACACTATCGATATTCATATTATATCAGCAATAAAAATATAAAATTATAAGTTTCTTGAGCTTAATTATGCAGTAGGAACCATACGCGGCCGTCCGATTCCTGCTGCTGCTTGTTGCAGACATGTGTAGGCTGCATCAATGTATTATCTGGTCTGGCAGTTGGTGATGCTCATGAACTTCTTCACCTATCTTGACTGCCTTATTTTTTCTCCATCATCTTTAATCCTTGTATTTGAGGTATAGGATCATCTGAGCGATGCCTAACAAGAATCCCAACACATTTGGAAACTTCCCCGCCATACAATGAGCACGTCAGATTAATATAGGATATGAAGTTAGTGACATATCAAAGTCAAACCCAAGAAATGAAATTAGAAATTGGTACTGGTTTACTTACTGCAATGTAATAATCCTTTACGAAGAGCCCGTACAAGAACCACAAGGTGGCACAAATTGTCAGGGAAAATGACAAATAAAATGGCATGTATTCTACACTTTTAGTTTGTATCACTATTCTCTGCAATAATGAAAAATACATGTCAGCTGAGCTGATTAATTTACCGTAATGCAAAATTTTTGGAAATTAATTTGGACAAAAATTACCATGATGAGTAAAGGAGCAGCAAAGACAGCAACGCCAAACACAGCACATATCCATCCAACGGTGCTAACGCGCTTGTCTTCTCCTACAAGAAGGAATGTGATCGCCACCACCAACCCAAAGGCCGCTACGTTCAACACCAGTATCTGTATCATTGTAGTAATCTGCATATGGTGTAGAAGCAGAGCATCTCCATCAAAATAGCCCTCGAATTGCAAAACATATTATTATCGATAACATCTCAACATCAAAATGTACAAACGGAAAATCCGTCATTTTAAAGGCAGTGACCTTGTCCTTCTTGGATGCATATACAAAGTAGAATATGAGGTAAGTAATTTCTATAACGCATCCGATGACATTGATGCTGATGATCAAGGCAGCATTGGTCTTGAGGACACCATAAAACAATAACAGCATTGCACTAAGAAGGCCAACCACATAAGGTGTGGATTGGAAGCCTTCTGATGATTTGTTCTTGTATATTTTGTAAAACGTTGGTCTGAGAGAGAGAGAGAGAGAGAGAGAGAGAAGAGAGAGAGAGAGGGGGGGGGGAAAGAGTTAGCCTATAATGCAATTTATTCATAGAGATGTGTGAAGTGCAATAACATTTAAGTAGCTTTTAAATTTCAAAAGGGTCTTACATTGGCGCCAAGAACACCATGACTGACACGATGTTACCTATGAATAATCCCAGGTTGCGTCAGAATCAGATAACATGAATCTAAAATAAACCAACTTATAACTAAAATCACAAAAAACGGTTTACAACAAATTTAGATATACATATTATACCTATGAGACCGAATATGAAAGCCAGTTGTTCATTACTCTTCATTCTGCTGCTGGTGATGATGACTTATCTCCTTTTCCTTTTTTTTTGTGTTGAAGCTCTTTTCAGCGTCTATGTAGTAAATTTGAAGCTGAAAAAAGTTTTAAGCAATTAATATCTCATATACCTTCATTTTATAAGCAAGATAAATTGACTACGTAATATTAAGTGTGACAAATTAAACCTGATTTTATTATATTATTATTAGCCTCTTTTGCATGTGCTCTTGCGCATGCGACAATCATTTATTTGTATCACTCATGCTATGCTACACGTGACTTAAATATGTGCATAAACAATAATAAATTACACCTCAAGAAGCATGCTCAACATGTTAAATATACAAAAACAATATAGGCAGCAATAAAAACCAACATGTATCTGTCTAACTCAAGGCACGTACATCTTTGCTTCGGCTTCTTCAGCATATATATATATAGTTCCATTTCATGCAGCATAATTTGTATGGAGAAGGATTACTCACCTCCCTTAGCCTCAATCAATTGCAGATCAATTGACAAAGTTTGTTGGATTGGACCAACAGTATTGCTAATCACCTAAGTCCAAGTCCTCCACTATGGTGAAAATATATGTTATTCATTCAAGTCATGCATCGTGCAATCATATAATTGTTAAATGCGCAAATTTGACAACGTTGTCGAGGTCAAAGAATTAAGAGTAACACAAAACATAACCGACCGCATTATGAGTCGTCCTAAAGGGGGAGGCTCAGCAAGGATTGCTTCATCTTGAGCACTTGATATAGCTCCTGACCAGGTTGGGACTTGTACAAGTTGTTTATGCGTCTAAATTAATAACATCAAAATTTATATACTTAGTGAGAGATGCTCAAGCACAGTTTGTGAAATTGGCTACACATGTACAGAATAAGAAGAGAATATATTTGGTTAAATTGTCATGATATTTTCAGCAAGAATAAAATTGTGATGAGATTTTCAGCACCAACTCACAGTTAGTGACATAATTAGGCTCAAAGTCAAACCCAAGAAATGAAATCAGAAATCTGGCTTTACTACTTTACTTACTGCAATGTAATAATCCTTTGTGAAGAGGCCGTAGAAAGTGTCAGGAAAAATGACAAAGAAAATGGCAAGAAAAAGGATACAAGTCATCATCACCAGCAGAATGAAGAGTAATGAACAACTGGCTTTCATTCTGCTGTGCTGGTGATGATGGCTTATCTCTGTTTTTCTGTTGAAGCTCTGGCATGAGCGTCTATGTAGTAAATTTGAAACTAATAAAAAAAGCTTAAGCTTTTCATCTCTCAGATACGTACCTTCATTTTATAAGCAAGATAGATAAGAGTAAGGTTAGGCCACTGACTACGTGTGTAATATGTGTGATAAACCAGGATATCATCTTTTAAAATTTGTTATTTCTTTATTCAGGAAAAAGGGGTGATAGAAAATTAGTGTGTTTTAGTCAAAATTGGTAAGCCATTGCTGTGAACGCCTCCTATCTACCCCACTTTGATTACCTCTGAGTGTGTACGAGTGACCTACCTAGTACCTACCCCTCTTGGGGCATCAAGACTGTCGGTGCTCGCAGAAAAAGCGCTTATTGTGGCTGATTAGATAATCAGATATTGGCTCAATTCCTATTGAATTGAAGAGGAGTTTTTTGCGTTTGATCAATGATCATCCCAGCTTGTCTCTACAGATTATGACAACGGACAATTCTCACAACAAGAATATTCATGTTGACCTGTATATATATTTAATATATTATCATTGATCATCCCAGCTTGTGTCTACAGATTATGACAACGGACAACTCTCACAAGAAGAATATTCATGTTGACCTGTATATACCATACAGTTATCATACAATAATGTTTCTAAGTCGATAAGGTTTTCACGTAATATCATCAATGCATCTCTTTTATCTATATATCTATACATATAATAAAAGACAGAGAATGATGAAATATTCAAAATACCAAAAAATGCATTTGATTAATGCAAACATTAATAATTGAAATTATTAATTAAATGAAAGTAATATAGTAAATTCACAACTTTTTATATTTAAAAAATTTTAAAATAAAAGAAAAATCAGATAATTGATCTTATTTTTATGGAACACAACTACCCATTATTATTTTTTATTCTAAAATAAATTTAACCTTAGAACCTTGAATGCAGAAAATACTTTTAACCACTTGAGATACAAATTTCTTGCTTTAAAAAAAATATATATTTATTATGACTAATACTATGAAACCAAAACCAGTTGCTATAGAAAGGGTTTGAATAAGAATTTCTATATTTTACGGGAAGATTTAACTTACTTTTACCATAAGTTTTTTTTTCTTGTCAATAAAATCATATCGCTTTTTTTGGACAACAACGAAAATCATAAGTGGCCTCGACAGGAATTTGCGTTTTTGACCAAACTACCCTTGATTTTTGTAATCATGATGATATGGGTACTTTGTAGGAAGGAAGCTTCTTTACGAGAATTCGAGAAAGAGAGAGCTGGATAATCTACTCCTTGTTTGAAGACAACTCTCCTCCATCTTTCCAATGTATCTCTCCCGCTCAGGTATTCTCCATTTCCAATCTCTCTCTCTCTCTCTCTCTCTCCTCTCTCCTCTCTCTCTCTCTCTGTAGCTTTTGTTGATCTGATTTGACTTTGATTGTTTGTTGAGATTGACAAGATGATCGTCAGCTTGTATTATTGGTTTCATGACTTAACTGTGTGGGGCTAAACTTCGAAATCACGGAAAAAGAAATAATATTGGATTAGATGAGACTGGCAATTTTGTCAACCATTTGGTGCTTATACTGTAAATGGGTCGGATAGCCATTAATGATTTATCTTATTAGATGTGATTCTAATCTAATCAGTTGATGATCTTGTTGACCCAGCTCATGGTTTTATGTATTTTCATGGAATTAGGTCATCAGAAGGTTTAGATTTGCTTAAATTGATGCTGTTTCTTGGGTATGGCTTAACTGGAGATGGTTATGATTTGAGTGGTAAATTTTTGAGTGATAGAATCAGCTGAACAAGCTGCACGCTTAAGTGGATCATGGATGCCTCTCAAAATTGAAATATTATATATCTATGGATTCTTGGGTGTTCTGGATCATTTACCTGTAGAAAATTGCGATTTCTTTTGAAACTTTTGTTCAGCACAATGTTGTAGGCATAAAATTTGAGAATCTGATATGTGCGTTTGGTAGCCGTTTACATGATGTTTGATGTCATTTTGTAAATTGCAGGTGACCCTTCTATTTCTATGGACTGGGAGGGGAGCTGGAGTTCTTTTGCAGACTAATTGAGCTGGTGATTGCTACTTGGATTATAACCATGTCTGCTTATGGCCATCAAATGGAGCAGCAATACTCCGCTCACAGTCTTTCAAGTAGAGGTTCTGGTATGTGATACCGTGCTGCAGATTGCAGGCTTTTCCAACTTAATTAGGCTGTCCTAAACTACTGGTGGTGCTGTGGATTTGTTGAGAAATATTTAAAACCTTTTATCTGTGATCAGAAAATGGAAAGCTAGTATTAGCGCTTCTGTACAATACTTGTGTTATTTGCTTTAAAAATAAACCTCTTGCTAAAATTATGCATATTGTCTTTAAAAATGTTGCTCTTGAGCTCTTCTCCATGTTCTTGCGTGTTATACCTTCAGGCCATATAATCGAAGCATGTTGAGCTTAATTAATCAGCTGTTGATCTTGTTCCGTTTTCTTGGACACAGGGAGGAGGCAAAGCAGTTATGTAATGGACTCAGGGTTCTACATGTCGTCTTTTGCTTCCACAATCTTCATTGGTGCACTTGTAACTGTTGGGGTAATATTAATCACATTGCTGATTGCGTTGACCGTAATGCTGCAGTCTTGCCAAAGTAGGAGCCATGGAGTCATTGAGATTGAAAAACCCAGTTATGATTACAATTACTGCCAGATCGTCTCTCTGCATGTGGAACTCAACAAAGTTGAAGCAGATCACTTCCCTTCAATTTGCAGGGTTGTTGCCCTTCAATACATCAAAGAAGGCCAATATGCAAGAGATTTAAATTCTACCGTGTGGATGATTCAGAATTATTTCAGTACCCTAAAACGTGATGGTGTGGATGTGGTCTTGATGGACATAGATGACGTTCTTTCTTCAAGTCCCCAGTACATTAAATTGTTAGTGGACCGGTAATTTTCTGTTTAGTCTCTGAGCACCTGTTCTTCTTATATGAATTTTCTTTCACTTGTTAAAGTAGTTAGTTCAGGTTTTTCATGTTACCCCTTTTTCATTACAAATTGTCTTTTTGCACAGAGATGATCAACATGGTTCTAGTGATTGTGTGGAAGAGGCAAAGCAGCTGAAGCACATATATATTTTGAGACTGTACATGAAACTTCATGCTAGTGGGTGGCCTTTGATTTTGCTATCAAGAAAGCCAGAGATGCAACTGAATTCCTCCATAGAGTATCTTATATCTGCAGGATTTAGAGCTTGGTCTTCATTGATTATGAGGTATTGTTATGTACGACCCCTTCTTTCTTTTATCTCTGTATATAAAACTACTAACTGAGAGGCTTCAGATTCCTTGGAACTCTATTTGCCTTGTGCCAGTGATGTATGAATGAAGATTATTGTATTCAATATTTTGATGTCAACTGCGTTGATTGATATGGTTGCCTGGCAGATCAGAAGATGATTTGCATATGGATAGTTGTGACTACTTCTCTAAACAAAGGGCTGCAATGCAGAGAAAAGGCTTGCGCATAATAGGCACTATAAGCAGTCACATGGATGCTCTGACAGGCACATCTTTAGGAGAGCGTATTTTTAAGCTTCCAAACCCTATTTATTACAGTTTTTGAACATCAAAGTTGAGGACACGCAAGTTGGCATATTTGTAGTTCATATAGATTCGTCTAGAGATTTTGATTTTGAAATCAATCCAGCCATGTAAATAGCATCGGTTCTGCTTTGAGTGTTCTGTTGTAAAAAAAAAAAAAAAAAAAAAAAAAAAAAAAACATCATTTTTATTATTCGTGTTATAATAATTGTTATTTTATTGTCGTGTAATTAATTCTTCATGACTTGACACACAAAGGCAGTAAATTGCCTCAGTTTTACTTCATTTTTACTTTTTCTTCTGATCATATTACTTCACTGGTTAATACGATAAACGATATTTTAATCCGGGGGAGATAAACAATAGCTATGATAAAATCCACAATCACTTTGCCTTGGCTTCCATTGAAAAGCAACACTACTTGCTACCTACATAATAGCTGTCTAAAATTACAAGAGAAATCCAAGAGCTAACAAGCACCCTAGAACAAAGGAGGCCCAACAGATTGCAGCCGCTGCAACCATGCAATCCTTACGCTCGGCTTTTTCAGTTGAAGAAATATTTCCCTGTATTCCTTTTTCAGAAATACATCTAATGCAAACAAATACAGCTCACTTCCTTGTTCTACGTCCTCCATGGCATCAAGACAGGCAATGCACTCCCCAATACTATAAGTTTGCTTGCCAGGCATAAAAGAAAACTGTTACAGCATCAAGATGCTCAACGTCCCTCTCTCGGTTCACTGTGCCTGCTTCTTCTATATGCAAAAGAGATGCACTCAAATCATGATTATACTTCCTACGCCTAGCAGGGGGCTCTGTCTCTCCTGTAACTGTTGTTCCATCAAATATGGTTTCCAACTTGTCGGTGGATTGAGGTTCCTTAAAGCGGAATGGTGCAGCTTCTGGGTCTGTCTGTAACAAAACAAAACCAATACGATTTACCAACCCAAAAATCATTAAGAACTCCCTGGTTTTCAAATAGATAGAAACAGTTACTGTCAGTTGTATACAATACCTCTAAGTAGTTGGCCCAATCTTCATCATTTGCTGAAAATCTTCCGCTGTTTGGATTCCAACCCATACTACTTGTGCCAATTAGCTTACACCAGACTTTCCATTGTTCCTTGGTGATATCCCAATGGTTCTTCAACTGTAACCTATTATACATAAGGCCAGTTTTTTGTTGAAAGGATTCAACAATAGTCCTCCAACCGTCCTTGGTAAAATGTGTCCCGGGTTTATTCCCCTTTAATGCCTCTTCTAGACATAGATCAAGAAATACTTCATGGGTTGCAGGCATCCAAATGGCCTTTGTCTTTGGCTGGGATGAGCTAGATATACTCTGCTCACTTGCAGTTGTTCTACGGTGTTTAGACTGACCCATTTCATAACTCCTTAAGGGAATGGCATTCGAAAGATGCTCATCTCCCCCCTCCACAGTCACTAACTCTTGTTCTTCGGAGTGCAGAAGGGAGGTGTCTGAGCTATTACTTTGCCTCCGAGAATTAGAAGGTTCCATATCTTCAGAATCCATAGTTCCAGCAAAAACGATATCCAGTATGTCAGGGCATGGGAGTTCTTTATACTGAAACTGTGCAGCTTCTGGGTTTACCTGTGACAAAGCACTTGCAATCACTAACCTATATTCATGAAGAACCTCCCTAGTATCTTTCTTCAATATAGCATACCTGTATGTAGTTAGCCCAATCTTCTGCACTAGCACCAAATCCATTGGTACTTGGATCCCATTTCATACTAACTTCAGCAATTAGCTTAACCCAGACTTTCCACTGCTTCTTGGTGAAATCCCAATGATTCTTCATTTGTCTCTTACTATACCTTATACCTGTCTTTTCATAGAATGATTCAATAAGATTCCTCCAACCCTCCTTAGTGAAATGCGTCCCTGGTTTATTCCCTTTTGACATCTCTTCCAGGCAAAGATCAAAAAATATTTTGCGGTGCCCCGGCGTCCAAGTGGCTTTTGGGGTTGATGGGCTAAGCATCCTTCACTCAATTCCAATTCTTCTGCCATTTTTCATAGGCGTGATAGAATGCAAGATTAGTTGTTCATTATTATAGCACAATTGAAAACAAAAGTGTAGACTTCCTTGAACTCAAAACAAAAACACAAGAACACAATGAGGTATTTAATATGAACTTCAAAAAATGGGGAAAACATCGAAAATAAATAAGAAGATGAACAAGAATTCTATATTGCAAGACAGCTAGAGACCTTGTTATTTTCCTGTTAAGTGTCCAACTGTCAACATCAAAGCACCACTGTAAGAAGGGCAGAAAATAAATGTCAAAAACCTTTGAATCATCAAGTTACCTTTGCAGTCCAAACATAAAATAAAAACCTTTTTACAATTACTACCGAGTTGATATTGTTGTTGATCACTTGCTTGAGTAAAAGGATTAAAAGAGATGATCTGTATTGGCCCTTAGATTAATGACGCAAGTTTCTAACTTTATCTAGAGAAGATAGTACATGAAACACCCCAAATGCAATAAGCAGAAAACCAAAATGAACCCCGACTCAAAATGCAATAACAATTCAAGAAAATAAAATACGAAGAAAAATACTTGAAATGAAAGGCTAGGCCTCTAAAACATGGGCGAGGAGGTCGCAGGTCGCGGGTTGCGGTCGAGTTCTGGTGGTGGTGATCTGTCGTGACACAGAGAGAGAGAAAGAGAGAGAGAGGCAGCGTGAGGTAGGTTTTCAGTAGAGTCAGGAAAAAAAAGGACCCGACCCGCCCATAACTGCCCAGGCCGCCTAGGCGGGCGCCTAGGCCGATTTTTCGAACACAAAAAATAAATAATACCCATCTGAGGCACAGGCCATAGACGAAAGCAGAGCCTCGGAAGGGGCTTCAAAAGCTCTTCTCAAGTCACATGTAATTTACCATAATTCAGAGGCATATGCACAATTCGCATGTGAAAACAATCTCTGTAAATCTAATATAAAATTCAGCCATATAAATTACATAAATAATAAAAGGAAATTGAAACCAGGAGATATCCCCATACCTGGGATTTAAAAAGGGCCGGAATTGTACTTTCGCAGCAGAGTCCCCTCAAGAAGAAGACGACAGCAGAGTCCCCTCGAGTCGAGAGAGTGTTTCTGAAACGTAAAATCGACGGCCCACTACTAAGCCCAACTACATTAGAAAATCTTTTTCCTTTTCTGGGTTTTGCAATAGGCCCAAGCCCATGTATATGGGGTCATCAAACAAGTTTCCCAGTCAGCCCACCATTTTTTTTTCAGTACAAGCCATAATCTAAATTACGGGGATGTGAATTTCTCACACATATACACACACAAGTATAATGCCGTGGGGATTCGAACCTTAGATCTTTGGTCTAATTTGTAAGTCGATCCCTTTTCAACTAGGCTAGACCACGTTGGCGCCCACCAATTATTAACACATGATGGCTTTCATCTTTTTCAGTTTTCTGTTTTTGGGATCTTGTTTTTTTACTTATGAAAATAGCTTTTTTCTTTTTCCTTATTGCTTAATTTATACTACACTCGTAAATTTGTCTTGCTTAACTGGCTAAATTATGTAGTAACCAAGATCCATGGTAAACAAGGCAACTTCAACTTTTGCTGGCATTCTTTTAAAATGTGATATGTTTTGCTGCATTTCTCAAGTTTCTTGCACATCATGAGTTTGTAATTTTGCATAGATTATAATTACCAACAAGTTTGCTTTCAACAACCACAGTGCCACTGAAAAAAAAAAACCAATTTTTGCACTTGCAGGGTTCAATTGGGAACTACAGAAAAAGGAATAACCAAATCTTCTTCAGGTCTTTCAATTAATATTTTCATCGCTGGTCAAATGGTTAATTGTAGAAGGTGCATGAGTGGATCCTCCATTTATTTATTGATTCATCATGCCAAGGTGCATGAGTATTTCTCAGTTTTGGTCTTTCTAAACTACAGAAAGAACAATGGTTGGAGGCAGCAAAAGCAACACACACACACACACACACACACACACAACAAATCTCAAATTAAACATTTCAGCCAAGCAAGATGCCAATTTTCAATTTTGAACTCATCATTCAGACCATCCAGATAGGCATTAAGTGAAACTAAAAGTAAACCATCTAACTGTATTTTCATATAATTTTCTCTGCGAAAAACATGCACTGAAATCTGTTCACACCTCAAGGAGAATGGAAGTTCAATTGACTACATCACAGAGACTATTTCCTATACAAAATAACCCTAATGACAGAGCACAAAAAGTAATTCCATTGGCAAAGCAGCAGCCCAAATTGAACATTTATGAAGCCCCAACACCATCTTCAAAAGGCACATACAAGAAATTAACAACACTTTCTCCATAAACCCAATTGAAAAAGGAGCCTCCAAATCTGAGAGCTACTTTCTTGGCAATGACAGTAAGCAACTGAACCAAAATCACAGTCTAAGAGCAAAGACCGAGAGTTGCCCAACTTCCATGATCAGCATCTCAAAGAAACTTCCAAGAATAAAAAAACAGAGCTACCCAAACAATGAAACAAAGTAGCTGAAGCTTAATCACAGTCCACAATCTAGATTAGAGAAAAGGATCCATTACCACGCAAGAAAGCAAAGACCAAGAATTGGCCAACCGCCATGATCAACATGTCAAAGAAACCTCTGCAATAGGACCCAGAGAACTGAATATACTTGTACTTGGTGGTCAGATTGGGGTAGAGTATCCCCCAATTGCGCCCCTTCCTCATTTGCTTATCAAGCAGCTCATATATGTACGTCTCGGACACCCCTTCTTTCCTTAACGGCGTGCCTTTCCCGGACCTCAGATGACACAGCAGACCCTTGAGGTACAGCTCGGCGTAAATCGGGTTGGCGTCAATTTCGGTCGGATCGGTACTGAAACTCGGCCACCCAGTCTCGGTCACAATCAGCGGAATATTCTCGTAACCGGCGACGGCCATGGCGCTAATGACGGCGTCGACCATCATGTCGAAGAGGTTCCGGTACCGGACGCCAGTGGTGAGGTCGTCACGGAAACCGAAAGGGTGCTCCTGAAACAGGGGAAACCCGATTGGAATCTCGCTGCGGATCTTGTAGAGGTTGTACGGGTAGAGATTGACCAAGAACGACGAATTGGTGTCGCGGAGGAACTGGAGCAAGGGTCTGACGACGGTGTACAGGGCGGGCTCTAGAAATTGGGCGGAGGAAGGGGGAAACGGCGTCGTAATGATGCTGATGAAAGAGAAGGTAGTGGAGACGGAGATCTTGCGGATGCCGAGGTCGCGGAGGGAGAGGTGGAGGTTGCGGATGGCAGGAAGGAGGAAGGTGGAGAAGTCGGGGGAAGATTCTAGAGGGTCGTTGCCGACTGAGATGGTGGAGATCTTGGTGCGGGGGTAGAAGGGGACTACGTGGACGTAGAGCCAGCGGAGGGCGTTGGAGCGGTTGGCGGCAAGGGGCGGGACCATCTGGTTGGGGATGGTGAGGAGGAGGGTGGTGTTGGAGTAGAGGAAGGCGCGGACCAGGGTCGGGTCGGAGGCGTCGAGCCGGAGAGAGCGGAGGCCGAGGGCGGCGACGGCGTGGGCCACCTTCTCTGGAGTGGGTGGCATGGCGTACGTGGCCGCAGTTCCGGCGGAGTAGGTGGCGCCGATGGTGGTGGTGGATGTGGGAAGCGAGGTGCTTCCGGGGAGGAGAGAGAGGGTGAAGAGAAGGGCGGTGAGGGAGAGAAAGAAGTAGGAGGACATGGTTATGGAGCTTTGGAGGGAGTTTCTTGTGGTTTGAATGGAATTGAAAATGAGGGGACAGAGTCTTGGAAGGTGTGATGAGGAAGATAGTTATTAGTTAGTTAAGCTGTTGGAGAAGAGTTTTGGCGCGGGAATTGAGTTTTTTGTGTGGGTGGGGGGCGTAGTGCGCACTGGGTGTAAGTTAGTTGACAGGAGGCTGTTAGTGTCATATGCGCCCACGTGATTTGAGGCGGTGAATGGAATGCTGGGCTTGTTTGTATTAACAAATTGATGGACCGGATATAGCTTGCGGATAGACTTCCAACGTTCAGCCCAGGCCCAGTATCAATAAGCATTTGCTTTAGACAAATTTTTCTTAATGAAGAATTGATCTAATTCCTAATAACTGATAAATGTTTTAGTTTCCTTATCATTTGATAGGTACTTCTCTTTCCAATATTGAAAGAAATCCGAGTTCGAATCCTCCAACCCATTAATTAAAAAGGACATCAATTAAATTGTTCGAGAATTATTTATTAGTTAAATTGGAATGAAATGTTCTTCCGATCTCAATTTATACATGGCGTCACTCTATTGCCCCCGTTCTCTTGAGCTTACATGTATTAGCTTCTTATCAGCTATATTGTGAATTTCTCATTGTTTTTTGTTGAATTTAGCTCAACCATTTTTCGATCATTTGATGAAGCACATTGCTACAAGTGATCAAGTGACGATTAAAATGGGGAGAAATTCAGGGGTCATATTCAAATACAATCTAACTGCCAATATAGACAATGTTGTATGTTATCAAGAGTCATATTCACATCTGCAAGTCATCTCCTTCTGTACACAACAAGACTAAACTTTTCTCCCACATGATCATTGGGCAACCTGCATCACAAAACCATGGATTATAAACATTAAAATTCTTTCACAATGAGACCTCTACAGATGAATTTAAGCGAAATGAATAGATAGCAGAAGCACAGTAAAGCACCGAGACTTGAGGGCAGCCCTACCCAAATTAAGTCCCAACTGTTTCACATAATATTATTGACTACCAAATTGGATCAAGTAGCCTACAAGGCATGGCTACATTGTTAAATTCTCTTTCACTTTGATCCTATGCTGAGAAGTGCGGTGAAATTATAGCATATCTGCTGCATGAAAAGGTAACTTACCCTTGTTGTTTTTGTTTCACCCAAAGAGGGAA